ATATATGACACTAGAACATTTCATCGATACATAATATTTAAGATTCACGAAACTGTTCAAGTTATTATCCCTGTTTGGCATTTATAGTCTGCATCAATTTTGAAATATGAAATTGAGCGTTGGTAGCATTTGTATTTAGAAAATAATATTTCTCGATATCAACTGGATAATTGTGTTATCTTTAATGATTCTGAGACCAAGTTTCAATGTTTTAGTTACTATTGCTCGAAATATCTCTAGATTATTAGTTCAAAAATTATTGTTTTACGTTCTAAGCTTCCCTTATTCGTCTAATAAAATTGCCTTTTTCTACAGTCACCTGTAAAGAGATATTCTGTAAGGATTGTGTTAGTTATGTTGTATAATTGAAAAAATGCCTTAAATCATTTACTTACATGTTATGAAGATGCATTTCCAATAACTGAAGACAATAAGCATATTTAAATAAATGTAACTAATACGTGAATTAGTTTCATTCCAAAAGTTCCTATCAAACTGCAGACCCCATACGTTGTGATAAATGAACTAACATACTAGTAATACAGGCTTGATCTATCGAAATAAGACAGCACAAAGTGCAGGTTCACATTGTGAGTTGTGTCACCACTGTGGCCCCTTCATGCCGCCAATTCTGGTGCGGTAGATAGAGGATCATGGTCAAGGTCATGAGCAGAGGCATATTTTAACGTAAAATTTCCGCTCTTTACATATCCTGTGTCACCAATCTGTATTGACTTTCAAATGACCTTGATTAACATAGGCAAGGTCACGTTCAAGATTACCATAATGCCGGCTTCTCACTGCGCGTGTTGACCCGCGCCACGCCGCGCCGTCACGCGCCTCGCGCAGTGTGAAGAGCTTGGCGCGGGCAGGCGCGGCGTGGCGCGACCTATCCGCTAAAAGTCGGTAACTTCAAAGGCGCGGCGCGGCGTGTACCTACCCAGACAGACGAACACGATTGAACTCGTTCATTTCATTTTGACTCGTCCTACGTTGAGGTACTGTGGTGAATATGGAGTGGCCGAATGAAACGATCGCCGAATTTTTAACTTTGTATGAAGGCGAACCCTCTCTGTGGAATTCGAAAAATGCGGAGCATAAAAACAAAAACGACCAGCATGATGCCTGGCTGCGAATTAAACAGAATTTAAAAGGTGGTACCATACCGTTACAAGAAATTAAAAAGAAAAGGGATTCTTTAATGGGAACCTATAGAAAATTAAGAAGTAAAGTTTGCCAATCAATAAAGTCTGGCAGCGGTGCTGATGAAATCTATAAGCCTGACTGGCCATTTTATAATGTGATGGCCCAATTTTTGAATGATGTGTATACTCCAAAGAAAACGAAGGATTCTGAGGTAAGTACTTTATTTACTTAAAAAATTAATAATTATTTTGCCAGGCAACCGCACCGTTTGTTATAAAATATTCTGCAAGCTGGTCTCTTATATTCTTGGCGGAAAGAGGTGCTCTTCTTGGCCGATTTTGGAGTGGTAGTAGGGAAGCAACTCCATTTTGGTCATCACGCCAAGAACCGGGCTGAATCTCGCCATCATCATTTTCGGTATCAAAGGATCCAGGAGGGGTATATATAAGTCTAGACCTTTTAGACCGTCTCAAAAAATTGTGTAACAATGCACATGTCATCACAATATCAGTTACAATATCTGGTTGTAAAAGCATGGGTTTTCTTAGTACTCTAAACACCGCAGACATAATGCCAAAGACATTTTCAACAATCCGTCGAGCTCGTGAAAGGCGGTAATTAAACACGCGTTCTTTAGATCCCTTATTATGAGTTCCAGCGTAAGGTTTCATCATATTTTCCGTTAGAGCAAATGCACTGTCTGCAACAAATACGTAAGGTAGAGGTGTTACTTTCAGCGGTAAGCAGTCTGGCGGTGGAAAACCCAATTCCTTTCTACAGATTTGTTTATATAAGTTGGTGTTTCTGTATACACCACCATCGCTTATTCGGCCCTGGCACCCACAATCCACAAAAATAAAATTGTAATCCGCGTCGACTAAAGCCATTAATACAACACTGAATGTTTTGTGATAGTTGATAAACTCAGATCCACTATGAATAGGACTTTGTATTAGCACATGTTTTCCGTCGATAGCTCCTAAGCAGTGAGGAAAATTCCAAGTTCTGCGGAATCCTTTCTCTATCCTTAACCAGTCAGATGATGTCCGTGGCAGCTAAAACAAATAGAAATATTGTAAATTATCATGAATATTTCTTATTTTTAGGTCACTGACGACATAGAAGAAATAGAAGATAACCGTGATTTAGATGCCTCTGAAGATAGTAAACAGGATGATGAAGAATCAGTTCAATTTAAAAGACCAAAACCTCTTCCTAAAAAACGTGCTAAAAATATTGATGATATAGAAAATAAAATGAACGAAGCATACGACTATATAAAACAAATGACTCAAAAACCCCAAATCCCGCAAGATGAATGTTCATTATACACACAATTATTGTGCAAAAAATTGAGAGGCTTACCAGAAAATACACGTGAAATAGCGATGTTGGAAATTGATAGATTGATTTTCAATCTGAAGCAAAAAGAACTATCGTCAAACCCACATGCACAAATACTAATCAACCCACCACAGCCCACGAATTTTGGACATTCCGGCAATCTCTACTAACATATCAGCCATCCACATCCTACCATCCATATCCTTCTCCACAGCAATCCCCAACCTATCATCCATCGCCTTCTTCACAGTCATCCCCAAACTATCATCCATTGCCTTCTCCACAGCAATCCCCAACCTATCATCCATCGCATTCTTCACAGTCATCCCCAAACTATCATCCATCGCCTTCTCCACAGCCATCCCCAACCTATCATCCATCGCCTTCTTCACAGCCATCCCCAACCTATCATTCATTATCTTCTCCACAGCCATCCCCAAACTATCCATCTCCACAGCTGTCGCAAGTCGAAACATCAGCTTCGCAAAGTCTATTAAATGATTTCTATGAAGAGGAGGGTAGTAATTTAATTTAAATGGATGATGTCAATTTCTATTTGTTTACGATTTGAAAAAAATAAATGCTTAATTCTACTACTTACTTTTATTTCTTGTGATAGTTCTTTTATCAATGCTTTACAAACGTCCGTGACACAACTTGAAACTGTTTGGATAGATACTTTGAAAAGATATGAAAGGCTTGTGTAACTATCTCCGGTTGCTAAAAATCTGAGAGCAATTGCAAACCGTTCTTGTACTGGAATACATTTTCTCATATGGGTATCTTGTTTTGCAATGATAGGGCCTATTTTATTCATTAGATAGTTGTAATCTTCTGGTGCCATTCTACAGAAGTTCTCAAATTTTCTGCTCGGTTCTTTAACAAAATCCGATAGCATATCTGATCCATTGTATCTGAAACAAAAATACAATAATTTTTACTAAATTTTCCGGCAGCAAAGTTTCATTTTAAAACGCGCCAAACTTACCAATAGATACCATCAAATATATTGATAGGATTCTTAAAAATTACGTACCTATGTAATTATCTCAAAATACAAACAATGATTACCTTGACCGGCTCTTATTGAACGTTGACATCCACCAGCGTCTCCTCTTCTTGTTTTTGTTAATTTTATTAAGTAAACGATATCCACAAAATAAGACAAAAACGGCTGATGCAACAGCCATGCCTTCTTCTTCAGTGGCATTGCTCCATGGCTGGAGGTGGCAATTCGACTCACAAGACATAGTGCGCTGCGCTAAACAGACTGAATCAAACTGAGGTGTAAAGCCAGAAGGCACGCGCCGCGCCGCGCCGCACAAACGGGTGGCGCGGCGTGTCGCGTGGCGTGTTCTTGCGCGTGGAGCGGCGCGACGCGTAGTAGCACGCGTAGTGAGAAGCCACCATATAAGATGGGTCGCTTCGAATTTTACAACTTTGTTCAACGTTTTTGTCTAGGAAACGTATTTTGTCGCGGATAAAACCATGTCTGTTACCTTCCTCGTGTTTCAATAAGTAAAAGTGTACAAACCTTTGCGTCTCTCCATATTGTGTTTCAGACGTAATGCTGACAGGCACAAAACTGACAGACTTGACAATAACATTTATACGGTGCTAACGATTTTATAAACTCAGATTTACCTGAACATAACGTTTGAAGTCGCAGAAACGTCGTATTTTAAATAAATATTTTGAGTTGACCGAATCTCAAGAATTTATAAATTAAAAATCTAAAAACAAAGTTACACAGTATTCCAGTCTAAAATTTCGTCAGCCAATCTACATTCCATTACTGTGTACGGTATTACATTACCAAATGATTGACTAGCACACTAGCATAGATAGGGATGCTGCTATCAGATTGTCGAACAATGGGAACGTAAGCGAGAATAAACTGCAAATCGACAGGATTCGATGTTTTTTCGGGACAATGAGCCCATTCAGTCAATGTAAAGCAGTCCAGCGGTGTAGCGTTTTATGTCTGTCAGATTTAATAAAAAGAGATAGGAGGTTAAGCTACGTAAGGGATAAATGTTTTCGTATGAAGCCAATCCTGTCGCCAAGGATAGTGTGACTCTTGGAAATCTAGTGGGCGTAGCACATGAAGAAGAGCGTCTGCGCATTGTGAAACAACATAAACTGCCGCGATTTTATGTGCATTTCGCACACATTTTGTCATGCTTTGTAGGTTTATGACTTCGATGTTTATTAATATGAACCTATATTTCTACTTGCCACTGGTCCGCGAACTACTAAAAATGGATTTCTTCGGAAAGCTGAAATGCATTTTCTGTTCAGTGTACAGACGAGAGAGATGCCCTTTGCGCAGCACCTGGAATTCATTTGCAGCGCAGTGTGGCAGCTCACTTCATCGTCGACATTTTTAAACCTCCTATCTCTAGTCTTCATGGTTGATACCTATTACGGTGTTTTGCTTATTTTTAGAATAACTATACCCTGTACGAAGACCCAACTTGAAAAACACCGTGTATAGAAAGAAAAGTCAATATATACCTAAAATTTATATTTACAAAGACAAAATAGCGTAAAACATTTAGCACAATATGGTTCATGTACATAGACACGATTCATCCAAGTTGAACTTCAGCCAGTTAAGGTACTTCGCAACTCGTGTGTATACTCCTGGATATCCTGGTCTGCCACAACCGACTCCCCATGAGACTATTCCTGCGAAAAAAACAATCCGTAAAATAACCTTCTACTACCTACGCCACTGGCGAGGAAGTATTGTAATCGCGAACAATTTCAAAAATAAGATATACTTTTTGACTGTTACACAGAGTGTTCATTTGAAAACTTCCAACTACAGATTTAACGAAAACCACTAATTAAAAGAAAAAACGCCGAGACATGTCAAAAGATTTGTCAAGCGGGACAACTTTTTAACCAAAAACTACTTCACTCCCTTTCACCCTGGGCCCCCAGGGTCATTTCCTTAAAAATTTTAAAAACTTTTCAATTGAACACCCTGTATAAGATTTACATCACGAAAAACCATGTCTGTTGGTCCGCTAGTCTTTGGCTTGTCTATAACTTGGAAAGTACTGTTCGGATTTTTATAAAATTTTCACACAAGGTTACTGCTATGCCAAGGACAAAAAGGCTTTTTTAAGTCGGACCAGTGGCGGTGAAGCTAAAGGCGAAAAACGAAAAAATAAAGATTTGTCAAACTTCATTGTTTGAGATTTCATACACTCCTGAGGTCAAAAATGTAGGGTTGGGGGCTTGTAGGGGTGGGAGAGGATGTATCGCAATTGTTTGACTGCAATAGATTTGTAAACTTCTAGCCCCAGTATTTCGACGCTTATTAGGCATATTTCACACATATTTTTCACCGTATATTTATCCAAGGACTATTAATATAAATATAAGGTGCAGTAGCCACTGCTGGGCGAACGTCTACGCGACGAATTTGTTGAATAATTATTATCAATATATGAAAATGGATAAAGGATTTAATAGCAGTGACAATTACAATACGAAAAAGCCAAAAAAGCATGCACAGATTCACTATTCACCTAGGGATTTTTTCATTATCGTTATTGACCTAGGAAGGAATGCGGTAAATAATGGCGATTTCTCAGGTTAGTAGTGATGATGATGATGATTTTAATTGCGAAAACTGTCCACAGATCACAAAAACTAGTACACGTAGAAATTAACCTTTAGCATCATGTGTATTTCAAAATCGAAATTTTGTCAAACCATTGAAGTTTTTGGCGTCACAAACTTCGGCTGATGTTTGGTTAACCAAAAATTAAGTTTTCTAGCGAAACAGACTGGAAGGATATCGTGACCTTCGACAGAAGGTCCGACAAATTACAAATCAAAAAAATTATAATTTATTTGAAAAAATTGGTTAAACAAGTTTGACCTGGGTTACGTACGGGTATAATATTCATGATCTTGAAAACTCGGTTAAGAATTATAATTTTTGAGGTCGCCAAGTATGTAAATCAAAGATAAAATCTTGCTTTACAAGACCTTGAGACTTTTGAGATTACTCTATTTCAAATCGATTTTAACCTTGTTTTTCAGGCTAAAATTGCCGCGCTTTGGGTATTCGCAGACTGTACGTGGGTATATGCGCTTTTTGGGGGTCTGAATGGCTGTATCATCAATTCTCTTTCTTCGTGAGTCAACCGAAATATAGTTCTGTTCGGAATGATTGATCCAAAAAACCTGAAAAAAAATCGTCCGGGCCAAAAGATTATAATTTATTTAAAAAGATTGGTCAAACAAATTTGACCTGGGTTATGTGCGGGTATTCGTATTCTTTAAAACTCAGTTAAAAATTATGAATGTTAAGGTCGCCAAGTATGTAATTCCAAGATAAAATCTTGGTCTACAAGGCCTTGAGACTTTTGAGATTACTTTATTTTAAATGGATTTCAACCTTGTTTTTCAGGCTAAAATTGACGCGTTTTGGGCTTTCGCAGACTGTGCGTGGGTATTTGCGCTTTTGGGGGCTCTGAATGGCTATATCATCAATTATCTTTCTTCGTGAGTCAATCAAAATGTAGTTCAGTACATAGTTTCACTAGAAAAAAAGCTTAAAATACATTCCATATTTCTAGTTTATCTAATCTACAATATACAATGACATTGAAAATGCAACAGCGACTAGGAGTGCTGTAATTTTGAGCATTCTTTTACAAATTTTAAGTCTACTGAAAAAAAGATGGTGGTTAAAATTTTAACTCGAAATTTCGCAAAATAGCTGAGACATCCCACCTGAATGTTAGTAATGTGTTGAAGCACCTCTGTTCGCTACTCATTCGTTAAGTCGTCGCGGCATTGATTGTTCCCAGGCGAGCTGAATTTGGTTTCGTAGATCCTCCAATGTCTTTGGAGGGTGCGGTGAATTTTGAAACCTTCCCATCATGTCCCACACATGTTTGATGGGGGAAAGGTCTGGAGATCGAGGAGGCCACTCCAGATGCTTCTAAAAAGTCTAAACTAACACGTGCGATATGAGACCGTGCATTGTCCTGCTGAAAAAGTGGATCTTGCAATGTTGACGAAAAGGGAAGTAGATGAGGTAGTAAAGCTTCGTAGATATAGCGCTAGGCATGCTAACTAGAATGCACAACAATCGTGACCTGCTGCCGTAAGCAATGACACCCCATACTATAACACCCACAATGTGATGAATATCCCGTTCGATAGAAAATTGGAGGTTCTGCCTTTCACCATGTATCTATCTTATTCTTGCACGGCCACCATGTGTGTGGCCAAACAGAATCTGGACTCAAATCTGAGCACGACTGACCTCCATTCCATATTCCATTCAAGTCTCTCCCTACTCCATACCAATCGTTGCCGATGATGCTGTGGGGTCAGAGGTAGTACAAGATGGAAACGATATGAAAACAGCCAAAAGACTTTATTCGGCGATAAACTGTCTTCTTTGTTCTGGTTCGCAATTGCCCTTGTTGTGGAAAATCGATCTCTAAGTTCTAGTTGCCTCAGATAACGATCCTGTCTCTCTGTAGTCTGTATTTGACGTCAAGTAACTCTAACTCATCGATTTAGGCCTTCTTGGAACCACGCTCGACAACTTTTTATCACAGTAGCTTCGTTTAGATTCAACCGATTAGCGATTTCTCTAAAAGACATGTAACCCGATTATCGGACCCCTCTCAAATTCGGAAAGTTGAGTGAAACTATCGCGTCTGTGAACTCTAAGCATGACAATGCAATGAAACAAGTGGAACCAACACAGAAACATCACTGAATACAAATATTAAGTAAACATGTTCATATTGTTCGGATCCTGATATGACAGAAAAAGCCTTTACAAAAAAGTACGCCTCGGAGTGCCTTCAACATTTCATCCGCGTATACTTCCATGATAGCAAATGTATTCACAAATTTTTATCAAAATGCAATAAATAATTCTGACTTATATGTCACGTAGTATACATTCAACGTATTATTCCTTATCTGTTCTACTCTTATTTTTATTTTATTTGTTTCAGCTCATTAATTTACGCGGTTTATCTTCGGTTATTTACCATAATAAAATATCCCCAACAAACGGTACTTTACCTTATTCTGCTACTTTTATAAGGCATATCAAGTGTTGTCCGCAAGCTTATTACGGTGGAAACTGTGAGTGAGACATCATTGTAAAATGAAGTGCATAGTGATTCTCGGATTTTGCTTAGTGGTCGTTAATGGTATGCCTTTTGAGTTTGCTGAAGATGAAGAAGGACTAAAATATTACATGGTGCCTTTAAGCAGGGAGAGGAGGTAAGCTATGTTCCGACTTTGTGAGTGTACCATGGTAAACGTCTCGGGCAACTAATTTTATTGTGCGATAGTTTTTTTTTGGTAATATCTCGCTTTCCAGTAGCGGAGCATTAATGTATGAGATGTTAATTAGGTTAGTCGGAACTTGGTTTGCTTGACCACCCACACAAAGGAAAAGAAATCTAACAGTACTGACGTAACCTAATTAACAGTAAAAAGAGAGCCAAATAAAACAAGATATCAAAAAAAATCTCAATGTATTGCTTCAGCAAACAGCACACATTAATGCTCCGCTACTGGAGTGCGAGAAAGGATGTTACCAAAAAAAAAAATATCGCACAATAAAATTAATTGCCCGAGACGTTTACCATGGTATACGCTTTACATATACACACATCATCAAAAGTGTTGGACCCATGTATAAATCCGTCTAGAGGTACGTTATCTTCATTCTGTTTGTGAACAAAAAATCTTTATATATTTAGCAAGCAAAAAACTCAAAAAACCGTTGAGATAAAAATGTGTTTGAATTTTTATAGAAATAAGTCAGTTTAACGGTAGGGTTTGAGCAAAAAGTATTAAAATGAAATTTTATACTGTAACTTTTAAAATGCCGCGAGCTGAAATTTCTGGTTTTGATAGAACACGAATAGTAGCCCTCTTCCAAACTGGATTTTCAAATCACCGAATAGCACTGGATTTGGGTATCCCAAGAAGTTCGGTTATTCGAAAAATTCAAAGATTCCAAGAAACTGGCTCAGTTGAAAATCGGCCACGCAGTGGGCGTCCTCGAGTAACAGATTATAGGGAGAATCGTCACATTGCTCTATTTGCCCGAAGGAATAGATTTTCAACAAGTACAGCTATCAGATCGCATATTCGACATTCCTTTCGAAGAGTTATTTCCACTTCTACCATCAGAAGAAGACTGCGAATGGCAAATTTGCGCCCTAGAAGACCTTTAAGGGTTCCACGTCTTATTCGTAGACAAATTGCTGCTCTTCTCCAGTGGGCTAGAGAACATCAGGAGTGGCTTTTACTACAGTGGCGAAATGTGATATTTACAGATGAGGTTAGGCTTGGACTGGTGAGTGATGACCGTAGAATAAGAGTTTGGAGAGAACCAGGACATCAACAGCGACTAAATTTGTCCCGAGAAGTTGTCCCATATCAGGGCGGATCTGTTTTGGGGATGCAAAATGTTTAACCACCGGAGTCCTTTAATTCAGATCTAGGGGACAATGACTGCAGAAATTTATGAAGAAAATGACATACAACCCATTATTCAACCTATGCGAAATAAATTCGGCAACAGATTCATTTTTATGGATGATAATGCAAGGCAACATAGAGCGAGAAGGGTCCAGCGGGCTCTAGAAAGGGGCCAAATAGTGAGATTGCCCTGGCCTGCGAACAGCCCAGACATGAACCCCATTGAAAACATTTGGGACACTATAGCTCGAGCCGTACGGAACAGAATAGATCCACCTACAACCCTAAATGAGCTGGCTGCAGCACTAAATGAAGAGTGGAATAATTTACCCCAAGAAAACATTAACCACCGAATAATAGGAATTCCAAGGCGTGTTAACGCACTGCGAAGATCTAGAGGACACCGAAATGGTTACTAATTATGTTTTATTTTTCTTTAGACTAATTATTTTTCTTTAATTTTGATTTTTAAAAATAAAATTTTTGGTACCTTACTTGTTACTTGTTACTGGTACTTTCTTTTTCTTTTCATATAATTGAAATTAATTTAACGTTTTGTCAAATAAATATAGTGGAAATATCCCCAATTTAAAATATATCAAAGATTGAAATTAAAAGGCTATAGCTTCCCAGTACGCCAGGGGGTCTAACACTTTTGATGATGTGTGTATTTTTGCGTCTAAACTACACTTATCTGTGCGGAGGTGTTCTAGTTACGGCTAGGCGCAACCGAGATTGATCTCAGGTCAATAAAAACAAAAAAAGAAGCCAGTAGTGGGCACGTCACGAGGTAGCTTGCCTCGGGTCCAAAATTTACGGTATGACCATAAAAAGAAACCCTGTTCACATCAGGGTTTTTTTTTACAAAGGGGAAGGGGTGGCTTCCGGCAATTCCGGCCGCAAAGCAGCTACAAGCTAAGCTGGACGAGTATATGGTGTTCTCCGTAATGTCTCCCTCGCTCAAGATTAGAATCTCATAAAAAAATGGAAGGGGTAGCACCCAAACCAAAACAACTAAACGTATAAAGGGGTACTACTACACTAACTGGTGTTCGGCACCTTAGATCCCAGAATCTGGAGATTGAACAAAATGGCGCTCACACCAGAACTTCAGGAGGAAAGTAAATGATACCAAACACCTAACTTTATAAAGGAAGGTTCAATGAGTGGCCTTCAAGAAGATATGTTCTACAGGAAACCAAGTGAGAAAGGAAGATGTATGTGAAATGTGTGAAATTATACAATCAATAAACTATGAAATTTACCAAAAGAAAGTCATTGAAAAGGCTTTCTTCTAGGAATGGGCACTCTATCATTAATAAAAAGAAACTCAAATTACTAGTCAGTGATTAAAATATTAAACAAAAAATTTACGTGATTTTAGCACATGACAAGATCTTAGTATGTGCAATCTGATGGGAAGGACGGGCCTAGCAACATTATAAAAAATAGTAACGTTTGTTGGTTAAATGGCTCAGGATGTATCTGCACATCTAAAGGCCCCTTTTAACGAATCTTCATGTTGCCAGATCCAAAGTTGCGTACAAAATTGTTTAAATATTTTTTAAGCATATTCCAAAAACTGTTTCTCTCAGGACGAATATTTTTTTAGCTGTTTTGGGCCTTTCTGAACAAAACCTTTCCTGAAATTTTCTCTAATGCTTATAGTTTTCGAGATATTCGCGAAATAATATTTAAAAAAGTGCAAAATACGAAACAGGGGCCGCCGTCAGCTGCATCTCTCTCTTGCCCCCACCCAGAATTTACGCGATTGAGAGTTTTAAAATGAATGGATCTTCAAAGAATACTTGGGAATCTTGGCAACATTAGAATTTTCATTTTTACTTCCTATGCCAAAACTGGCGAGGAAGTATTGTAATCTCGTGGATTGTCGAAATCGAGATATTATGTTTTTTGGATGTTATATGACTGTACATCACGAAAAACAATGTCACTAATTTCCGTCGATCTGTCTGTTAGACTGTCTGTCGATCTGTCCGCTAATTTTATAACCGCTTGTAACTTGAGAAGTAGCGTTCGCATTTTAATGAAATTTTCATACAGAGTTACTAATATGTCAAGGATAAAAATCTTTACTTTTTGAGAATCGGTCTAGTGGAGGCAGAGAAAAAACGAAAAAAAAATAAAATCGCTCAATCTTCGTTTTTTTGACGTTTCAGAGGGTCCTGATCATGTTCAGAAAAAAATTTGTATGAGTTGAAATTTGTCGGTTCGGAGGCGTAGGGGGTGGGGGCGGGTATATGGTTTTTTGATCTTTGTATATTTATACGCTCCCTACCCCGATCGTTCTGTGCAACTATTAGCCATATTTCAAAAATCAAATAAAAAGGGTACTTTAAAAGTTTTGCAATACAGCTTTATGTATTGAATTCGTAAGTAATTTCCATCACATTCAATACACTTCTCCATTCGTCAAAACCAGACCTTAAACCAGCTCTGCCAAGTTTCACCCGGGAGTGCGGCACACTCGGAAGGTCCTCATCGCTAGAAAACTGTTTTTCTCTTAACTTCATTTCTCAGCGAGCAAGACCTGGACTATAAAGAGGGTGATCAATAAGTTTCAGTCCAGTAGTGGTCAAAGACCCGGTGCGGTGAGCTGAAGCGTTGTCATGGTGGAGATACCAGGTGTCCATTCTTGACTTTGGCTGCAGGTTTTTCATAGACTCCATAATTTTCAGCAGGCACTGTTTCAGGTACCACTTAGCTGTGACTGTATTCTTTCTGTCCAGAACGACACGCTCCACGATCCCGCTCGCTTTGATAAATACAGCTATCACTTTTTTGTTAACAGATTGGGATTTTCTAACAGGTACGGGTGTGTCTGAATCATCAAAGACCCAAACTTTGTTTTGAGCCGAGCCTTGAGCGGCACATCGTAATAATAGAGCCAAGTCACGTCACCTGTCACGATGCTGTTCACATACCTAGATTGCCCCTGATCAAACATTTTCATCATCTTGCAACACCAAGTTTCAACAAAGTTCTCTTAGGTGTAAATGGTCATACAGAATTGAATGAGTTGCTGGTGCATGAAGGTGTAAGGTCTCCTCTACCTGTTGGTATGTCACTCTCGCCTTCGACAAGCATTGTCCTCACAGCAGTAATGTTTTCCTCTGTTACTGACGTTCGCGGCCTTCCTTCCCTCTCAGCGTCCTCTAGAGTGAAATTGCCCCTTTGGAATTCTCTGTACCACCTGAATATAGTCGTAAGATAAGGACAATCATTCTTTAATGCAAGTGTCATTTCTTCTAAGCACTGGTCTATGCCACGCGTAAAGTTATACCGTAACACTGCCCTTATCTCACTACGTGGCTACGATTCCATGTTCCGCACTTTACATTGTCAATACAAATGAACAACTAAAGCACCAGACGTGCTGCTGGCGGCTACTATGCACTCATGGACATGTCTCAACATGCAGTCTCCTGCGTCCGTTTGTTATGTCATATTGCAAAACTTTTATAGTGCCCTTTGTATTTACCCGTACATTTGCCTTTAAAACTTTGAATGATAGAGACATGTTTCGATCCGCGTACTCGTGCCTACTGAACTATTCCGATCGATGATTCCGACTCATATACAGGTTATGTTATATGTTATGAAAGATGACGCATTAGGCTAAAGAACGGCAACGCTGTCTCCCTCTCAGGTGACGCGGCTACACTCGACCGCCAGCTAGGGATGTTCGATACGATCCGATATTTAGGAGTATCGATACTTTTGTCTCCGATACCCGATATTTTGGACCGATATTTTTATATACGATACTTGGGTGTATCGATATATTTCACGGGTATCGTTATCTTTCGATCCGAACTGTATCAGAAAGAGTGAATAACTTCAATTTACTTTCCTTCTTTAGGCGATTTTTTTATCAGAGGTTCTGGTTGACCTTGAGTGACAGAAATCACACAAATGATAGAGATCAATGCATACAGAGTTGCCAGAGCGTGAGGACGGATTTTCACACATAGTGGAAATTGGGCATTACGATTTGCCAAAATGAGCAATCCAAAAGAAAGAGTGCTCTAAAATAAAAACTGAAAGACAAAAAAATCCCTTTTTCACCATTTGTGTTAAAATTATCTATTTTCCATGGTCTGGCAAATCAGTTTCTTCTTCGAATTTCGATGAGTTCCTGTTTTCTCTGGCAATTCAGTTTAAATTTACCGCTTTCATTAGTGTCATATTTATGTCTGTTACATATTTCAAACAAAGTGTTGCAGCATCAGATCAGTTAAGAAAAGCGCAACAGCATCAAAGCGCCCTTAGACTAATTCAATCAGTGCCAAAGAGATGGAATTCAAAATATTTTATGTTAGAGCGATTTGTCAAACTCCATGAATAAGTGGCTGTTATTTTAATAAGAAATCCCAAGTCTCCAGAAATGTTAAGTGCTTTAGAATTGGAAACAGTAAAAGAGGTTTTAAGTATTTTAGCCCCAGTAGAGGCAGTTTCTAGAGAGATGTGTGAGGAGAAAAATTTACCTGCAGTAAAGTTATACCCATTGTAAATTGCCGCTTGAAAAAAATTGAAAATTTTACTCCATCAACAACAAAGGATTTAGCTCTGAAAACACTAACACTCGAGGAACTTTTAAAACGTTTTGGGAGCATCGAGCAGATGAAACTTTTAGCTGTCTCAAATATCCTAGACCCTCATTTTAAACGATTGCACTTCAACAGTCCAATGTCTTGTGCTAAGTCACCTTCCTGAATGAATCATTTCAGTTGCGACAGAAAAGGCAGAGCAAAATCAAATTAATATTCTTGAAAAATCTGACAGTGTTTGGGTCTACCATGAAAATCTAGCCCAAAATCATACGGATAAATATGATGATACCAAATCAGATACTGACCTTGAGCTAAAACTGTATTTCAATAGTCCTACTATGCCCCTAAACTCGGATCCCTTTTTGTACTGGAATAGCTCAAGTTCTTCCTCATAGGTATTTAAAGAAATGGCTGATAAATACATGTATATCTCTGTTGTTGGCACATCAGTTCCCTCAGAGACACTCTTTTCTGAAGCCGGAAATATACACTACCAAACCCGAAACAGATTATCTGGAGATCGAATGTCAAATTATGCTTACATTCGCTGAGTGCTGAAGAATGGTATTTTTAAGATTTCGAACTTCGAGTTATTTGTAGTATTGTTTTTAATACCCTATGTTTATATATTTTATGTTAATAATAAATAAATAATCGTTTTGTAATGAATTTCTTAGTATATATTTTTTTACCTTTTTTTGTGATCTTATTTGACAGTCGTCATGCAGTTGAAAAAAGTGACGTTATTTAGAGGGTTGTAAAAAAGCAACTTCGATTTTCGGCAGTGTATAGTCGAAAGGTATCGATACACATGGGATCGATGTTTTTATTCCGATATTTTAATGGATCGATACTCCATTAAACGATACGAATCGATACTTGGTATCGATATTTTACGTGGATCGGAACATCCCTACCGCCAGCGCCGACCGCGCTGACCAAGCTGCATGCGCAGCTTGCACGAACGGAATAACTCGCTGCAGAGATGCCGCGCAGATGTGGAAAGAATCAACGTTGCCACATTGTCGGTAACTACCAGTAGGGCAGGGATCTTTTCCCTGCCCTACTGTATGTAGACTAATTGTATGGGCCTGATTGACTGAGTTAATACGTTTAATTTCTCTATTCTACATGTCATTAATTAAATATTTTGTCAGAGGATTTAAATTACACTGAAATTAATGCTTTATGGCCTGACGACGGCGTTGCGTGCAGAGTTAACCAACTTCTCGCCTTCTTTCATGTTCCTTAGAAACAATGTTGAAACAATTTTTAACAGAATTTTGGTCCTGGCAATATGCAGAGTCGTTAAAAGGGTTTCTATTTTGAATTGGGTTATGAAAACAAAAAACTAATCAGAATATTTTCCCGAGCGGATTTGAAGATACTTCCTGGACTAAAAACAGAAAAACAAATATTTTTGACTATTAGTCAGAACCTTCGTTTATTTTTCAGAGAAGCCCCTAAGATTGACTGGAATCCGAAGCCGGAAGAACCCAGACTCCGTGTAAATGGTGATGCAGGTCATGGTCCATCTGGTACAGATTTTCGCGGAACTGCTGAATACGACTTTTACAGGTAAATAATTTATTTAATTTAAATAAGTCTAGATTCCCCATTACAGGACTATACCAAAGAATAATTATACTGAGAGCAGGCAGCTGTACAAGGGGAATGAATTAATTAAAAATACGTTACAAAAAATTAGTCACTACCTTATCTCGTCCTGTTTGTCTTTTTACTTGAGAATCTGAGGGTCTTATGTTTCTGCTGCTTACTGGGTGTGTTGTTTGACTCGATATGTGTGTGGAAAAAGACGAGCCGCTGTTGAAGAAGATACACACTTTTCGACCATTTTAGACTTTGATAACAAGAGCTAATATCAGCATTCAACTTCAATTATCTACATTGAATTCCATAGTCCACCGTGTGTCCAATGACGAAAAAGGAGAAAGAAGCTTCGGTTACCGATGAAGTGAATAAAAACGTGAGTAAGGCTTGTCTAACACCAACAGCACAATGATCGGAAAAAGTGAGAACCTAAAAGTAATAAGTAATCTTAAGCAAGAATTATTGTAAAAAGATGAAAAACCTAGAACTGCGTGACACAATTTTCTTGGAAAAGGGCAGATTGATTTATCAGTTATCCAACGAAAATCGGAGGTCACAAGAACAACTTGATTTAGTTAAAAGTGGTATCATTGATCGAGACACTATTGTTGATACCCTCCAGAAAATTAACAAAACAATCGAAGATATTGAAAAGACAAATACACATAAACAATCATCTTATGATCAAGTTGTATCCAAAAACGCAAGAGTAGACGTCAAGGATAAATCTTTAAAGACGAGAAGATGAGAAGAGATCTAAATAAAGTTTGAATTTATCGAGTCTCAAAGTAAGAATTGAACATATTAAAAATTCCAAAAATGGCGGGATCTAAAGGGATGTAGAGGATTGCCACCACCGAAAATTAAAAGAAGAGATTTCCAAGCACTTGCCATCGTCATATAAAATCAGCGAACCCAAAAAGTGCGACCCAAAGATTAAAATTGTCGGATACCCCTGTGACGAGATCAATGAAAAAGAAATTCAACATGAAATCGTATGTCAGAACCATTTCATTCCAGAAAAAGATATTAAAATCACCTTTGTTAGTTACAATTCGCTAAATATTTATTCAACCAAATTTTTAGTTGCGAAAAGAACAATTTTTTTTTCGGACTTCAGATCTTCAACGTTTAACCAAATAACGATATTACACAATGCAGAAGTTGCCTCAAATTCAGTCATTCTAATAAGAAGTGTAGGAATGAGAAAACATGTATACAGTGTTGCGAAAAGCATGTTGAAATTGCACATACTCTAATATGAAATTTAACAAAAATTATAACATAAACGATACTGGTAGGAGTTGTCCTGTCTAAAATTTTTCCAAAAAACACGAATTTTGCGAATTTCATTTTAAAATTAATTACTATCGATACAAAAACTAAGCAGTGCAGTAGCAAAGAAATTAAATTAGGACACTTAAACATGCGTTCACTTTACCTTCACTATCTGAGTTACCTTTTATTCGGGAAAACTAGAAAACTTGATGTATTTGGTTCTATCCGGAACATGACTTAATAGTAAAATCGACATTAGTTCACTTAACATTGACTGTTACACTTATTATACTATTTAGTTTAGTAACAAAGGAGGAGTGTCAGCTTCAAATTCAAATTCTGTCTAGCCTCAAACTGCTTATATCACCAACAGTCGGTTTATTTGACATGGTGCAAGTTTTTTGACCTGGCCTTTAAGATTATATGTTTACTTATTTCTTATATCTTTGACATACCTAACTGCTAACTAATTCCCAAGGAGACGGCGATTTTTTGCGTGTTTAGTAACAGTAGTCAAACCCTTAAATTGCAAGGAGCACCTCTCAGCCATTGTCGAGGAAAGTTTTGTCTAGATAATAAAATATCTTATAATCAGCGCACAGTGTGTTAATGAATTTACAACTCTCCGAACATTGGAGTTATGAAAATTCGATGATGAAAAAGTGCCTACATGTACTGTTAGAGTAATATCTGCAAAGTGTACTTCACTCGTACAAACTCGTAATGTTTACTTTTACAGACAAGCTAAAAATTAATTCTCATGAGGACTGTATCAAAATTCAGTCGATCGTTTATCATCAGCTCTCCTCTCCAATCTTTACAAAAGCGATCAAATATGCCTGGAATGCTTCAAAGCCATCTAAAGAAGACATTATTAAAAATAGGCGCGTCTTATAACTTAAGGGTGTAAGTACTCTTACTGAGTATGTATTACCCCCAAAAGCTAATTTGAATATCTCATACCCATGCCGTCTCTTTGATAGTATAAATGTGGCGTTTTCTAAACATTTTATGTCAGTTTGGCAATATCGCCCCGATCACCTATGAGCGAATCACCAAACGAACGACAGTCCGCTCTTAGATCGTTGTTTTTTTTTGTAAACCAGTAATAGTCCAAGATCCGATTGTAAAGTTTTAGTTACATCGCGTACTGAAATATGTTAAAATCTTACGTATTTTGATGCTTTTTATTGTATCAGATCAGCACGCGATGATGAACTATGAATTTTAGGTTGGCTCCTCTAATATAACGCCGCAGAAACCCAAAGTCAGTAAAGCCGACCATGATAAAGGCATTCCACGAAGTGTCTTTCTTCTACTTGAGATAACTCCTCTTTACCTATTCTCTCAATTTATAAAAGTGTTCAGATCTCCACGGCCAGGCTCATAATAGCCAACGGCAAACTATACATTCTTGTTATGTGTGATTTGGTTTCCTAACATACTTCATAGACAGATCAAAATAATAGTGTAACTTGCGTATCAAAGTCTGCATCGCTAGACAGCAGCACTAAGCCATAGTTGCCATTTACACTATGATGTTTGGATGGCATAGAATGGATGACAGAACTAATGAAACGTTTTTTATTTACTAGGAATAGGGATCTGACTGTAGGAGCAGGAGGATCATATGGAAGGCACTATGGAGGACCAGGAGGAACTGGACCTCCATCATCTGGAGGGCACGCTTACATTCGTTACAGATTTTGAGAACTAATATATGATCAGTTTACTTTCTTTACTAGATAAATAAAGCTTATGTAAAAGGAATTCCTATTATTTACGTCGTTTCTAGTCGATTGGAATCCCTATTGCAGAGATGGAAATCAATTTTGAAGAAGAAAACATTATTGGATTCCCCTAAACGCCCAACGGTTGCACTTTTTTCAGTAAAATGATTCGTATTGCTATGTCTTGGGAAGAAAATTATCTTGCTAGACCAGAATCGTGGAGGCTTACACCTCCCCTCCTCCTTGCTGTACCCCAACCCTCGCTCTTCAAAATTGTCAGAAGGGCATTGGCTCTTAAAGCCCTGATACGCATGCAGCCGCTGCTTTAGTAATACATATTTTAACTTTTAATCTATGCCTGGAAATACCCATTTAGAGAAGCACCAAAAAAAGATTGAAGATCCCAACACCATGTATGAGACAGTATCAGAACCAAACACTCTAAACTCTAATTCTTTTTAAAGTACGTTTCTAAATTCATTTTTGGGTTCTGATACTGTTTCATAGATGGCGCTAATATCTGTCAGATTTGTTTTCGGGCAGCAAAATATAGTATATAGTTGGCTAGGAGGGCGGGTCTTGAGGCTTAGGAAATGTAGGGGTGCATAAGGGCCTGTCTAATTCTATTCAACTTAGGTTAATTACGTTAATCAGTGGTCTTACACAGAATGAGAAAAAAACCAATCGGTCTAGTTACAATTGAACGACCTGAAGCAACATTTTTGGTACATATATTTCAGAGCGAGAAATATGAATTGCTTCAGCTAATCATGAAGCGCAAAATTAAGGGTAACATCATGGACTAGACTAGGGTAGATGCGCAGACACTTTTAACAAGAGCTAAGTAATGAATTTGTGTTGTTCTGGCCAACATTCACGAAACAGACATTCAGAGTGCCAAGCCGATCTCTGCCGATAATCTGGAGAGAAGAAGACTAATAGCGACTTCCTCACCGACTATAGATTTGTACCTTGACTAACAAGAACTGCCCTATTGTTCATCTCGTTATGCGGGAATTCCAGATTACCGAGAACTTGATTTGTCAAGAACACATCTTGTCAATCGCAGCAGCTGCTGGGGAAGAGCTGAACTGTTCGTTTAGAGGTAAGAATTACTTTTCTGCTCATAACTACTGTATTGTTGCTCCATGCTGTTAAGAGGAGAACTGACCGACTGATCGGTGACACTTCTCTAACATACAGTCTCGGGACCTCTTCGCACCGACGTGACGGGCGGTCAGCGACCTAACTCTTTTCTACCTCTATGTCAACGGGCTTTGTCTCTCGGAGCTCTCCTCTATGACCTCAAGCCAGGTCTCTGCATCCCATCCTAACACTGTCGAACTCCGTACATCCATAACTGACCTCTACTACCGCTCTTTTATTCTTAGTGTGTCGAGATCGTGGAACAATTTGCCTGAGGAGGCGTTTCCCGTAGGGGTTAGTACGCATCTTGAAAGGTGACATTATGTCGGGTTTCTTTGACATTTTTGTGACATCATTTTCTACAAGATATCCACTTAGAACCAGCTCACTTGATGGGCACTCGTTCTGTAACAATACGTATTGCCTAAGCGTATTGACGCTATGGTTTAGTTCTGATGTGATGAAACATCTGCTACACAGATGGCATTATTAGATCTATGCTGTAAGTTGTATACTATAGCTAGAAGGAAGCGGCAATGCATAGACGCATAGTGAGGATTTGTGTGCTAATAATGTGTGTTGATGATAATTCCATTGGACTCTTGTCTCAAATGCACTTACTTGAGACTCAAAGCTAGAAATTAGTTGCGCATCCACTTTTTCTTATCTATTCTGGAAATTACATATGCAAATTTGCTGAATTTTAAAAATGAGATGAGGTTCACTGTACACTGTCGAATTACAAGTCGTATACATGCTAACAGTAATTACACCCGACGCAGGCGCGGTGGAGATTTCTCGTAATTCTACTCAAAGTTTTTGAAAACACAAAAAACCTTAAAAATCGTAATTTATAACTTTGAAAAAAGGACAACATATAAACAACATGTCGTGCGGAGCATATTCAGTAATGATTTTCTCCTACAGCAAATATCACTGATTTTATACACACGCAGACCAATACACAGGCTACTCGGCTTCACAAAATATATGCAACCAACAATGCATGTAGTTGAGTCATTCATCCATAGATGGACGCTCACAACAATCCTAGTGAGCAAGCGTGGAATTACTGTTTGCAGCCTAAAAGGTACCCAGTCTGTAAGATGACATTTTAGTTTTTTTTACGTTTTATAGGTTTTTCACATATGTAATACCCATGCGGGTTATTTTATTCTGGTATATCTTGTATAGACCGAAAAGTGCCAAAGCATGTTTTTCTCGTCGCAGCTAGTGGTTTTGCTGATATATCACATCTCATATTTACTTACCAGCAATTTGATACTTATCGCCCCTGTGAATTAACAGCGGCCCTCCTGAGTCTCCTTGACAGCTGTCTCTGCTGCCACTGCCAGCACACAGCATATACTGAGTAATCCTGGACGCCCTGTATCGCATCGCCCGGCATTGGGATAGAGACAGTATGGGTACCTCTACTTCGTGTACCACAGATGGTAGATGCCCACCCTCGGAGAGTCGGCCCCATCCTACTACTGTGGCGTTCATGCCTGCTAGCTCGACACTGGCCGCTTGAATAAAAAAAATGTTATATGAAATTCAAGAAAACTTATTAAAAGAACTAGGCTGTCTCTGGACTTCCCACGGAACGCCGTTATCAGTGCATAATACAGGGTGAGCCATAAAGGTGTTGGCAATTTCAATATTCAATTAAAAAATAACTACGCAATATAAAAGAAAAATAAATGTATTTTGAAAAAGTAGAAAGATAGGAATTTTTAAGACTTAAAAATAATGTTGTTCAAATTACTTCCTTCGGCTGCTTGGCACTTTTGAAACTGAAGCTGCAGATTTTGGAAGACTCGTTGAAAAGTTGTTCTCGGTATTTCGTTACTTTCCTGAACAATATTCCTTTTCAGCTGCTCTAAATTAGTTGGATTATTCTCGTAGACCACCGATTTGAGGTAGCCGCATAGGAAATAATCGCACGATCGAGTCTACGTGGTGGCCATTCAATATCCCCCTTTTCAAAATGAGTTTTCCGCAAAAGACATTTTTCAGCAGCTCTATAGATACCCTAGCTGTATGACATGTGTCCCCATCTTGTTGAAACCACATTCTAGAGCTATTGCCTTGGAGTTCTTGCAAAGCTGGCACCAAAAGGTCTGTTATCATATTGCAATAATTGTCAGCTTTAACTGTCATCGCTTGCCCTCTTTCGTCCTCAAAAATGTACTGTCCAAAAATACCGGTTGACGTAATTCCAGCCACACGACTAGTTTATTGCTGTGAAGTGGACGTTCACGCAAGCGTCGGGGATTAGTTTCGGAGCAGAACCGACAATTTTGTTTGTTAACATGGACATTGATGTGAAAATTGGCCTCATCACTAAACATCACGTTGTTAAAACTACTGAATCGGTCGAGCATAAAATTGACAAAGTTAAGACGATTATTGGGATGATCTGGTTTTAATTCTTTGACTAGCTGAATCTTATAAGTCTTCAATGCAAATCACGCTTCAAAATTCAACGTAAACTCGTTCTTTTGATGTCCAAAGCCTGACTTCTCTTGTACAGATATGTAACAACACCGCGAACCGAACCACGCGACGAACCGCGCCGCGCTAGTGTAGACGGTGGAAAGAACGCCGTCGCGAACCTGATTAGCGTTACAGATCGCCGTTCGGCCCGATTCAGACTGTCGGTTTTTCAGCGCAACATGGTTTGTATATTTTCCGTTAAAACTTCGATCAATGCTCCACAAACTTCTTGAATGATGTAGCTGATCGATTGCTTTTAAATTAAATTAAATTGTCTTCGTATTTTTGGTCCAATCAACGTGAGAAGATCTTCAACGTCAGTCAGAGACATCCTAGTAAAATTTTTGTTCTCTCCACTTACTTGTTGATATTTCAATTCCGCTATCATATTGTCGCAGCCGTGTGCTCTATTGGTATATAACTGCGTTTGCCACCATCGTCTCGGACGTCGTTGTCGCTTGCGTTTGGATAATCCGTAGTGAATATAAATAATATATATCCGTTTCCGCTAGTATTCGTCTTTCGCTGAACTTTCAAACACCAAAATTGGATCGACACTTTCTTGCGCAATGGGGTTGCACGACGTCGTTCGGTTTGTGGTAATGTTCGTTGCAATTTTGTTCGTCGCCAACACACTCTTATGGCCCACCTTGTAGTTTAACCCTGTAATGCTTAGTGGGGTTTCGCATCACCCCAAAGAAAATTCAAATGTTCACTAATTTTTTGTGCATAAATTGGCAACATCGGAGATCCCGCTATGTTCATTTGAGGTTAACGTGTGTGTGTTGTTGGTCGCACATTTTTGTTCAGTGCAATAGTTTATATGGTATTTTGTGTTTGGGGTGACGAGTAACCCCAGGTAAGCTTAAACTGGTAATTTTATTTCATTCCACACACTAGATTACGTAATTTATTTAGATGGCTGTCCGACCAGATGATCCCAAATTTGAAGAAACTCTGTTACGATGGAATGAAGAACTCGACAATGAACCTGATTCAGATAATGACGGCACTGACTATGACGACCATGTTTCAATTCAGTCCGACAGGGAGAGCACCTACTCAACGGATGATAGTGAGGTAGAGAGTGAGACAGAACAACAACTTCCTGGCAAAGTAATAAAAGGAAAAAATGGACATATTTGGAGCACTGAGCTTCCATGTCGTACTCGAACACCTAAGCGAAACATTGTTTCATGTATTCCAGGACCAAAAGGTGCGACCAAAAATATTTCAACGGAATTAGAGGCATGGAAGTTATTTTTTAGCGCGAATGTTATAGATATTATAGTGGTGCATACAAATATGGAAATAGAACGACAAAGAGGGAAATATGTTGCTAATTGTGGCTTTGTTAACGAGACAGACGTTGAAGAGATCCTGGCTTTGATAGGACTGCTTTATATGACAGGTTGTAGAAAAGACAATCATCTAACTACAGCAGAAATGTGGTCAAAGCATGGACCAGAAGTGTATCGATGCGTAATGAGTGAAACAAGGTTTAGATTTTTGATATCTTGCCTCAGATTTGACGAAAAAACCATGAGAGACCGAGAAGATAAATTTTCTCCAGTACGTAATATATGGGAAATAATGTTCATATCTAACTGTACAAAATACTATACTCCTCACAGTTATTGTACCATCGACGAACAGTATAGAGTATATATTTCATCAAAACCTGACAAATATGGAATCAAAGTTGTAACGATGTGTGATTCACGCACATATTATATGGTTACTGCTATTCCATATATCGGCAAAGAAAATAGGCCAGATAAAGAACCTCTCCCAGCTTATTACGTAAGAAAACTGACAGAACCCTTTCACGGAACCGGACGCAATTTGACGATGGACAATTGGTTTACTTCCATCCCACTGGCTGACAAAATGCTTGTTGACTACAACTTGACCATTGTGGGTACTCTCAGAAAAAACAAGAGGGAAATTCCTCCATCATTTCTCCCAAACAAACGAAAAGAAATTATGTCTTCTCAATTTGGATTCGACAACCAAAAAACCTTGGTGTCCTTCACACCCAAGAAGTCTAAATCTATGCTACTTTTATCGACAATGCATTCTGGTAGTACAATAGATGAAAATAAAAACCCGAGATAATAAATTTTTACAATTCTACCAAAGGAGGTGTCGATACCTTTGACCAGATGGTGCACACATATTCGGTATCCCGCAAAACACGCAGGTGGCCATTACGCTTTTTTTATGGTATAATGGATCAAGCAGGCATTAACTCCAACATTATTTTCCAAATTGTTAAGCGTGATAGACAAAAAAGTGTTCGTCGAAAATACTTATTTGAACTTGGACTACAACTGGTCAGGCCTCATATGGAAAGACGTTTGACAAAACCAATACCTCGAAAATTGAAAGAATCAATAATGAATATTCTAGATATGAAAACAGAAGAAAAAGTTGATCCACCTCCAGCAAAATTGCTAAAACAGACTCGCTGCATTTTATGTCCAAGAACAATAAAACCTGCCTGTGCGAAATGTTTCAAGGCTGTTTGCAGTAATCATCGAGCTGAAATATGTACCGAGTGTTTGAAATAAATGTTTTATTATTGAAACAAAAGTGTCTATCTTTTATATTTTGTTCATTAAATAGGAATATATCACTGGGGTTATTGGTAACCCCGCCTAAGCAACTATAGCCGTGCTATTCGCCTAAGCGCTCCAGGGTTAACTCGGTTCAGCACAAACTAGACCCTCCGAGGATAAATTCAGTCAAACAGGTCCATGGACATTGTTTATCTGCCCTACCCTCACGGTATTACGTATCTTGAAAAGTGACATTCTGTCGACTTTTTTGACATTACGTTGGTTTTTTGTGACATTATGTAGGTTTTTCTACAAGATGTTAACTTAGCACTAGCTGAAGGACACGTTGTGAACTCGTTTTGTAGTTGTACGTGATGCCTAAACGTCGTGAGGCTTCCGTTATCAATGTTTGGTTCTGATGTGATGTAAAATCTGCTTCAGAGATGGCATTGCTGGAGGTACCGGCAATGCATAGGTGCATAGTGAGGGTATGTTTGCTAATAATATGTGTTGATGATAATTCCATTGGATTCTTATCTCAAATACGCTTACTTGAGATTCAGAGCTAGAAATTAGTTGCGCATCCACTTTTTCTTATCATTTCTGGGAATTACATATGCAAATTTCCTGAATATCAAAAATGAGAAATATCTATATTCACTGTACACTGTCGAAATGCTAGTCATATACATGCTAACAGTAATTACACACAACACGGGCGCGGCAGCGATTTCCCGTAAAAGTTTTTGAAAACACAAAAAAACGTAAAAAGTCGTGATGTGTAACTTTAAACATAACCTGTCTTCAGAAAGTGCAGCATATAGATAACCCGTCGGGCACAGCTAATAGATATACTTCAATGGCAGCATATTCCGTAATGACTTTCTGACACAGCAAATATCACTGATTTTATACATATCTGTTACACATATTTGTTTGTTTTATCTAATTTTAACAAATTTCCATTCGACATTTTTTTTATCTTGAGCCGCCATGCAGGCCTAACCATCCGATTTAGCTCCAGTTGAATGTTAGGTTAAAAGCCGAATATCGGCTTCGGAAAAAATGGCCCTTAGGGTATTTCACACCTAAGTTCCATCCGAATCCAAAATGGATAGGACGTAAACGACAGGCTAGGGGATCGCAACCCTAGTTCTAACGACACTCTTCATTCGTTAGGACCTTGACGTACTCAGTATTTAAACACTGGATTTAGTGTAGTAGACAAATTGAAAATTGTTATGGGATCTGGCCTAATCTCACTCCTAAAAACCGAAATCCCAATGAAAGATCTACTTACAACTAGGCAAACATATCGGCCTGATCTGCTTGTTGAACTGCACTGGTTTCCTCAGCTTCAGCAAGGCTATGTCATGATTGTAGGTCTCAGTGTCAAATTTCTTGTGCCTGATAATCGCTGAAATCGCCCGCATCATGCTGGGCACTTCCCCTGACGTAGAAGCATCGTGATCACCTAAGATCACACGGATTTTGGATTTCTTCAACCTGGAAATAAGGCTTAATTATTATTACTTCTCTAAGGCCCGATTTTACTATTTTCCAGGGGATCAATGTTTAAAATTTGGAAAATTTTGACATTTTAATACTTTGTAAGTTTTATAAATCGTGCAAAGAACCCCGCACAAAACATATGAAAAATGGTTCTCAGCAGATTGGTCTAATAATTCGGTATGATTCATTTCTCGCGTACCTACACAAAAGTTCTCATGAAACCAAAACAATCCATGATTAGTTTCTGAGAAATAGAGGGATGAAGTTTACTGATTTAAAATGGTGAGAAAGCACGTGAACTAAACCCTTCGAGAAGACCATTCAAATGCAGCATGTAACAAATCTATGAGACCTTCATAAAATAGCTGGTGCTCTTAATAATAGATATCATCTTCCAATTATTATTTATGGGAGGTGCTAAAACTGTATAAAGCACAAGGAATTTATTGACGTTTTCGTATCGACAAGTTTATGCTAATAACGAGGATTTACCTGACTAACGCCCTAACCCTAGGCACATGTGACTTTTTGGATATCCGCTCCACAAGATTGAAGTTTGTTATTTAAAGTTGACCCAAACCGTTAATATGATGGAAGCAGACCAACACAAAGACCCAAATTAATAGTCAATAAATTTCAACACCCTAAAGCTATGTCCACATTAGTGCGCCATTTCTTTCTCTTTCGGCTTCAAAATCAAATTAAACTTGAACTAACCTTTTAAAGGTCATAATCAAAGAGAACTAAACAACCTCGACTTTTCCGTGTCCTTGTGAAGCAAACTGTCCTCTTGAGTTAATCTTTTTGAATTCTTGAAGAACTCGTCTCAAGTCCATTTCAGTATGTATGCGCATAAAAATGAGCTTGCCCTTAAATTAACCTTGTGAGAATCACCTCCCAACACCCCTTCCTAAAAGGCTTTCAAATGAAATACTATCCTCGTTATTACAAATGCCTGAGAGTTAAAATCGGCTCGTTCACCACCTACTTCTAAAAACTCGTAGGATTGTGTTGGTCCCATTTTTCATATATTTTGTGCGGGGTCCTTGAAAATTGATGATCTCGAAAACCTGTGATGGCAAAATGCAAATGCAGGGAACATCTATAAAGAACTTTACCCTGAACATTTTGACGTCTTTTATTAGGAAATTCTTAAAAACTAGTATGTATCTGAGAGCAGCGCGGATGTATGGAGTCTTGTTCCTTACAAGGCAGTTCGAAATTGCTAAATAAATTTAAATTTACTGAACGATGACTAACTCTGCAAAAAATAATATATAATTAATAAGTTGCATAATGAAACAAAGTTTTAATAATTTGTTTCTTTCGTTTATCCATTAAATCAAGGAATAATAACTTTTTATTTGTTATGACCTTCTATGCTCCACCCACCACAATTAGATGAGTGAAAGACCTATAAAATGTCATCTTGCAGACTAGGTAGTTTTTAGGATGTAAACTGTCATTCCACGTTTGCTCACTAGGATCGTTGTGAGCGTCCATCTATGTAGGGATGGCTCAACTACACGCATTGTTGGCTGCATATGTTTTCTGAAGACGAGTAGTCTGTAGCTTTCATCTCTGAGAAGAAAGCTGGTTGAATAGCAAGATCGTATCTGAATGAGTATTGGCCTGCATATGTATAAAATCAGTGGTATTTGCTGTGTGAGAAAATCATTACTAAATATACAGTCAATGAAGTATACCTATTAGCTGTGCCCGACGGGTTATTTATATGTCGTCCTTTCTGAAGTCAGATTATGTTCAAAGTTATAAATTACGATTTTTTATGTTTTTTCTGTTTTCAATTACGTAAAATCACCACCATGCCCAAGTTGTGTGTAATTACTGTTAGCACGTATATAACTTGTAATTTGACAGTGTAAGGTGAATATGATAGTTTCTTATCTCCCTCATTTTTGAAATTCAGCAAATTTGCATATGTAATTTCCATGAATAAGCTTTGAATGTCAAGTAAGTGTATTTGAGATAAGAATCCAATGGAATTATCATCAACACATATAGTGCTGACTGGCATTGGGCTGATCTATAACGATTCTAAGTGTCATAGATTGTTGTCTTCGAGAAGTGATACAAGCCTGGTGCATTTTTGGACTGTATTGTACGTTTCCTTGTTACGGCGCAAGAGATGCACGTAATTTTAAGATTTTCTATTTATTGATGGTCAGCTGAAAACACAGCCAAGGGCAGCCACAAATAGCGACGTAGAACTATGGAGAGCCACGAACAGCCATGGATCGCGACGGTCAGGAACGAGACAGCCATGGACAGCCAATTGCTTGTGTACCGAACAGTCAATGGATTTACCCCTCGGCAAATACATATCAGTTCAGATCAAATAAATTAAAGAATAAATAGCTTTTACTTAAATGCTTACCTTTTGCTGTGAGCTCGGATTACAATTTTAATGTCGAGAGCCGATGTCAACATAGCAAGGAAAAGCATTGACAGAATAATGGCGCGGCATCGCGTGTTCCCACGTTCGACGGTTATAGGTTTGTTATCGCATGGCAGTAAATACGACTACAATTTTCTTGCCTCACTAGAAGCAGAGACTTGTACGGCCCACGCACCTAAAGTAAATTTTCTAACTTTCATTGGCTTGTAACGACCGGAGGCGAAAGTGGGAATTTTGCTATAAAAATCCGTACAAATATTTTGCACTACCATATGAGAATCTTTCCAAAAGCTCCTATATATCGGGTATTTCAAATTCGACCCTCACCATTGAGATCAAGGAAACGGTCAGAGATACGAAGTCGCTTAAATAGGGGCAAAGTTGAATATTTACGTAATAAAAGGAAATGCCGCTTAGCAAGTAAATCCAAAGTACTTTCGGAGAGAGACGGAAAAAACAAATTTGCCCAAAATCGTTTTAGTTTTTTCTGACTCTATTCGTAGTGGGATTTCAAAATAAACCACACAACAACATCGCCACGTTTTCTCCTCCACAAGAATATGACGTTTCGTCCCTTGTCCTCCAGCATCAACTTTATTAATTCTCATAGACGCCATATTGGATTTTTGTACAGGTGAATGGAGTTTATAATTCTGATTCCAAAATGTATAATATGTCATATATTGACAGTGGCAAGCCATAATGATTCCAGAAAAACAAAAGTTCCCAGGTAGGCCTTAAAATTACCAGCTTGTCATTTGTTCCATATACCAGACCAGACCTCAAATTGTTCATAGTAACAGAGTTTGGAAGACTGAGAAGAAGGGGCATAAATCGAGCAGTCAGCAATGTACAGAGAAGAGTTAGGCTTTGCCTTCGAAATAACGGACACCATTTGAAACATCTGCTATAATTTACCTCTACCTCTGTTATGATTATTATTGTTATTACCATCAATAAAATTTCCATTTTGTGTTCAGCTTTTACCATACCTTCTTATTTCCTTATAATTTTCATCCAACAAAAAGCTTATGGCCAGCCAAGGAATACATCATTGAATTTAGGATAGAAAAGTTTAAATGTACAAAATTCCAATATAACTTCCATATGAAAAATCAAACTTAGTGATGGAAATCGAAAAAAGAAACCTGGAACTGAAAATTTGTCTACACCATATTAGAAGAATAAGTAACAATGACAACATGCAATTTATTTTGGAATCGCATCTGGAATAAAGTTAGGCAAAAATAAAGATTATTTCAAGGCCTGCCTAGGAAATTCTGCTTTATTTTGAAATAACTTTGGCAATGTCAATGTATGACGTATTATACATTTTGAAAATTTAAATTAAAAGCTCTATTCACCTATGCAAAAATCCAATATGGCGTATATAACAAAAAAGGTTGTTGCTCGAGGACAAGAGACGAAACGTCATATTGAAATTCTAATTATATCATCTTGTAGAAGAGAAAAAGGGGCAAAGTTAATGTGCTGCTTTTTTAGAGTTCGACGACAAAGCCAGGAAAAGATTGAAACGATTTTACCGTTTCCGACAACACCCGGTATAATCTGGTTGAACACCTGTTTCCTTGGTGAATCGTATGGGTAGGTTTTCTTTGTTTGCTTGTAGCCACATGGTACCAAAACTAAAACTGAAAGTGAACTGTTACTTTGCTTTTTTCCTTTATTTGTAGTTACAAAATGAATCGAAACAAACAGTAAACTATTATTATTGCCTATTACCGTTAATTGATCATCAATCATCTAGCTGTATGACTTGTGAATGGAGAAATTCAGCTACCGTGAGATAATAAGACTGCAGAGAACATATACATTTGACTGAATATTGTATTACCAGTCAGCTTATACAAAAAAGCTATTTAATATTATAGACGTGTCGATTAAATCAAAATTTCATTATATTCACTTTGATAATGCTAATTAAATAGCTCCGCATTGTTGATGCACCACATGTTGTACTTGAAGGCTCAAAGTGTTATTTATAAACAAAGTAGTACTCTGCAGCTAACATGTTGGAATCAATGTTGTAAATTGGATACAATCGGAAAAGCAATGTGGAAAATGATTCCTGCGAGTACGAAATTATTATTTGAGTGGTGTAGTCGTCAAACTTTTTCACTCTAAGGATGCGGATTTTCTTTTTCCCAAGCGAAGGATTTTGCATAACTAAGGGTCTCATCGTCAGTCGTTCCTACAATAATTCTAGAACGCCGTTATGGGCTCCTTCTTTACAGGGGAATTTCTAAATGTCTACTGTTCCGTATCAGCGCATGTTTTTCATTTTTATCATATGTTTTGTCAGCCTGAAATTTCCTGCAGTTCAAAAATAAAACATAATCTTACAATATAAGAGCGCTGACGCGGAACACTAGAAATCAGGAAATACTCCAGCCTATCTGAAGGAGAGAGAACTATGAAAATCAATGCAGCCATAAAGGCGGACTACAATTGTATGAACGACTGACAATACGGCCCTTAGACACATTTCTTAAAAAATAAATTTACCTTCGGATGCAGTGTGCAGCTGTAAGGACAAACTCTTCAGTTAGTAAAGAAGCGCCACAGTGGTAGTGACCATCGTACAAAATCCTAGCCACCCAAGGATACCTGTTTATTCCTGTAGGACGTCCTCCTACTATTCTGTTCTCTTGATTTGATACGCCGCATTCTACAAGTAAAATAAATAAGATAAAGTAACAGGATAGTATGTGGTATTCCCTAGCTTAGCCCAGTAACCTTGGAATAAGAAAAGAAACATCATGAGCCGTGGGCTTAATAAGACAGAATGCAGGCACCCTTGTTCTCATTTTTTGTCCAAAACCTATTTGCTTGAGGAACAGTAAATCGTTGAGTAACTTAACGTTGCGACTTGCCAAACTGATTTTTCCTTGTTCTCGAGTTTCAAATAAATCAAAGTACAGCTTCTGCAGTCAGCTGTCGAATCAAGCTGAAAATTTAATCATTCCACTAGTACGAGACACTGAACATATATGCCAAAAATTATTAAAGGTGGATAAACATACGTAGGTGTTTACCTTTTTTTGTCACTCAGTATACATAGCGGGTGTTAAAGATTTAACGTCCAGAAACCTATTCATAAGCTAGACTTTTTCTCAGGTCGTACAATTTTCAATGTCATTCACTGTTTAACTAGATGTTTTTTTTTGTTATTATTATTTACATGGTGAGAGAAGAGCTACTTTTTGATAAGGTAGTTTTAAAAAAGCGCCTCGAAAATGCGTTAAATATACTCACCACAACTACAGTTCCTAGCTTTATATTCATTATCGAAGATATCGTCATCATCATCTTCCGGAGCAACTGCATTGTCAAAAAATGAAGCACCTCCAGCTATGAGATTAGTCAGACTGAACAGTTGATTGAAGAATACACGACCCTGCCTGCTAGACGATAATTTTTTGGTGTTTTGTACTGGTACGCTGGTTTTGATCTGAAATTTATTTACCATGTTTGATCCGTGTTTTGCTATAATCATTCGTCAAACTACTACTACTAGTAATTTTTGGAGGCGTATATTTAGAATAACGTATTTTCCAACCTGGTTAACAGTTCTCTAATAATTTAGAGAAGTGCTGTCAAAGGGTCATCCAATTTGTACTTGGGAAATTAAACTTGGCGCCATGTTCCAATGACTTTAATTACCTAGATATCCGGGAATGCTATTATAGCTCGTTTTACGACTAGGGAACGCAACAGAATTCTGCAAGCACCTCTACACGATTTTTCGGATGAGAGTACCCGCAACAGCGAATATGTTTAGTAAACAACAACTGGAGATATAGGCAAAATGGGCGTTGGCGGGCATCTTCTCCATTCCTTCAGAATCGACTGTTAGAGATAAATTCAATCCTACCCACGCCACTCCTCTTTTGTTCTCTCAAGCTGCCTTGCTATGACCTGAACTGGTACCTTAAAGGCCATTTTAGGGCATACACAGTATGAGGAGATAATATCGAAAAATATGCTACCTAAAGAAAAACGCTGTAGAGCTGAGCTGCAAAGCTCAAAAAATGATATCAAATAGGTTGACTCTGCACTTCCAATGCAACGCCGTTATCAGTTCATAAAGGATTATATTCAGCACAAGCTAAGATCTCTAAGAAAAAAGTAATTCAAGCAGGTCCACACAAGTAGTTCTTAGACATTATTTATCTACCCTACCGGTAGTGCATCTGGGAACGTTGTCTCTACCTCAGCGCGGTCAGAGCGCATAGAGAACACTATGCTGTGCGCTATGCCACTGCAGACCGCCAGGAGCAGCAACCGCGGCCGATAGGTATGCGATCCGTCTGCTGAGAATAGTTTTCCAAGGCTAATGAACGGAGAAATCTATGGTGAATCAAATATGTCAATAGGTGCGTAGAATTACCAAGTTTGAGAGCGTAGATTTGTACTAACATCAAAAAATTATAGTAAACCCACCCTCCCCAGTTACACCCCCCACCCCCAAGTATTGTTAACACTTAATTTTTTTCAAGAATAATCAAGATCCTCTGAATCGTCGGAAAATGAAGTTTGACCAATTTTTATTATCTTGTTTTTCCCTTTTGCTCTGCTGCTACTGGACCGATTTTCAAAAGCCACAAAGCTTTTGCATCCTTGGTATAGTAGTAACATTGTGTTTCATCGAAGTCCGAGCAGTACTTCTCAAGTTATAAGCGGTTATAAGATTTGAGGACAGACCGACAGACAGACAGACCAGCAGATCGACAGACACACCGACGGAAATGAGCGACCTGGTTTTTCGTGAGATACAAGCCATATAATACTCAAAAAACATAATATCTCATTTTCGTGATTACAATACTTATGCCATTGGCATGGGAAGTAAAAGGGTAATTCAATAGTGATCTTAATCGCAACATCAATAACGACCTCAAAGGTTTTACCATGATCGGGGATTTAGTGAGTCATGAAATTACTCTTCTGGGAGCAATAATAGGAGTGTATCGTTAAAAATCCAAACCATGAAGATCATAGTCTAGGTGACTGTCTACTACATGATAGTGACCTTAACCGTAAAATGTTTCGCTTATTTATATCCCCGACAAAGAGTGAGGAGCTTAATTATAAATTTATGTGATCCTCAGATGTCCTTGAAGGTCAGGGTCAGGTTCGTTGGCGACGTAAAATTGTCGGCAAGTTACGTTTTATGAATTTAAAGTGGATGGATCCCGTTGAAAATTCGTTTGGTTTTCACATGACCTTGAAGGCCATAGCTACGTTCATGTTCGAAGTCACCATTGGTTGACCCTTTTCAAGCCTTTACTTCTTCTACATTTTATGAAACTTCTTCGACATTATCAAATACCCAAGAGTCATGGTTAAGGTCATGATAAACGTAACACTTTCTGCTCTTCACAATCCCGGTGTCGAAAATAGATTCCTGTTAACAAAACTGTGTTGACCTCCAAATGATCTTTAAAGTCATAATGAAGGTCAAGTTCAAATTCATCATTAGATGACCTTGTCCAAACCTTGCATTTTTGTTCTACAAAATATTTCTCTAAGAAACGTATTTCTCGAGATATTCCAAGACCAGATCCATGAAAATGGTTCATTGTTGATTGAAAACACTGGTGAACAAAATTGAAATAGTTTTTTGTGACATGGAGGAAACAAGATGGTTATTATGTATAACGTACCCGAAAAGCCAGATATGGCAATCGATTTTTTCTATCGCCCACGGTTTTCTTGCAATAAGGCATTTTATTTGCTGTTGATACTCATAAAATATAAGGATATGTGTGTAAGAGTGCTAATAAACACTCGAATAAACATTAATCTCAGAATGTTGTTGTCAATGTTTTACGGCGATATGTTGCTCCTGAAGTATCTCTTAACAATGTCCAGCAATAATCAGCAAGCCAATTGACACTCCATTTGCCTTGATACCGTTTTTCCATAGCAGAAATGTCTTGGTGGAACCGTTCACCATGTTATGTTCATCACTTACCGCACCTAAATTTTCCGAAAAAAATCGAGATGAGAATCCAAAAAGAGAATTTTTAGAGACATGTTACATCCCATTCCTTTATAAGCATTAATTCACTCAAAATATCTTTATAATTGTCCGCCTTCACATTGTCTAAAAAATTTGCAGTAACTGATTTAAAAGCATTCCAGGCCCGTAATTCAGTTTCATTTAAAGCACTGTCAAATCCTTCATGATTTTCCATATTTGTGGACCCACAAATATGCCCTCTTTAATTTTTGCCTCGCCAAGTCCCGGAAATGTTTGTTTTAAATGCAGAAACTCTATTCCATTTCGATCCATTGCTTCCACAAAATTTTTCTTCAGCCCCATTTTAATATGCAAAGGTGGAAGCAACACGTTTTTGGGATCAACTAGTGGTTCATGAACAATGTTTTTCAGTCCTGGAGTTAATACCTGACGTAGTAGCCACTCCTTCTGTTCATAATGACGATCTCGCGCACGACTGACCCATTCGCAAAGAAAAAAACAATATTTGGTATATCCCAGTTGCATTCCAAGAAGGAGGGACTTTTAAATCTGCACATATGGCCCATCCATATTCATTATAACGGATATGCTCTATCAGAACTCGCATATTTTCGTATGATTCCTTCATATGAACTGCGTGCGCTATAGGTACAGATGTATATTTATTACCGTTGTCTACCAATACCGCTTTTAAACTAAGCTTAGAGGAATCAATGAACAGGCGCCAACCATTTGGATCATGTTTCTGTCCTAACGCGTCAAACAAATTGTTGACATCGGAGCAATATATCAACTCCCTTTCTTGACGGAAACAGTGTGTGATGTCTTGTTAGCGTTTTTGGTAAAAAGTAATGTTAACAACACCGTGGAGAAGATTCCATCCTTTTAAGCTTGACGCTAAAAGTTCTGACTGGGATTTTAACAGATTTAATTCTCGAACTAAGTCATTAAATTAAGTTCGCCGTGTGTGATCAAATGCGGCGCTGTTGAACATCCTGGTAGGTCAAATGAGGGATCGTAAATTTTTATGCTTTCTGTACCAGCACTTTCAGAATCGGTGAATTCGAAAGACCAATATTCTGGTGGAACTGGGACAGAAAGTTTATCACTGTGCTTAACGGGCCGCAAAGTTGATGGTAAATTAAAATACTTAACAGTATGTTTCGATTTTGGTCCAATACCTTCAATATTTGTGATAATATGGTCTCTCGGTTCTCTCCAAACCATTGGTAGCGCAAAGGGCATTTTACGATTGTCGCCTCTTAACCAACCTGTTAACAACGTTACACAAGTCTCACAGCATATATGAGGGGCCCATAGTTTATCTTGGTCGCCAACTTCGATTCCTAAATAAAGTTCGTATGCTTCCAACACAAGGGGACTAAAAGTACGTTTTTGGGATTTAAAAGTGAGCTCTCCGCACGCATAACAAAAACTGTTCACATTATTTACACAATTTTCATGCATTATCCATAAAGCTAGTCTCGATCACAATACACTAAAAAAAAAACACCGTTTTAACAAAAATTAACAGTACTCAGAACATCTCAGTACTCTTCAACACAGAAAAAGTAACTGACTTGGCTGCTATTAGTCTACTAATAAACACAATATGCTCTCTGAACATACAGCTCGCACATAATAAGCAGGAATAGACAGGTCCTAACATTATATGCGTATACGTGCGTCATCGGGTAAATGCCGAGGAATGCAGCAATTTGAGATGTTACGTATTGCAATTCATAAAAGTAGATGTTACCGAATATCTGTGGGTGATAGAAAAATTCTGTTTTTAGATTTGATTTAAGGATCACAAAATCCATAAGATACACCCAAAAATTGTCATGTCACAAATCCTGTGTTTATCAGTGAAATTTATTGAATAAAAAAAGTCTTTGGTTTTAGTCACGCAAACCAAACCTCTTTCAGTTGGCCAAGTTCCCTATCCCCTATTATTTTAAAAACCATTTTCTAGTTCGAACAAACTGATAAAAAGAAATTGAGTCCTTCTAGAATCTCGAAACTTTTTGTTGCCTTTCGGAATAAGAGGGTGAGAGCAATGCGTTTTTTTCCGATAAGCAATCAAAAACTTTGTAAATATATTCTGTATCCTATATAATGTAATCGTTGCATACTTCTAAACCTTACTTTTAGCTTTTTTATATGTTTTAATCAATACTGGTACTTTGGATACTTTCCTCTAACTTTAAAGCTCAACATTACATAAGAATATACTTACAGCTTTCTGAGACTGTACTCCACACGCCAAAAGAAATACATAACAAATCACCATCACCAACTGCCTGGAACCACTGACACTGTAGCAAACACTATCAGCCTGAGATGCTCCACTATTCACAAGCATTCTTAATCCTTGACCTTGATCCTGTAGCGCATTGGCAAAGACCTTAGGCTGAGGACTATACTAGATCGTTACAACACAGTAGTGACATGAACACCGTCAGCTGAAGACTATCCTAAGCGACGACATTGGCAAATACCATCCGCTGAAGATTGAGCAAAGAACTAAAAAAAAAGGAAATCGCACGTCAGTTTAGCGGCGTTTACATGGAATTTGAATTGGATTGAATGAAAACAAAAGTAACATGTGAGTCGAGCGAAATCGACAGTGAAGCCGGCAAGCTGCTGGTTGAAGAAATACTTTCACCGTCACTTGACTAGCTATATACTCGGATGAGATATTACAGAGGTTCGCAATGGGAAATTTCTCCTTTTAGGTCAGTTGAATTAGATCTAAACACATGTGCACAACGAAACATGTGTGGAGTATTTTGAAATCTATCGTCATAATCAACACCTGATGAGTTAAGATCTAAAAGGAATGACTGTACAAGCACATCTAATCAGTAGAATATTTATGGACCTGCTTTGATTTGAGTATACCAGTCCATCCATCTGTTCAGTTTCAGATTTCCCCACTGTTTGTATGTACAAAAATTTATACTGTATTACCAACAGAGTTTCGCAGAAGCACCAACATGTTTGTATTGAAGAAGCGTCTAAGAATATTTCTGTCTCAAAATGTTACTACTCCCTTGACGAATACTTTACTACCTGACTATTCAGGGTCGTTATTATTAATACTATTATTTTAGCGCGTATTTTTTGAAAGTCTTAATCGATCACTGTAATTGTTCTTAATAATATGTTTGTTATAAGTCCAATATTACTTCATTGCATCTGTAAAAATTCGTCTTTATAACTACTCTTTTTTTTGTTTTAGCTATTTGTCTATTTCTTGACACTGATATTCATACAACTGATAATGTCGTGCAATTTATTTATTTATGTATTGTAAAAGGTTGACAAGTCTTATGTCATAAACACATGAAAAATTCGGAAGCAGAGACATTTTTAGTGGATTCTGTATTGTAAGTGTAATTTTGTGCAGTTTTACTCCCCACGCCTAATGGCGAGGAAATATTGTAATCGCAAAGATTTTTGAAAATGAGCTATATCGTTTTTTCACGTTACGAAAAACCATGTCACTCATTTTCGTTGATCTGTAACTTGAAAAATACTGCTCGGATTTGAACGAAATTTTCACATAAAGTTCCTCCGGTGCCAATAGCGAAAAAGCTTTGAAGTTTATGAAAATCGGCGGCCAAAAAACGAAAAAAATTAATATCTTTCAAACTTACTTTTTTGACTTTTCCGAGAATTCTGATCATTTGTGAAAAATTTATATGAGTAAAAAATTGGGACGTAAGGGTTTGTGTGGGGTGTGAGAGCGTGTATTGCAGTTTTTTTATATCAGTATAATAATAAACTTCCAACCCCGGTTATTCTACGCACATATTAGATATATTTCACATATCATTGATTTACCACATGCCCTCTGGCTCTAAAGACCGGCGTGCTGGTCTTCGTAAGTGTTCACACCTGACTGGTGCTGTGTCGCGTTTGACAGACTGGCGCATCATGCGATCAGATATTGGAGGCAGGCTCTGTTGCCAGATGGACGGTACTACGGGTAGGACAGGAAAAGAATATCTATGGACTAATTGTATGGATCAATTTGAAGCACCTGATCCATTTAATTTTTCTGTTATAAAAGCTAGTAACTCACTTATTTTCAAAGGATCTAAGTAACATGCTACTTTCATCCGTGCAACCAAAGATAGCCATCCATGGACAGCTGTTTCGTGCTTTTTGACTACCTATCAGCATGGTCTAGGCTTGGTCAAAACGAAAGCATAGGAGCGAATCTCTATCCAGGATATGGCGCTGTCAAATTTCGATTGGATCTAACCTGTACAGAACATTATTCTTTATGAACTGATGACGGCGTTGCATGGGCAGAGCAGAACATACAGTCAACTGCATAAAAACTTACTTTTTATGCATACAGTTTTTTATACATATAGTATAGCAATTGGTTGGTATCAGGAGGTCGATCGACCCGAGGCTCGCGAATTCGAATTTCCGCTTCGGAAGACTTCGTGCCATGGATGTTGTATTGTGTGTTAACTAACGGGTGATTTTTTAAGAGGTATAGGATTTGATTTTCAAAAAAAAAAACGATTAAATATTTATTTAAGTCGATAGAACGGTCGATATAATTTAATGTTTAAAGATTATTTCATGTAAATGTTGGCCGCGGCTCCGCTTTGGATGGCCCATGCGCAAGGTCCAATTTTGGCACACTCTCTCCAACATATCGGCCGGTATCTCACGAATAAATGCTTCAATATTCGCTTCCAGTGCGTCAATCGTTGCTGGTTTATCCCTGTAGAGCCTTAACATGGCCCCACAAGAAATAGTCCAACGGCGTTAAATCACACGATCTAGGCGGCCAATTGACGGGCCCCAAACGTGAGATAAACTGTTCACCGAACTCGCCTCTCAATAGGGCCATTGTTTCATGTGCGGTGTGGCATGTGGCACCGTCTTGTTGAAACCGCATGTCAGCCAAGTCCAGCTCTTCCATGTTGGGCAAAAAAAAGTTTGTTATCATCGCACGGTAGCGCTCGCCATTCACAGTTATGTTCCAGCCATTGTCGTCTTTGAAGAAGTACGGCCCGATTTCTGCCACCGGCCCATAATCCACACCAAACAGTGATTTTTTCGGGTTGCATTGGTAGCTCTTGCAATGCTTCTGGATGGTCTTCACTCCAGATGCGGCAATTTTGCTTGTTAACGTACCCATTCAACCAGAAATGAGCTTCGTCGCTGAACACAATTTTTCGATAAAAATGTGGATCTTCCCCCAACTTTGCTAGCGCCCATTCACCAAATGGGAAACGTTGTGGGAGGTCGTGTGGCTTCAATTCTTGCACCAGCTGTATCTTATAAGGTTTAACACAGAAATCTTTTCGCAAAATTTTCCACCTAGTGGAGTAACAGAGGCCCAATTGCTGCGAACGGCGGCGAATCGACATTTCACGGTCATCACTAACACTGGCGGATACAGCCGCAGTATTTTCTTCAGTCGTCACTCTACGTCTGCGTGTTGGTGGTTTAATGTCCAATAATGTAAACTGGGTTCGAAATTTAGTCACAAGCTTCCGAATAGCTCCCTCAGTAGGCCGACCAAATTGCCCATAAATTGGAAGCAGTGCTCGATGCACTCTGTTAACCGAGCATGAATTTTGATAGTAAAATTCAATAATTTGCAAGCGTTGTTCGTTCGTAAGTCGATTCATGGTTAAATTATAGACCAAACTGAATAAGTTTGACAATGACATAAGACACGATTCACGCGTCATCTGTCAAAAACATACTAGCAAAACAATCACCCTTATATCTCGCACGAGATCAGTGCAAGATCAGCATAGGTGCATCACATTGCTGAAGCTGGTTTGTTCAATAATGATTTACGTGGCTTGTGGAGTAATACAGTGTCGGTCCTACGAAGTCGGCAAAAAGGGTCAAGGTTGGCCTAGTTGCCAGGTTTCGTCTCCCCACCACTACTTTTACTTGGTATCTTACATTGACTGACAAAAATCTTGTACAATACGACGTTGTTAATAGGAAACTAGGTGTTCACAAGCTTATTTCATTTATTTCCCATATTTCACATTTCTCTTAAATTACCTATGTGATTAAGATGAAACTATGTGAATCGAAAGTTGGCATTAACGGATTTGATCTGAATTGATTATATCCTACTGAACGATCCCGGTGGCGGCGCCATCAAATCTTAACCAGATATTATGGGGTCCAACTAAAACATCACTAGTTTCTTTGTCACTGAAATCAAGGGACTTTCAGGCCGAGAAAATATTTTCTTCTAGCTGTCTACAGCTAGAAAATATCGCCCAATAATGAAATAGAATTAAATAGATATGGTAGCTGCTGTATTTGAGTACAACTCCATCTGTGAGAACTTTTCAAAGTAGATTTCTAATTACTTTGAAAGAAGAAACATAGCTGTGACAAATTCTCACAGATGGCGCTACGGCATCTCATTGCATCCCGGATAATTCTTTGTGTGCAGGAATATAGTATTGGTCTAGCTATATTCATGTAGAATACGTTATTCAATGATTATGGCTAATAAGTCCCTGTCGAACTGCATAAGCCAAATGTCAGTTAAGGACAATGTATTTTGCGTAGCTTTTCATCAATCGAGACTTCAAGAAAATTTATTATGAAAATCTTGAAAGCAGCAATGAACTTGAAAAGATTTAACACATATTCTCCAAAATTAAGGTTATGTCTAAGATGAACATCAGGTTCTTAATTTTACTGAACTATATGTGTTCATACCTTTAGGATGAAAGTAATGTGACCAACCGAACATATTGGAGTAACGAGAGCTATTTACATACAAAAGTTCGAATTTACATTTATGTTAATAGCTTCTTAGCATACCTGCTTTTATATCACTTTTTCATAATGGCCAATTAGAAAAGGAGAATTTAAGCAATATGTTATATTCCTAGGTGGTGCCGCAAACCATTTTTGATCGAGCAGCCTTATATTCTGGAGCGCTTAGCTACGAAGAAAACATAGTTTCAACTTGTGTTTTTGGCAACCTAATGACTATATTAAAAGAATGCGGTGTCAACAATGTCAACCTTTTATCTATGTTTTTTTGCCGAAGCAGCCGCGCAGGCAGTAGCCTAAATGCCGAGACACCGCGGCTGCTATGAGGATCCCAAATAAATTTAGTTAATCCGATTTTTGAACTTTCTAAGGTAGACCTGTTACTATGCATACACTCTATCGCTGCCTTGGAGCCTTTGGACTTTTTTCAAACAGTCCACAGTTAGTGCTTCCTCTGACTGCGGACCACTGTCGTCGACGTTTGAACTGGAGCAGAGAACCGCAGCATTGGGAGGCAGAATGGCATAATGTTATCTTCAACGATGAATCGCCATTCTGTCTTGATACGCATGATGGTTGTGGAAGGGTAAGACGCCGCCATGGATTTCGGCATTAGAAGTACGACTGTTCCAAAAATCCAAATTTTGCAAATATATTGTGCCTAGTTGCTCCAATTATTTATACTCCAACGTAAAAACCGTTTTTACTACTTGACGTCATTTATAACCATGACTGAATTATAGGATGTTGAGACATCCATCGCTGTCCGTTGACTGATTGCCTCTTTCGCCCTCTGGGCGGGCATTTATGCACGAATCGGCGAGTGTTGAAGCGTCCCACGTTTTCTAGATAGAAGTCGATCCGTCTTTGAAGCTGGTAGATGGCGCGCGATTTCTCTTGATGCGTGTTAAACGCTCAAGAAGTCAAACGCGAGCGCGCTTCATATATGGCCGCATAATTCTGGTTATCTAAGCGTCAATGTTGCAAGGGCGGGTCATTGGTAGCCCAAAGTTCTTGTTTACGAGGGCTCTTCAATACTCCAAATAGAATCCCAAATTTTCGTCATGACTACATTTCAAGTGCCAAAGTTCTTCGTGGTATAATAATAGGTGAATAAATAAAACTATGGTTTTGTAAGTAATATGTATATTTCATTAAATTGGTGATATGTTAGGTTGATGTTACAATTTTGTTAATATCATATACGTAATATATTATTCTAAACAAAATTAAAATAAAATACTAATCGTCAGATAAAATACTACTCAATACTTACATAGATACAATCCAATCAATAACTCTAAAATTAACAATAATTATAAAATATAGTCAACATTTGCAACAAATTACATATACATATAATTCTATATGTAGTATGAGAATTATTTTCATCTTTGTACAACTCATAAATAAACTGAACAATAATTGTATGTGACAGAAATTGTATCCATACCGTAAATATATTTGAGGCAAAAATCCTAGCATTCAGTGCTATGATGCACTTAAGTTTTCTGTATACAAAAAACTACGAAGGTTAAATTTTACTTGGTGTAATGCAGATGAATGCATATTCAATCTCAATATGCAAAACTCAGCTCAAATTACTCTTAGCCCTTGATCTTTACAAAACAAATTTCACTGGGGTCTCAGCTGCAAACAGTATGAAAAATAATAGCAATTTAGCTAAAAAATATGACAAAACGTAGCGATGGTATGTGTTACAAAAAGCCCTAAAATATCCGCATGTTAATTTTGAAAATATAGTCAATTATGCTAATTTTAATAATTTTGTGTTGCACAAAGATGACATTTCTCCTTAAACATCAAAAATGAGAAAAAACTGAAACGAAGGTAACTTTTTTAAATGTTCGTTCATTTTTTGGATTATTGTACATGGTTCCTTGACTAGCCACTTTATACTTTGGGCGCTATACATAATACATTGTATAATTATTTTAACAAATAGTCGGTATTCAGATATTCCTATTGGAATCACGTGTATATAAGTTACATTTTGATTTTTCCATGATTTCGGAACTTATGTGCAATCATATTCTTAAGATTTTTAAAAACACAGAATGCCTCTTATTTGTGATTGCATTGGTCTCTCTAACATGACTGCATTGTAACATTACTAAAATCGATGAATAGACGAAAAATATATGTCTTAAATATTGATAATTGTTATTCCTAAAGATCGACTCTCAATCGAATTTGTGTTTTCCTTGACCAACAATGGCACAGAATCAAAATTATTACAAAATCAGTAATCCTACAGAAGTAATGTCACAGAATGTATTTTAGTTAAAAATGATAAGTAGCAGCCATGTTGGACCAAAGCAAAAATGACTTGTATCTGGGGCATCCCGCGTTCAAAAATGCCAAGTTCAACAAATTCCAACAATAGATACCAGAATTTGTGGAAAAGTTGGACAACACCTACAACGAAATTCAACATTTTCTACAAATTGATTCCAAACTTATTTTTTTAAAATAAAACGAAAGCATATTCAACAAGTAAAACAGTTTTTTTCTACAAATTGATTCCAAACTTATTTTTTTAAAATAAAACGAAAGCATATTCAACAAGTAAAACAGTTTTTTTTATTTTGTTCTGGAAACAAAACTCCAGAAATGTTATGTTTTTAAAAGGTTCACAAAATTTTTATAGTCCAGTAACTTTAAGATGGTACTCCTTGTATAAATCATATGTAATAACGAAAAACGATTTGTTTCTATGCAAAAATGCAGATTTTCAAATATAATATGAATATCTGTTAAAGTCAATACGTAATATAATGACCGAAGTCCATTTATTTAGAACATTTCCAAAAAACACCACCAGTTCAAAAAATGTCTTTAAGTGTTAAGGAATTAAAAAGCAAGCAGATATGGCAATTTTACTATATAAAATCAAATACCAATGCAAACACTCCTTAGTATCTCATATGGTCAGTATAGCACCTCATCTAAAGTCACAACTAATTATCTACACTAAAGCATCAGTCTTATACTTTCAAATCCACACTCAATCCCTTAACAAGCATCATATAGTTGGAAAAGCTGCAGTATAGTTACGAAGCTCGAAATTCGTTTTTCATCTTAATACCAATGACGCGATGATATATCATATTCGTTTCTTAAAATGTCCTTACAACTTTTTCTGAAACAGTAGCAGAACATCAACTATCGAACTGATCAATCAAGAAATCATCCACTATTTTCAAGTGAAGCACCTAGGCATAATATATACAGGGTGTTCCAAAAGCTAGGCAAACATTTTAAGGGACGCTAATCCTTCTACTACTCGGACGAACGACGAATAACCTTTTTAGTTTTTGAAAATCGATCTTGTGGCGGCGGAGCTGGAGGCACAAACTTGAAATAATAAAAATCACTCAAGCATCTTCGAAACGCTTCTCTCTCAGTCTTGACCGGCGATATAGCCTCCCCTTTGAATATCGTTGTGTCACTACTAAGCTGCCGAGTCTGAAGAGTGGATACATAGAACGGTAAGGTATGGCGGAAGGGCGACGTTGCCAGATGGGCGGTACCACCGGTAGGATAGGAAAAAAGTCCGTGTACTAATTGTATGGACCTGTTTGACTGACTTGATCCGTTTTTCATGTTCGTTGCTAACTTTTTCTCATAGGATCTAACTTGTACCGAACATGATCCTCTATGAACTGATGACAGCGTTGCGTGGGAAGTGCAGAGTCAACCTACTTCACGCCATTGTTGTTTATTGTATACTTTAGGTATTTTGAAATACGGTAAAATGGGTAAAATAAGGCTCGCCATTGTTTTCTTTCCGTAACAAATATTGCTTTTATAATTTTCAATTGCTTTCAAGTAGATCTGGTCTCTTGACGTTCTTTTCGCTGACATACGGCTTTCGTGGAAAATTAATTGTTTAGTTTTTCATTCACGATATCAAAAGCCTCTATCTCAAAATTCAAAATGCCCCCTAAACATTTACCTGACTTTTGGCCTGTAGATTTTTTAAACTGCATCTGGAAAGTATTGCACTATAAATATTTGGAATAAATACTTCGGAAAAGTTACTGGACCATTATGTTTTAAATATTTTCTGTATATATGTTCGTTACACACCTATATTCTTATATGTATAAATACGACTAAAACAATTATAATATATCACATGTTTAAGGAGTATTCAACAATTATTCAGACTTATCTTACATGTATATTCTTATTATTTGGTCACATATTAATCCTAGAAAAAAAATCATAAAACTTAAAGATTATAAAACAAAATGACTAGAAAAACAGTAAAAATACTACTTTTTATTTTTCTCTAGCATTAAATACCTTTGGATACATATACATCTATTCAACAAATGTATTAATTTAATAACTACTTTGTTATACTTTCTTTAAGGGTTAATAGTCATTGCAAACTAAAAAAAAAGTAGATACTCATCCAATATTCATTGGACGTACACCATGTCTAAAAGTTTCCGCACGCTTAAGCCAACAGAAGTCGACACCAGTTGAGGCTAAATCAAAAATATATCGATGGCAGAGCAGACAATAACCCTTTTACGAGTGTAATTTGAAAAATCCTTAGACCGACAATGAAAGACGTTTTTCAGTTAAAAAATTATTTTATTTTTCAACATAATATATATTCATCTACGACGTTCTCAACGTCTTCATCGAACCAGAAGCGCTTGTCAGAAAGAAATATCTCCAAAGGGAATAGTCGGAAGTCTGAAAGTGTCAAATCATGAAAATACGAGTAATAGTCTTGCAAAACATAACTCAAATCTCCCAGATTTCCAATTGCTAACACATGTTTGTGAAAAGTACGTTGTTCTGACAAAAAATAATCTACGAAACATTTCTCTCCCCTCAAACCTACTTAATCAAAGAAGAGGAGGAATAGTGTTCGGCCGTGTTGGTTCCACTATTTTGGCGCTGAGTTCTGCTATTATTTCAGTTGATAAAAGAGCTATATTAAACTGATAAGAGACATACTACCTCTATCAACTACAAGTATCTATACCCTATTTCACGAGTAGACGTCAAAGCATGATGTATACTCGTGAAATAGGGTATATGGATATGTTAGTTGCTGATGACATACCACCTTTGAGGTTATGTTTTGAGAGTCTAGTCGGTGTCAAACACGTATCAAGTTGTACTGCTGAAAGTTAAGCTACAAGCCGATTTCTGCCAGCGAGCTGGAGAGAAAAAGACTAGCAGCGACTTCATCTCTGACGAGAGTCCTGGAGGTTATCACTGCTTGGGGACGCAACAATCTGGTAGAGTGTAATGCTTCCAAAAGACAGAAACGCCCTATCGCTCATTCGGTTTCGATGGATTGCCGAGTTCTATCAAAGAACCGTTCATATCGGCTGATCGGAGTTCAGATTACCGAGAACTTAATCTGGCACAAACACATCTGACCTATATCGCCAGCTACTGGGAAAAAGCGAGGCTAAGAAGTGATTTTCTCCACACGACCTTCTCACTATGTACAATTCCCAGGTAAGACCTAGCGCCGAATACTGCTCACACGTCTGGGGTGGTGTAGCCCCAAGTACACTATCCATGCTCGATGTTGTTCAGAAGAGGGCTATCCAACTGATCGATGACTCTTATCTAATGGACAGTCTCGGGACCCTTTCGCACCGGCGGGCCGTCAACGACCTAGCTCTCTTCAACCGCTATACCCAACAGGCTTTGCTCATCCAAGATCTCCTCTGTGATGCCGCCTCACCATGTGCCTGCCAATCAGACCCGCTTAACCGTGTGTGCACCTTAACCGTGTCTAAGTTCATACATCATAGCTGACCGATACGACCGCTCCTCTGCCCCTAGAGTATCGATAGTGTGGAACAATCTACATAAGGAGACTTTTCCCAGTTCTCCTAACCTCAAGCAGTCCAAAAATTGGATTAACAGGATATCCTGAAGCTCCTCATAGCAGCCCAGGCATTTAGGCTACTGCCTGTGTGGCAGCGTCGGCGTAAAAAAATACACGCCATCCCTAAAGGTTGATTTGAGAACTAAAATGTAAAAAACCGGGACCGCCCTAAATTTCTGCCAATAAAGATAACAGAAAAGTTTGGAGGTTTAACTATAGAAAAGCTAAAACAATCTCAATAATCAAATAAAGTTTGTAGATAAGGAATACTGATGGTATTACGAAGGAGAAGAACAACTGAACTTACCAAATCCAAAGAAGAAAATAATTACACTTTGAACGCGTATCTTTTAATATTGTACACTTTGTTAATATTATGTTTCAAATAATAAAGTAGTTGACGCTTCTTTCCACGTATCTATTATTCTACCTCAGTTTAATTTTCAGTTAATGTACATCTTTTTGCACTTTTTCTAAGAAACTAATAATTTTTCAGTATCCCAAGACTAATTCAATATTTTCTGATTTGAGTCAGAACCATAAACTAAAGGAAAATATATCAAATCAAATAACATTTTCCTAAATAACTCTGAACTTGCATTTTGTGATATAATTCTTCCAACATGAGGAATTTGACAATAGCACGTAATTCAATTTTATCCATCTTGATGGACACCACGCAAGGCGTGCACGATAAATAAATCGTGTGAATAAACTACTTGAGAATAAGTTGAAGCTTATCAAACAAGTTACATGGACATCCAACAAGGAATTATGAGTTATTGGCTGACTGGAACGTCATTTCTTTGTCAGGCCGAGAACATTTCACCCGATCTTCGTATTTAATTTTATGGTGAGTGTGCAGCTTTGACAAGGATGTAAATTCACAAAAATATATAATCAAAAGTTTTTGTCTGATCAACTATCGCTACCTCTGCGATACATACGGACTTTTTTTACAGTTTATCGGGCTAGCCACGGTGGCACCAAAGAGTAGTTATATCAAGAGAAGACATTTCGATATTTAGTTATCAAAATACTCAAGATTTGACCAGTTTTAATCGTATCATATCAGAACACGATGGTGTAGCCAAAAATTTGCTGTCGGTTCTTGAGCTATTGCTGGTTTGGTATGACGATTCGCTCATAGATAGTTTGACATTGTGTCAATAATACACGAATTTCGCTCATAAATGACCGAGGCGGTGTTGCCAAGCTTGCAAAATGTTTACAAAACTTATACTGAGCTGAGTTCAGTTCTTTTCCGATTTGTGGTGGTTGTGTCTAAAAGACATACGTAATAAGTGAATATATCGTTTTAATGCCAGGCTGTCTAGATAACAATTATGTCAGTTTTAGGCTGAAAAAAAAAGATTTTCAAACTGACATTTCTTTTTATTATGTTTTCAGGGTAACTTATATATTTTCATGATGCCAAGAGCATTCGTGGAAACTGTTATTTAAAACTTTATTGAAAGAAAAATATATTCCCTAGGCTGCAACTGTATGGTAAATATCCTCACCATGAATTAATGTCGAAACAAAAGTAGATTTGAACAAAAGATGCTTCCATTACGAGTGATGGACAATGAGGCCCGTATCGTCAGTCGTACCTAGAATTGAAGGACGCCTTTATGGCCTCCTTGATTTTGATACCCTTTTCCCTCCTTCAGAAAAAGACTGAAGTATTATTAGATATCTACTGTTCCGTGTCAGCGTCAGCGCTATTGTAAGATTCTTTTTGAATTTCAGGCTGATATAACAGATGATATAAATCAATAGCATGAACAATTTGATGCAAATAGATATTTGTAACATAATCTCAAAATAGAGCGCTGGCACAGTACAGTAGAAAACTATGAAAATCAAGGAGACCATGAAGGTGTACTACAATTGTAGGAACCACTAAAGATACGGCCTTAAGTTCATCCAAAAAGAATTATCCACCTGGCAACACGGCATTTATCTCTAACAAAATACGTGTTTACAGGCCATCAGCCAGGGGGGTGAAACTCATATGGGCGACTGGGAAACAAAGCAGTGTTGCTGGTACACAATATGACAACCATGTCGCACCCCCAAAAAATGGCAGCGGCAGCTCATTTACAAATGACGTTGTCTGATTGGTCAAATTTAAATTAACCTTATATCTTTCAGCATGCCATTTTTGTAACAATCCATTTTAATTCAATAAAGTCCCTGTTATGTTATTTGAAACATATCCTGTACCTTTTGTTCAGAGTTGTGAAGTATGAAAATGTAAGTACACAAAGCTGTAATATATTTGTAGATACCATAAGACAGACCCCAAATCAAAACTGTTTCTTTTAAAGGGTGATCCAAAGTGATACCAGTCAGTAGCCAGGCTTCTGACAAATCCTGAGAAAGATCAGAGATAGACGCCAAGTTCTTGGTTACATCTTGGTTATCTCTATCTCTCTCTATCTGACTTTAATTTAGTGGCCTTGTCTGTCTTCTCTAGTTATAATCACTCTTTGGATTTACAATTAGCGGCTGCCTTGGTTTGTGGCTCGAAATTGGCTATTTGAACACTCAATTTGCTATCCCAACTTGTGGCTGCTCTACTAGTTGCTTTCCTGACGTTGACACCGGTGGCCAAATGTACGACAGCCCTATAGTAGTACTACGCAAAATTAACGTAGATTGAGTTATATTTTTTGCTTTTTGTATAACACAAAACAATGATTAACATTTACGGCTATAAGAAAGGTTCTTTGACTAAGTATTAATTACTGGAGTCATAATAAAATTTCAAAAATCCGGATATAATACATTTTCAGTAAAACAAGATTCTAACACTCCTACATAAGTTTCTTACTTGAGTCTTGTTGGTTACGATTTTTTTCATGGTTATTTTGATCTTATACAGTCTATTTATTTTTGGAATGACATGATTCGTCAACCATTCAAACGTTTGATCTTATAACTTCATCAAAGTAGGTATAAAGGTATAGTTTGCATTTTAAGGATATTAGCAACCACACAAAGTATTCCGAATTTCGTAAAAAAAGCTTATAGTCGTCTTTTTATGTGAACAAAGTAACGATTTGTTAAAAAATACTTTTTGGACAAGCAGTTGCCATTTTCACTTCCACATTAGCTGGACGAGAACTCCAAGCTTTTCAAAAGTGTTGGAATAACAAATTATGAACTCTTTTTACAGATGGCAAATATTTCAACTGTTTCATATCTTCCTTCGATAACATTCAGATACCGTATTTCAAGGAGAGAATACCCTGAGAGTACGCAACAGTGCAGCTAGTACGTTTGCTAGTCTTTCCGCTTGTGCCGTCAAGTGCTCCTCAACTGCTGACTTTGAGGACCAGTCCACCCCGCCAGCAGGTGGAGCTGCTAACAGCTGCCTGAAAGCAGTCGTCACGTCGTATACCTGAAAGAAAAAACATCCCTGAGAAAATGAAGTCAAGTAGTATTTACTACTAATTAATATGAGCCTATTCAGCATTCATGTGACGAGACCATCGGCACGGGTATTATGTAAAAAAACCTACAAAACGTCAAAAAAAAGCTATAAAATGTCATTTTGCAGACTAGGTAGTTTTTAGGGTGCAAACATTCATTCCACGTTTGCTCACCAGGATCGTTGTACTACACGCATTCTTGGTTGCAGATGTTTTGTGAATTCGAGTAGTCTATATTTTTCCTCTCTGAGAAGACTGTTGGTTGAATAGCAAGATCGCAACTGGATGATTGTGTGTATTGGGCTGCATATGTATAAAATCAGTGATATTTGCTGTGTGAGAAAATCATTAGTGAATATGCTGCCAATGAAGTATATCTATTAGCTGTGCCCGACGGGTTATTTATATGTTGTCCTTTCTGAAGACAGTTTATGTTCAGTCATAAATTTTTTTACATTTTTTTTTGTTTTTCAAAAATTATGAGGAGAATTACGCGCCCGCGTTTTGTGTAATTACTGTTAGCACATATTATTAGCACACAAATCCTCACTATGCACCTATGAATTGCCGTTACCTCTAGTAATGCCATCTCTGAAGCAGACGTTTAGGCAACACGTACAACTACAAAACAAGTTCACAACGTGTCCATCAGGTAATGCTATGTTAACATCTTGTAGGAAAACCTAGATAATGTCACAAAAAACCAATATAATGTCAAAAAAAAATCGATATACTGTCACTTTTCAAGATACGTAATACCTGTGCCGAAGCTCCATTAGTTCAATAATTTGTGAAATATGTAACAAGCCAAGTTTCAAGACAACTGAGTCCTCTAAAAGTTTCATCAATCAATCATTTTGCATTAGTTTCGGAGAAAGAAATGCAATGTTCAAAGTGATGCAATAGTTACTTTGGAAATAGATAGTTTTTATTCAACATTTTAACGGAACAACATATAAATGTGAATGTCTCTCTAGTCCGTCAGCATCCCGTCTGAACACCACCGCGGAAAGAGGACTTGTACACTTGCTAATTTTTTTATCTGAGGAAGGTTATGGACAGGGTATATCGTCGTCGAATTTGCCTATATTTAAATGGTGGAATCATCCGGACACCCCAAAGAATTGGAAACCACGCATTTTTTGGACAAAAGGTTCTAAGAAAGATTTAGATTAACAAAACTGACCTCTGAGGTCGCTGTCTTGGCCATATCAATTTACAGTCAAATCGCATTTCAGATATCCAAGAACCTTTTATCCAAAAAATGAGTGATGGTCAGGTTTTCGAAGTGCTCGTTTACTTCTCCCACGTTACAGAAGCAGCTTATACCAATTGAAATATCCATAACCAATTGACGTCATATACGAAAATGCATCCTGACTCTGAATCTGCCGACAAAGATGGTGGCTGCCATTTGAATTTATAAGCAACGTTGTGATCTAGCCAGCCGCCCCACCGACAGTACCGACCACCCAGCAACGTGGCAACTCTGCGTGCCGTAACACTCGCAAATGCAGCACGACGTTGCGTACACATATACATGATCCGTTATCCCTCAGCAGTCGCAACAGACAGACATACGCTAACGAGTTGTCCATCACGCGTATGTTGAAAATATATCTCTATTATTCAAGTTTTGAGGGCAATATACGGGGAAATCTATGATGTATGAAATATGCATAAAAGGTGCGGAGAGTTACTGGGGTTAGAAAGATATAAATTGCTAGCACCAAGAAATTCATGTAAGTCAACCACCCTCTACCCCCCCCCGCATCCAATTTTTATTGCCCACAAAAATTTTGAAACATCAAAAAATAAAGTTTGAGTAATTTCAATTTTTTGATAGATAGTCCGACAAAAATAAGTGACATGTTTTTTCGTGATGTACATGTCATATAACATCTAAAAAACATACTATCTCAGTTTCGGACATTTTTGCGATTACAATACTTCCTCGCCAGTGTCGTAAGAAGTAATTATGTTTGACTTTTACTTAATATCACACCTTCATAATCAGGTTTCTAGTCTGCAAAGGCGCTGTAGCATGGTCAGCCATATCTGCGCAAAGAGACGATAGACGTCGCAATAAGGCTACACAAACGGCCAGGTTTTCGGAGAGGCTGCTAGCGTTGGTCGCATCGTCAGATCGCGCGGCGGAAGCAGGTTCAGTCGACGATGATAGTGCTACCACCAGCACTTTGCTTGAGGTTACTAGTTGAAGAGATTGTTGGGTTAGCTCTTCCTTGGCTCTCTGAAAAGCAAATATAATTATTAGCCAATACCCGTGATGAATGTTGGTTGTGCCCTTGATTGTTCTGCCCTCATTACACAGAACATATCTGAAAATAGGATTGAGACACTCAACTATTTTATGGTCCAACATCAAGTATTGTAAATGTAATTCAAATTAAAGTAAATACTTTAATTTGATATTAAAAACGTGCCCTATGACCTTTCTGTCGTCGAGTAGGTTGACTCTGCACTTCCCAAGTAACGTCGTTATCAATTCATAATGTTCAAATCAAACTAGAGAAAAGCCAGTCAAACAGGTACATATAATTAGTCCATAGACGTTCTTTCCCTGCTTTGCCGGTAGTGCATCTGGCAAACGTCGCCTTAACCCGGTCAGACGTGGCAGCGAAGTCAGAGCATACCAGAACAATAGAACTTACCAAAAATTTACATAAACCCTTCCCACCCCCATACAACCCCCACTACCAAGTATTTCTTCCTCTGTATATTTTGTTCAAAAATGATAAGGATCTTCTGAAACGTCAAAAACGAAGTTTCAGCTATTTTCATTCTTTTTCGTATTTGGCCTTTTTCTGTGCCGCCACTGGACCGACTTTCAAAAACAAAGCTTGGCATAATAGTAACATTGTGTGAAAACTTCATTGAAATCCAACGGGGACTTTTCAAGTTATAGACGGTTATAAGATTAGAGGACGGATCGACAGACAGACAGATCGACGGAAATGAGTGACATGGTTTTTGGTGATGTCATGTAAGATCCAAAAAAAACATAATATTTAATTTTCTAGATTTTCGTGATTACAATACCTCCCCGCCAGAAGGCATGAGAGGTGAGCCGCGCAGTTCGCAAGAGGGGAGGTGGGTGGACACAGAGCAGGGATATTCCCCTATCTCTCTCGTTCAGATGCAGTACTAAAAACATTCTGAAGCACCAGCAGCCAGCCTACAACGTATATGTCTGTACATGGCGTATTTATTTGATCGTACAGAGTTGAACGCGTGCACCCTTATTTCCTAATTCTGTAATCATTGCAATAAATATCATCTAGAAAAGAGAGTTAAAAAACAGACATAACTGCTATTTTTTTATACTCTATCTACCACGAATGCCTAAGGCCTAAACACCCATGGGTACCGTGGGGCTATAGGGGGATACAGGGTAAAGGGGGGACGCCACAGGGACTCTGACGAGGGAACCCGTGTGCATGCAATATGTACACACTCTGGCGCCGCCTACGAGATCCGCCGGGTGGTACCTCCGCGTTCGAGAATCAGTGACCGTCTACCACCTACGGACAATCACAACATCTATAGCCAAGAGAAAAATTTCTCTTGGGACGGGATTCGAACCCGCACAGCGCACGGCAACTGATCAGGAGACCGAAGAGTCTACTACTGCGGCCACCGCTGCTGCCTGCTCTGTTTCTTTCGTGATTACGTTTTTTTTTTTTGACATCCTCAAAAGTTGACAAAGTGAATTAATCATTATGACAAATTACTGACGAAAGTCGGCTAATACACAATTTGTTCGAAAACACTAAAATATAGATGTACGTACTACTACTGATAACTTTTTACAAAAAAGTCTCAAATGACATAAAAGAACACAAGAGGCACAAAAGATGAATATATAAGGGTTGTTGTTATATTCGTGGATTGACGTGTGACATACAAGAAGACACATGTCACTTAAAACGAAAAAGTCAAAACCAAACACGATCGGTTATGATTGGTTGATCGCTTAAAATTGCTTATTGTTAGGTGAGTCAACTGTCACTGTCAATAAAAATGCGTGTACCAAGAGCACACATTGATTTTTTGCCGCTGGAGACACACATGTGTGTGCCTAACCCAGCTTCAGCGAATACACTTCAAATGACTTTTTACAGCGCCTTTTTCAAAGCAGCTAGGAGTGGCGACTGTATATAGCGGAGGTTTCTAGCCTAGGGCTGCCATCCGACCGGGATTCCCCGGATAATTCCTAGCTTAGAAGGCATCCGGTGGCTATCCGGAACGGGTTTTTAAAAAGTCTTGAGATTCCTTGGATATTTCCCAAATCACAGTTAATTAATGGAAACAGTCAGGTTTGCTTCAAAGAGCAATTTCTATCCGCGAAACGTCTGATTTCCACCAGAACATTATATCCCCAAAGAGCTCCCCAAGTAAAAATCCCCTAAATTTGAGAGAAAATCCTCCAGAATGGCAACCCTGTCAAAACATCTTATTTGTGTCACTGCTATTCAGCATAAAAGTGCTGCAACACTGGACTGCTTTACGTAGGCTAAACACACTCATTGTCGAAATCATAAATACACAGATGGTTTTGACAGTCAGGTTTGCTTCAAAGAGCAATTTCTATCCGCGATACGTCTGATTTCCACCAGAACATTATATCCCCAAAGAGCTCCCCAAGTAAAAATCCCATAAATTTGGGAGAAAATCCTCCAGAATGGCATCCCTGTCAAAACATCTTATTTGTGTCACTGCTATTCAGCATAAAAGTGCTGCAACACTGGACTGCTTTACGTAGGCTAAACACACTCATTGTCGAAATCATAAATACACAGATGGTTTTGATAATTTTCTCACAGGAGACTGCAGAATATTTATAGATCTGTATTTATATACTAAAAATAGTAGAGCCAAATTTGATGTACAAAATGGGGCCTTTTGGAACCCTTCTTAAATTCTACCGCGTTAAATTGATATATTTTATTACATGAGTAAATCAAAACAGATTAGCCGTTCAAATCTTCAAACACTCACCTGAAATTTTTCTTCCGATATAAGGGGTCCACCTCCTCTTTTATGCGCAGCTCCACACTGCGCAGCGGACTTTTCTAAAGACGCCGCTAGACGTGCGACTGCGGTATCCGCGCGAGTCAGCAGCGTTTCTCGCGCAGGATTTCCCATTGCGCAACCGTTGCTGAGAGGCGGCGAGTCTAAATGAACAGGAACTGCGGTCAGAGGAGCACCACCGCGACCTGCAATTTTCACATTTATATGAACACATCACATTATATTTTGATTTTCTATGCGAATCCGACAATTCTGGAATAACACCAGACAACATTTTTTATATAGTAAGCAACTGCATTCTGGTACCGACACGGAAGAAACTAGCAAAACACATCGTACATCGTTGTTAGCGCGACATGTCCTTAAAGCGGAATCTACGCGCACCACGCCGCCCTAGCAGTGGCGTACTATTTGTTATGCTAATCTTTTCTGTTTTGGTACCCGACTTACCCAAATAAGGTGACGTAGGAGTGCTGATGGCAGTTTTCCCATTACTTCTGACACTCCCACTCCTAGTCACTTTCCCTCCAGAAACTTGGTCAGCCTCCAATTGTTCCACGTCCTGCCTTTGAATCCTGGTGCGTTGCAAATGGGGGGAACCAATTCCAGCTGTACGCAATGAGGGGGTGTCATTTACAGCGTCTAAATGGGTCTTCTTCTGGCGCAGAACTTCCAAGGGGGGTACGGGTGGCAAAGGGGGTTTCTTAGGGGGTAGAAAAAGGTGGGATGGCTGAAACGGATGATAGTATTAAGGAATCATTATTTCATCAGTGCCTGAAACGGCTTAATATTTTCTATTCCTAGCACATAAACAGTACAAGAAAATCAAAAAATTCCACTGAATAAAAAATTTAAAAGTTCAAAAATTTCAGTAATACGTTCACCAAAATATCAAAAAATTCCAGAATATCCAAAAATTTCAAATATTGTAAGAATTCAAAAATTACAAAAATATTCAAAGAATTCCAAAAATTCCTATAAATTTCAAAAATTCAAAAAATTCCAAATGGTCCAAAATTTTCAGATATCTCAAGAATTCCAAATATTCCAAGAATTCCAAAAATACTAAGATTTCCAAAAAATTCTAAAGATTCCAAATATTCCAAAGATTACAAATATCCCAAGAATTCCAAAAATTCCAATAAATCCAACGATTCAAAAAATTCCACATATTCAAGAAATTCAAAAAATTCAAAAGTTTTCAGGAATGTCAAATATACCAAGAATTTTAAAAATTCCAAGAATGCCAAATATTCAAGAAATTCCAAAAATTCCAAGAATTCAAAAAATCCAAAAATTCCAATAATTTCACAAATTCCAAAAAATCCAAAAATTCGAATAATTCCAGAAGTTTCAAAAATTTACAGATATCCCAAGAATTCCAAAAATTCCAAAAATTCTAAGATGTCCAAAAATTCTAAAGATTCCAAATATTCCAAAGATTACAAATATCCCAAAAAATCGAAAAATTCCAATAAATCCAACGATTCAAAAAATTCCACATATTCAAGAAGTTCAAAAAATTCCAAGTTTCCAAGAATGTCAAATATACCGAGAATTCTAAAAATTCCAAGAATAACCAAATATTCAAAAAAATCAAAAGATTCCCAAAATTCCAAATATTCCAATGATTAAAAAAATCCAACAATTCCAATAATTTCACAAATTCCAAAAAATTCTAATAATTCCAGAAGTCTCAAAAAATTCAAATTTCAAAACATCCAGAGATTCCAAATATTTTAAAAAGTTACAAATATTCCAAAAATTCCAAGAGTTCCGAAAATTTCCTGGATTCCAAGAACTGTCGATTCTTGAAAATCCACGCATACTAGACAGTTAGCTCATTAAATGCGATAATTCCTTATATTTAAACAAATCTATTCTTACCATTCCATCCTGTTTCCCCTTTCCATTCTGCTGCTGTGGCGCTTGCGCAGCCGGTCTTGGGGGTACGGCAGACAGCGAGTGCGACCTTTGCCTTTCGGGCAGTGAGGGAGCGGTCAGCGTTTGGCCATTTTGGGCGGCCATCGCTTGACCATTTTTGGGTGGCCGGTCTGGTGGGCGTTCGTTCAAGCTGCGTCTGGGCGGAGGTCGAACGTCAATGTCGCTAGAAGACACCGGTGATGAGGAGTGGGAGGGCTTTGGTTTGCCGCAACATGAAAAGGGGCCTGGAAAATTATGTCATATTATTCATACGAGGATACGTTCAAAAATCGTGTTTCAGAGCTTTTTGAGGTACTAAAACTATTCAATACCAATACTTGATACATCATTATGAAGCTGGAATACTCATTCTTTGCTTCATTCGAGTTTCTACAGGAGACTATCACTGAATCGTTCTGAACTACCAGTAGTCAAAACATACTGATGAAAAAATAGACACAATATTCAATCTATAAAATAGACTGTGACTGCGGTAAATGCTACATCGGTGAAACATCAAGACGTGTTAAATGTGGAATTAAGGAACATAAAGGCTATATAACAAACTACACTACTAAGCGAAGATGTGTGGAAAACAGGAGTAAAATGGGAGGAAGTCTGGAAACTATAGAAAGAGGATAGCAATTATAAAAGAAAGGTAAACCACCTTCCTATATAAAATGAAGCATTAACTGCCTTTCTAATTCTTCTGACTGTGATCCAATTCGGTTGAACATCCTTGAAGGAAAGGATCATGGGTTTTTTATCCAGGTTCTTCTCATCGTTTGTTGTTGGGTCGCAAACGCGCAAACTGTTGTGTCGTATTATTTTCTCACAGGACAAAGACTGTAAATGTCGATGTCAGGATAAATAAAATATATTGTAAAATAACAAAATTGGATCTACATTATCAAGCTCAACAAAAATTTCTGTTGATGTACCACAAGATAGTAAACTAGGTCCACTACTAATTATTTTATACATTAATGAAATTTGTGATACTTTAGATTATTAGAAAATTCAGATATTTGCAGATGATACGTTAATATACGTATCAGATGAAAATATAGACACTGCTTTAAAAATTCTAAATTCTGACTTGGCAAAAATTATAAATTGGTTAAATGTAAATAAGCTAAAATTGAATGCTTCTAAAACAAAATGCTAATAAGAAAATACCTAAATGAAAATACTATCACAGTCAGGATAAATGGTAAAATAATTGAAAATGTCGAATAAATTAAATATTTAGGTATATATATATATATATATATATTGATAGTAAACTACAATTTAAGGATCACTATGAATACATTATTTCAAAAATTGCCAAAAAATTACTTTATAAGCCCCATAGTCTTAGTACATATTCCGAAAAAATCGTTTATAATACAATAATTCTACCCCATTTACTATATTGTTCAACCGTCTTGATCACTGCCAATGAAGTTGTATTCTCGAAATTACAGAATAAAGCTATAGATAACACTGAATATAACTAATTAAACCAAAATAAAATGTATGTTACAAGAATTGCAGCGGTTGAATATAAAACAGTTCATATATTTGGTTCTTATTTTTATATTTCTCTTTTGCCACAACATTTAGAACACCACATACAATTGAATAATCATTACCACAATTATTATACAAGAGAAAATATAGATATTCATTTATAAAATTTTAATAGTAATATAACTAGCCAATCAATATTTCAGAAAGGATTACTTGAATTTCATCAACTAAATAATGGCATAAAGTCTACTTGTAACTTGAAGATGTTTAAAAGAAAATTAAAGGAATATTTCATGGAGAGTGAAAATCATTGGAAATGCAAATCTTTGTCTTTTGTTTAAATATTTGTATGTTATGTAATTCTGGTAGGTTTTTAAAAGAATGTACTGAAGAAGGTCACCGTTGTGACAGAAACTTTTACAGTAAAAAAAATAGTTTTTTCAACACATGTGGTCTGGATTGGCCAGATAAATATGAGGGATTACCACTAGCCACTTGCGTTTCGGCTGGTAAATCACGATAACATATCTAGAAGTATCTGAACGGTTCTGAAATGGTTCCTTATAGAACCCGAATGAGGCTATTAACTCACCTTTCCTATCGACAGTAGCGTACTCTATAACATTATTCTTCTCCCCTCCACATTCACTATGTCTTCTCACTCTCTCCCTCTCCCCCTTAACCTCCAGACTTCCATTTACCATCTTCGTTTCTCCTTCTTCTCGATCTTTTTCTTCCACCCCTGCTTTCGTGAGGTTCTCCAGACTGGCTTGTGAGGGTGGCGGGGGGATAATGTATGACATTATTTCTTCAGGGGTTAGTTCCACGGCGGGGGTGACTTTTTGAGTGGGAGGTGGCACTGTAACACTTGCTAGGAATTCTTCTAGATCGCCAGAATCGCCAGCTGTAATAAAATGACGTCAAGCAGATTGACTATACACTTCCTACGCCTTCGCTACGGTACCAACATTACAAGGTTTTAAAATTTGTCGGTTTTATTCAACGGACACAAATGGAATCGAAAACTTCATAGAATGTGATATTTAACCTGGTCGTCAATAAATATTGATGTATAAGGTTACGTAAAAACACACTAATACTGACGACTCTAACCACAGACCATACTGATTGTGTGACTTCAATGGCACATGCATGGAAAATATGTGTTACTGTTATGTCTAAAAGGTGAGCAGTACTACGACCGAAATCAGAAGCTTATTAATAATACATAGAATATTATTCACTGATACCAAAGATGTAATATTCACAACTCCCCACCATCTACAAACACCAACCCCATATTTTCATCGTCCCCAAAAAAAATTTAAAATCAGTAGTGGGAGTAGCAAAAATGCAGAAAATCGAAGCTTCTTTGATTATGATTATGGACCTATCGTCAAAATTATCTGATTTCCATAATGGCGGAACCAGTATATCAGAATCAGCATCATCTCTCTAAGAAATGTGCAGCATCATCATTTGTACACTTACTAATTGATACCCGAGAAAGGTTATATGCACTGGTTTTATCCGCGAAAATGTACAGGGCGTTCAAGAAGTATAGAAAGTTCAAAATATCTCAGAAAATACGTTTCCTAGAGAAGAATGTTGTAGAACAAAGTTGTAAGGTTTGAAAATATTCATCAATTAGTGATCTTCAACGTGACCTTGACCTTCGTCTTCAAGGTCATTTGAAGGTCAGGACAGGAAATTTTACATTAATGCAAGTCTTTGCCCATGACCTTTACTATGTTCATGAGTAGTAAGTAGATAAAGGGCAAAATATCTCGAAAAGTATGTTTCATAAAGAAAAATGTTGTGAGGTTTGAAAAGATTCACCTAATGGTGACCTGGAACGTGACCTTGACTATGACCTTCAAGGTTATTTGAAGGTCAAGGCAGTTTTCATAAATGGCTATCTCTATTTTTGACACACGAAATAAAAAGAGCATTTTCAAGTATGCCCATGACCTTGAGTATGCCAATTAAAGTCATTCGAAGATCGAATGAACTTTTAACAGGAAACATCTCCTTTAATTCCTAAAATACTGATTGCGGACAATTTTAGGTTCAAGTAAACTCTTGCCAATGGACCTGAGCATAACCTTTCAAGGTCATTTCAAAACAAACTAATTAATTGTTGAATTAACCAATGTATTGTATAACGAATTACTTATACTTCCACGGGGGGCTTCAGGTGTAGTGTAGTTATCAATGAAACAATACTGAAATAAGTCAATCTTACCACCTAAAGGTGAAAATGTTCACTGTAGACACCATCATATCAGAACCTAATCGCTTACTATGCCGTCATATGTAGGATTGTTCAAAGGTTATTCAAGAAAAGCGTATTTCCAACGGGGTCTTTTTGGCCCGAATTTAATAAGCTACTAGTAAGAAGCCGTCTTTGAAGAATATGGTTGATTTTTTGTAAAATCTACCCCAAACTAGAAAAAAAGTATACGGTTTGTATTATGTGGCCCCCTGATTCCCATATTAAATCAAAAAATACATCATAAATCACTTGGTTTAGCTACAAAAAAATTTTTCATTTACGTCAGGACATTAAATTAGCGGAAATGACCATATAATGCACCATTGAAAAATAAGCATTTGCGCCATACTTCAGGCATGGGCACAAGTCTGACATAATATCTAGATTGATATGACAGCAATTAAACTTGCATTTTGTTGAAAATAACAGTGTCTAACCATACAAAATTCTGCACAATAAAGTCTTTAAAGACATAAATAAACTGCAGAATGCTTAACTCTTTAACAAAAATCGAATAAATAATTAATTTACTCACTGTTAACAGTAGACTGCTCTTATTAGCAGTAAGTAAGTAAATTGATAATATACTCGATGTTTTTTAAATAATAAGCATTATGTAATTTTTATTTATGTCTTCAAAGAATTTATTAAATTCAATTTTGTTCAGCAATGTAATGACGTCATGTCAATCTATTGTATCAGGTTTGATCCATGTTCCGAGTAGGCCACAAATCCCTTTTGATTAATGGAATTTGCGTCAACTTTTGTATCCGGGCACAAATGAAAAATAGGTTTTTTTACCTGAACCATGTGATATACAGGGTGATTCACAAGTCATTCACAGGACCACATTTTAGGGGGGTCTTCTATGTATCATTTTTTCTTCGATGGCTTGATCAAAACGGGGTGTTGAAATTTAAAAATAAAAAACAATGTTTTTAATATCTTCAAAACCGTCAACTGGAACTAAAATTTGGTATTTACCTAAGTATTGTCCACATACAAAACTTTTTACTTAAAATTAACGTGTATCAGTGGCGGATCTACAGGGGATTAGTGGCATTATTTTTCCAAATAAAAATAGTAGTACGTCACTGTTTTTTTTTTTTCGAATTCTACCTTCAATTTGCTACAAGTAATTACTCTTGTGTTTCTTCCTGGAGTGCATTGTTTTTCGTAAAAATAAAAAACTAATTAAACAATCAAAGCTTCATTTCAATAAATGTTCAAAAAGACCTCCATTCTGACAGATACAAGTACGTCATCTTTTTAATAAGGAAAAACGTATTTCCGCAAAATTTGTTGTGACTTGAATTTGATGAAACGCATTATCTATTCTTTCTTGTAACTGATCAGCAGTATTAATTTGTTCAGCATACACTAGTTGTTTAATAGCGCCCCACAAAAGAAATCCAGCGGGTTCACCGCGGTGATTCTAGCAACAACAGCCAGCCAGCAACAAACGATAGTCCCTCTTCTCACCAGCGGCCGCGTCGCGCTGGACACCATCGCGCGTCGCTACAGCAGGGAAGCCGGCGCAGCGTAAGCAGGCGGTGCGGCACCGTCTTCCCATGTAAAACGGTGTTTAGTATCTACACAAAATTATATACATTATGTGTTGTCAGTTTTTTCACACTATCTATCACATTCCGTGGCCGGGGCATATTAAAACTACCAGAGGGAGCGAAGGTTACCTATACGAAACGCACATGGAAAATTAAAATTCTCAATTTTTCTTCAAACCAACACCACTTTTTTTCACGAAAATCAATGCTACAATGCATCCTTCATATCCGGGATCAATTACATATCGTGGCCGGGGCATATTAAGCCTACCAGAGGGAGCGAAAGTTACCTATACGAAAAGCACATGGAAATTTGAAAATTAAAATACTCAATTTTTCTTCAAATCAACACCACTTTTTTTTCACGAAAATCAATTCTACAATGCATCCTTCATATCCGGGATCGATTATATCTCGTGGCCGGGGCATATTAAGCCTACCAGAGGGAGCGAAAGTTACCTATACCAAACGCACATGGAAATTTGAAAATTAAAATTCTCAACTTTTCTTCAAATCAACACCACTTTTTTTTCACGAAAATCAATTCTACAGTGCATCCTTCATATCCGGGATCGATTACATCTCGTGGCCGGGGCATATTAAGCCTACCAGAGGGAGCGAAAGTTACCTATACGAAAAGCACATGGAAATTTGAAAATTAAAATACTCAATTTTTCTTCAAATCAACACTACTTTTTCTTCACGAAAATCAATGCTACAATGCATCCTTCATATCCGGGATCGATTACATCTCGTTGCCGGGGCATATTAAGCCTACCAGAGGGAGCGAAAGTTACCTATACGAAAAGCACATGGAAATTTGAAAATTAAAATTCTCAATTTTTCTTCAAATCAACACCACTTTTTTTTCACGAAAATCAATGACTACAATGTATTCTTCATATCCGGGATCAATTACATCTCGTGGCCGGGGCATATTAAGCCTACCAGAGAGAGCGAAAGTTACCTATAGTCAACGCCAAACAAAGTGGCGTGCACGTCATCAAGGTGGGTGTGTTGAAAAATTTACATTGTTGCCAAACTTTTTGTAAAATAATAAAATTTATTATTTACATATCTAGGTTTATAAGCAATATTAACCTCAAATGAGAACAAAAATAATAGTATAATAAAATTATAGATCTGTACTTGCATAATCATTAAGTATGACAATTATTGATCAGATGACACTATGAAACTACCATATTTAATTGATAGCTTAAAGGTACTGAATAAAAATCCAAATGGGGTCCTCCAAATTTTATGCATGGTATTTATTTTACAGAATTCATACAGAAAAATGCATTCTAAAATTAGGTAAGCTACTGGTGTAAGCTTTTTCTGTACAATAAAGTTAGTCGGAGTTTCTTTCTTCAGCGCTGTCTGAATCTGAATCTTCATCACTCTCAAAGTTGATTATTAAAGGTTCGATGTCTGGTCGATCAAAAATTCGTTCTCTTTCATACCATTTAAAAATTTCTTGCTCAGTATGTCGAACACTATTTTTCCACATGTCTGGGGTAACCGTTTGTAGAGCCCCGTTCCACATATCCAAACAGTCACTTTCACTGTTACCAGCTCTACCAATATGTCTGTTATAGTAACCTTTTGCTATGCCCCAAATTAACTCAATAGGGTTAAATATACAATGGTAAGGAGGCAGACGAAGAACTTTGCGCCCATGTTGTTCCGCCAATTCATCAATCACGTATATTTTAGGTGGTTTGTTTCTAAAAAAGCAGTTATTTTAAGAATAGGAATAAACAAAAGAAATATAAACTGTCGACCAAAATATATATAATTAAGAAGCATTATGTACCGAGCAACAATACTCAATAGCTCTGTTTTAAACATTGTGTTTAAAAATGGTATGTTTTGATTTGTCAACCAGTCTTGGATATTTTTTTTTGTCCATGCATTGTTGGGCACTTTGTTCAATATCATGCTGTGATAAGGGGCGTTATCCAGTATAATCATAGATGGACTCTCCAATTTTTCTAATAACTGATGTTGAAACCATTTCAAAAAATTGTCCTGGTTCATCTCTCCATGGTAATCGCTCAATTTTGTTTTCGAAGAAAATATCGCTTCACTACCCTCAATAAACACATTTTCATTTCCAGCATGTAATATAATGTATCTAAAATATATTAGTTTTAAATTTTATAGTGCAAATTGTGTAAAAGTACATACCTTTTACCATCTGTTTTAATAGCTTTCACGCTTTTTTGGTTTCCATTTTGCCAAGAGCGACCTATGGTCCCATTTTGAAATATCCAAGTTTCATCGAGGAAGACAAACTGGTATAAGGCGTCAACCTTGGCTTGATTGTATTGCCTTAGAAATTCCACCCTTTTCAAAGCTATACTTGATAGTTCCATGAGCCCTCGTCGCGGATTGTCCTTAAGCCACTTAAATCCAAGATCTCTAAGCAACCGCCTTAAAGACGTGGCACTACCATCAAATAATGCCCTATCTCTTAATCGAGACCATAAAGTTTGTATCGTAACTTGTTCTTCTGAAACCATGTGTAATATGACATTATAATTTAGTTAACAAATTAATGCAAATTTCTGATAAGTTATAATAAGATCTTACTTTTGTGATACATATTATAGATCACTTCTCGAATGGCACTTGTATCCAATGTCGCTGTGTTGGTTACACGTTTAATATAACTCCGCTTTTTCTTGGGCGATTCTAAATTTGCATCACTTTTCACACCCTCAGAAATACGACTAACTGTCCTTAAACTAACTTTTAAAGCAGCAGCAACACGCTACAAAAAATGAAATAAAATTTCACTATTATTAATATACATTACATATAATTATTAGTAACCTACCTCTTGAACAGCATTTAAAGGCAACAAAGGCCCGTTGTTGTCCCTTTCTTGCTCAAAGTAGTGCATTAACGAGGCCACGAGTTCCTTACATCGACTATTTAACTGTTTGGGCATCTTTATATACCAAAATTGCCTTTATCTACTCGTAAAATGAATAATTTTGTTTTGAAACAAACAGTTGTTGATTTACAGTATGCGGGGCCAAAGGATTTATAAAGATTTGAAATGCCACAAATTGATTCAGTGTCAAAATTAATACAAATGTCAGTTCCCAGTTTAAATAAGTTTCAAGGTGACAATGTGTCAACGCTGCGAAATCGGTTTAGCGCGTTTACATGTCGATAAGTGATTGGAGCGTTTGCAAAACATTTTATTTCGCATAATGCGTCTAAATTAATCAGAAAGCAACTTATGTGATATTTTAATAACAATGTTTATATGACTATTAACCATAATAAGAGAGTAATGACCATTTTACAATTTATATATCACATTAATATGAAACTGCAATAGAGCAATTGTTTGTGATAGAAACCTAGGCATTAGGTCGGGGAATTTTTATCGTGATGACGTGCACGCCACTTTGTTTGGCGTTGACTAGCACATGGAAATTTGTAAAATTAAAATACTCAATTTTTCTTCAAATCAACACCTCTGGTAGGCTTAATATGCCCCGGCCACGAGATGTAATCGATCCCGAATATGAAGGATACATTGTAGCATTGATTTTCGTGAAAAAAAAGTGGTGTTGATTTGAAGAAAAATTGAGAATTTTAATTTTCAAATTTCCATGTGCTTTTCGTATAGGTAACTTTCGCTCCCTCTGGTAGGCTTAATATGCCCCGGCCACGAGATGTAATTGATCCCGGATATGAAGGATGCATTGTAGCATTGATTTTCGTGAAAAAAAAAGAGGTGTTGATTTGAAGAAAAATTGAGAATTTTAATTTTCAAATTTCCATGTGCTTTTCGTATAGGTAACTTTCGCTCCCTCTGGTAGGCTTAATATGCCCCGGCCACGAGATGTAATCGATCCCGGATATGAAGGATGCATTGTAGAATTGATTTTCGTGAAAAAAAAAGTGGTGTTGATTTGAAGAAAAATTGAGAATTTTAATTTTCAAATTTCCATGTGCGTTTGGTATAGGTAACTTTCGCTCCCTCTGGTAGGCTTAATATGCCCCGGCCACGAGATATAATCGATCCCGGATATGAAGGATGCATTGTAGAATTGATTTTCGTGAAAAAAAAGTGGTGTTGATTTGGAGAAAAATTGAGTATTTTAATTTTCATTTTCCATGTGCTTTTCGTATAGGTAACTTTCGCTCCCTCTGGTAGGCTTAATATGCCCCGGCCACGAGATGTAATCGATCCCGGATATGAAGGATGCATTGTAGAATTGATTTTCGTGAAAAAAAAGTGGTGTTGATTTGAAGAAAAATTGAGAATTTTAATTTTCAAATTTCCATGTGAGTTTCGTGTGGGTAACTTTCGCTCCCTCTGGTAGGCTTAATATGCCCCGGCCACGAGATGTAATCGATCCCGGATATGAAGGATGCATTGTAGAATTGATTTTCGTGAAAAAAAAGTGGTGTTGATTTGAAGAAAATTGAGAATTTTAATTTTCAAATTTCCATGTGAGTTTCGTGTGGATAACTTTCGCTCCCTCTGGTAGGCTTAATATGCCCCGGCCACGAGATGTAATCGATCCCGGATATGAAGGATGCATTTTAGAATTGATTTTCGTGAAAAAAAAGTGGTGTTGATTTGAAGAAAAATTGAGAATTTTAATTTTCAAATTTCCATGTGCGTTTGGTATAGGTAACTTTCGCTCCCTCTGGTAGGCTTAATATGCCCCTGCCACGAGATATAATCGATCCCGGATATGAAGGATGCATTGTAGAATTGATTTTCGTGAAAAAAAAGTGGTGTTGATTTAAAGAAAAATTGAGAATTTTAATTTTCAAACTTCCATGTGCGTTTCGTATAGGTAACTTTCGCTCCCTCTGGTAGGCTTAATATGCCCCGGCCACGAGATGTAATTGATCCCGGATATGAAGGATGCATTGTAGCATTGATTTTCGTAAAAAAAAGTGGTGTTGGTTTGAAGAAAAATTGAGAATGTTAATTTTCAAATTTCCATGTCCGTTTCGTATAGGTAACCTTCGCTCCCTCTGGTAGTTTTAATATGCCCCGGCCACGGAATGTGATAGATAGTGTGATAACACTGACAACACACAATGTATATAATTTTGTGTAGATACTATAACACCGTTTTACATGGGAAGACGGTGCCGCACCGCCTGCTTACGCTGCGCCGGCTTCGCTGCTGTAGCGACGCACGATGGTGTCCAGCGCGACGCGGCCGCTGGTGAGAAGAGGGACTATCGTTTGTTGCTGGCTGGCCGTTGTTGCTAGAATCACCGCGGTAGCGGGTTCAAATCAGGAGACCTCGCACGCCAATGTACGGTTCCTTTTGTGCCAATCCTTCGTTGCTAAAGCATTTCCAATACAGAATCCGTGCACAAAAATAATATTGGCGTACTCATCATTGCTAAATTGCATTTCACAACACTCAAAAATGGAAAAAAGAAACTTTTGACTTGACTTTTACAAATCTTACAACTTTTCTCATTCACTCCAGTTTGAGAGACATTTTATAAGAACTCAACCAAATTCATTAAATCTATCACTTCAAAGCCACCTTCGTATTGCTGTAATTTGTGCCAAAGTCCCAAATTTTGATTCCCGTCTGTTAGTAGTAAAACCGGACCATAGGAGCATGCATCTCCGAAAAGAAGCCGAATTTCGACAATCGTTAGATGAAAAAATAGCCTTAGTATAATCCAAAAAATACTCCATTGAGTTTTTGCCCTATATTTTAATGGCCTGTATTCTTACCTATATGATCAAGCCTCTCCATACTATCAGCAAAAGACCGCGGTGGCTGGGCATCAACAACATTTGTAGGATGTTCCAGCAAATCTGGCGTATGAGGTGGCGGTAACAGAGTGAGATCTATGATGTCAGGGTCAAAAATGTAAACGGGCCCGACAGAGTCAGCTGACGTTGGAGTCTCAGCACCTGTTGTTGAGTGCTGTTGGGGTTGGCCATCTGTTGTAGTTGATTCGGGGCCTGTGTCTGGGCTTCTGAGTCCAAAGCTAATCCTACAAATATAAAGGGTGTGATTATACAGCGTCTGCTCAACTTGAGTTATTTTTTTAACAGCTTGTAGAACTCGTCAAAAGAAGATGATTTACCAAAAATTACCTATTTAAAAGTTGCCTAACAACAGAGTTAGCTTTCATTATAAAAAAAATCATTATCAAGTTTAATGGATACCGTTTTTACCAAAACTGTTCAAAATTGTCCCCATTTGTTCGATTAACGCAAAGTTCTTCCAGAGTATTTACTACTTCATCATGATACACCAACTGTTTCAAATAGTCTCACAGAAAAAAAACGCAATGCGTTAAATCCTGGGAGCAAGCAGGCCAAGAAATGGGTCCATTGCGCCCTATCTATCTATTCGGAAACTCATTACTTAGATGTTCATGAACTTCTCGTCTAAAATGTGGTGGAGCCCCATCATGTAGCAACATTTACTCACATTTAGAGGAACATCTTCTAATAATTGTGGCAGATTGTGTCAAAGAAAATCTAAATTTTCACCGATCAGTCGCGGTGGAAAAAAGTAGGGTCCAATTAGTATGCCATTTACCACGCCAGCCCTAGCATTTATTGAAAATCTATGTTGAAACTGCGTTCTTTTTACAGCATGCAAATTTTCTACTGCCCAAACCTGATTGTTGTGGAAATTGTGCACTCCATTTCGTGTAATTATCGCCTCGCCTGAACATAAAGTGAATTTCGTAAAATCTTCATTTCTGCCGAACTGGCAAAATGCAACTCTTCTAGGATGATCTTCAGGTTGTAACGCTTGTACCCGTTGATAATGATAAGGATAATAATGTTCTTGTCGTATTGTCTTCCACACTTTACTATAAGAAACTTCCACTTGAGCTGCTATGGCTCTAGTACTCACTGTTGAGTTGTCTTCGACCATTTCTAAAGTGTGCTCGTCAATTTGTAACATTTCAGGTTGAGCAGGACTTCCAGCGTGATCTCCTCGTTATTCTTTTAAATCTCCTGTGTCACGAAGTCTGATAACTAAATTTACAAACATCCGTGGGGCCGGATGATTTCTTAAAGGGAAACCTTTCCGCATACAACCAGCATGCTGCGGATGCATTTTGATGGAACTCACCGTATGTTTGTGTTACGTCAGCTAGTTCATTGTTTTCGTAAACGTGAGCCATTTTTTGGGACAAAATAATCTGACAAATGAAAATATACGCATTACTAAAATCGAACCAAAGACTCGTACTGAAAACCATACAATAACACAAAAAGTTTGCCAAATTTAGATAAACGATAAGAATAATCAACAAAAAACGCTAGCATTTTACACGTCAGTGGTAAAGAGTATAACAAAATCTGTGTAATAACCATCTTATTTTTTTTATTTTTAATCTTTCATTATTTCTTTTATTATGCAACTCTTATATAGGTGATTTTTGGTATATAAACTCCCTTTGACGAGTCCTACACGCAGTTAAAATGAATGACTCAACTTTGAAAACACCCTGTATAAACGATTATTAAGTCTCAACATCGTTGCTAGCAAAATTTTAGCGTTAGTGGAGGTTGCCTTCCTTTGTGGGTCGCTCAGGCCTGTGTCTGGGTGCTTAAGATCAAAACTGATTCGAGATCTGAGTTTTATTCACTCGTAACAAAAATGGCATCTGTACTTCCCACGCGATGCCATCAGCAATTCATAAAGGATTAAGTTCTGCACAAGTTAAACTTTCTGAGAAAAAAGTTTGTTACTAACATGTACAACAGAAAAGTTAAACGGATCAAACGGACCCATACAATTAGTCCATAGAAATTATTTCCCTGCCCTACTGGTAGTACCGTTCATCTGGCAACATCCCAGATCTGATCATACAACGCGTCAGACGCGCCAGCCCCCCACCGCGGCACTGCTGCAGTGCGTTTAGAACAGTCAACTAGACCGGTACGCCGCTAGTTTTAAAGGCATATGTACGGGCAAAGTTATGATGTGTGAAATACGGCTAATAGATTCATAGAATTACCGGGGTTGGAAGCGTATCAATATAGTAACATCAAAGAATTGAAATATATCGTCACCTCTTACAACCCCCAATTTTTAACTCCTACACTTTTTTTTTTCTAAAAATGATTAGGAGCAGGGCCGGTCCTACCGGGTATGCAGTGAATGCCCCGCACGCGGGCGCCAACTTTATAGGGGTGCAAATACCTGGTTATTTTGTTCACGTTCCAAAAATATTTTATTTAATATTTTCCGTTCCGTATCCTGAGATATGTTAAATATCATTTGCCAATAGCCCTCAGTACCCTGGAGTAGTTGCGAGTAGTGGAGTGCTAAGTTGGATACAGTGTCTGTGATAATATTTCCATTTATTACTCGTATGTTGTCTACACTAGGAATGACATATTCGCCAACACAGGTTTGTTCGTAAACGCGTATATTGTGAATTTTATTGTGAGGTGACTAATAAACTGCTACAAACAAGTAAGTAGAAGAGTAAACTAGCACATGTTAATCAATCTAAGGTCCCTTGCACACCACTTTTTTTTCAGATGCTAGTCAACAGCTTACTTTCGTATTTCGCTTCGTCCATTGTTCTTCAAACGAAGTTGAAATTATGGAACATTTTTGTAGTTTTTCAAAGTTTTGGATACTACAGGTGAAGAGCTTTTCAACTTTTTAAGAGAAGAAATATTATCAAAATTTGAAATAGATCTTCATAATATGAGAGGTCAGGGCTATGATAATGGTGCAAATATGTGCAAGCATGTGTGCCTTCAAGCTTAAATATACGTTGGATTTAACTGTCACTGATGCAGCTAAAGTTTATTTTTCAATCGTTCAGGAGCTGTTCAATTTTTTTCCGCTTCACCCTACAGATGGAATACTTTAAAAAGGAATGTGCCAAAGTTAACTTTAAGAAGGTAAGTGAAACACGATGGGAAAACGGAGCCAAAGCCATTCGCCCTCTTAGATTTCAATTTACCGAAATTTGTATTGGTTTGACAAAATCAAAACTTTTAAGTGCATTTGTTCTATCATAATTTGGTTATGATCTGTTATCAAAGATTAATATAGTAAGTAAAACTATTCAGAATCTAAACACCACTTTGAATGAATGCCACAAATAAATAAAAATGATATTAAACAAACATTCTTTTTATTGAGGCAAAGGAAGCCGAAGCATTAGTTTTCATATGAAAGTACCGATGAATAAGTTTTTGATCCTAAACAAAAATTTAAGATAAGTTTTTATTTTACAAGTTTAATGATTTATTTGGTTTTTTGACTGATCTCCGAAATCTGGAGTCTGATGTAATCAAACGGTCATGTATAGATTTGGATTTGGCTCTGCAAATTCAACATGAAAAAATGTATCTAATGATGACGGTCGTGATCTACACAATGAAATTATGTTATACAGTTTTTTCAGACTAAAATTTCACTCTCGCCCATAGGTATTTGAAGCCATATAACACAGAAAACACTGCAGTCCTGGTTCCCAAATTTATTTATAGCCTATTCCTTACCCTACCAATTTCGGTGGCTTCTGGCGAGAGGAGTTTCTCGAAATTGAATCTTATAAAAAATTACGTAAGAACATCAAAGGGCCAAGAGAGACTGTCAGATTTGGCAATTATTTCAATTAAAAAAAAACCTGTGAAGCCATTGATCACAATGAAATGACCGACGAGCTTGCAGCTGTGAAAGCAAGACGTGTCATGTTTTGATACATTTATTATTAGTTACGTACTCATAGTATCCTTTTTGTATAATATTCCAAAATGTCATGTTAATTCACGCGTTTCTACTGTATTGCAGTGACCTTTTTTATGTAACATTAAAAGAATAATTCCTTCAAACTGGGTAGTGTTTGTTACCATATGTTATGATATAGGGCATCTTAAATTCAAAACATAGGGTGCCCCAAAAGTACTGCACGCAGGTGCTCACCACCCTAGGAGCGGCACTGATCAGGACCTTCTGAAATGTCAAAAAACGAAGTTTGAGCGATTTTTATTCTTTCGTGTTATTACCCATAGCTCGGCTGCAACTGAACCGATATTCAAAAACTACAGAGTCTTTTCGTCCTTGGCATAGTAGTAACCAAAAACCGAGCGGTACTTTGCAGGTTATAGAGGGGTCAATGATTAGTGGATAGACAGAGACATAAAAGGAACAACGAAAATGTGTGACATGGTTTTCGTGATCTAAATGTCATGTAACATACAAAAATATATGTCAATTTCCAAATGTCATCGGTGGCGTAGGAAGTAAAAAGGAGCCAAAAATTGGAAACTTCAAAATTTAATAAAGGAAACCATTGATGGTTTTCAAAAAACCTGGCCTATCTGCAATTTCTACCGAAAACTATTTCTTTTTTATTACAAATTACAAATCCAATGTCAGTTTGTCGTACATCAAAAACCCCATTTTCCACTATATATGACCTCAGTGACCCAATGAAATGAGCTTCGTTCTCTTGTAGCTATAGTAGACGAAAATGCAAGTTTTTCACGCTAAATGCACAGTAAGAATATAATTCCAAACAAAAGTATCGTATGACGTCACATACCTATGCATTTTAGTATCATCCTCCTGCAACTGTCTCGTACGATGTCCTGGAGAGCTGTGCGGTGTATAAATTGATTCATTGTCGCTTTCTGAACACGCCCCTGCACTTTCCTGTCTCAATAGCTCCACCACGCTATTCGAAAGTGAGTTTTTGATATCCTCAGATTCCTGAAAAACACAGAAATATGAACATACTTGGAGAAATGTCCGATATTCTCTGTCACGTAAAACGGCTTGATGTAATGTCACTCCATTTTGCGGGTGATACGTTTCTACAGGGTGGCCAATATATAACTGACTGATTTAAATTGCGCGCCATTTTTGATGCACGCGTTTCAGTTGGTGGCGCCGTTGTAGTTGTTTAAAGCACATATGTGATTCACCATGAAGCGCTACACCATCCCATAATGCGTCCGTATTGTTAAAACGTTTTGTCGATTGTGGCAACGATTCGGAAGCTACGACAAGATTTTGGTCGAAATAGTGTGCCCAGTGTCAACACCATGCGTCAGCTGGTACCGAAATTTGCACAAACAGGTGAAGTTAGAGACTTGCAAAGGTCGGGCTGTGTTCGAACTGTTCGTACTCCGGAAAGTATCGAGCGAGTTCGTGAGTATACACTATTTAAAAAAAAGTCTTGCATTTGCGGCCATACAAAATTCAGTTAACCCAAGAACTACAGCCTAGTGACCATGAAAGTTGCCGACAATACAGTCATGCAATATTGCAGCTTAATATCCAAAATAACGATTTTTACCGAGAACTGATAATGAGCGATGAAGCCCACTTCGATATGAACGGATTTGTTAATAAGCAGAATTGTCATATCTGGGCATTAGAGAACCCTCGAGCCATTCATCAACGACCACTACATCCTCGTCGAGTCACAGTTTGGTGCGGTGTTTGGTACGGAGGTGTCACTGGACCTTACTTCTTTGAAGACGCTGCAGGTAATTCTCTTACTGTCACCGGCTTGCGCTACCGTGATTGGTGCAAAACTCTCTGGCTCCTGAAATCCAACAATTTAACCTGCAAAACATATGGTTCCAGCAGGACGGACCAAGTTGTCACACAGCTAGGGAAACAATGAATCTTTTGCGAACAATATTTCCGGAATATTTAATTTCTCTATTTGGTGATGACAACTGGCCACCAAGATCACCGGATTAACGACTCCTGACTTTATTTTATGGGGATTTTTTAAAAATACGGTTTATGCCAACACACCAAATACTGTAGTGTATCTGAAGAACAATATTACGGAAGCGATTGAAGGTATTCCTCCCGAAACGTACCAAAAAGTGACAGAAAATTTAATCAAGAGGGCTCAGGTTTGCGCAGCTTCTAGAGGCAGAAATTTGTCTGATATTATTTTTCATACATAGTTGCTAAGTTTCAGCAAAAGATTAAGATGAAAAAATTCAACGTATTTTATTTCATTTCATAAATATTCAATATACAAACCAGTCAGTTACATATCGGCCACCCGGTATATAACAACCCACATAGTCTCCAATTCCAGAGCGATTCAATATTTAGTCAGACACGTACTCTGCATTGCTTCGAACAATTCCTTTTTTTTGCATTCGTTACTAGTTAGTGGTTATGGTTGCGTTAAATTAATTTGGCATGTGGACACGATTACGAATGACGAGCTTAACCTGACGAGCCTGACGTCGAGTTACAGCGTCATCGAATTCGTTACCAAATGTCGAGCCTATAGTACCCGCCTAAATTTAGCGTTCATGTAAGGTATAGCATTTTAAGAGTAATCTTTAAATCGAAGTCTGTGTCTATGTCGAGTTAAATATTAGCTTACCTGTGTTCCATTATGATTTTTCCCCGTCAATAACAAAAGTGAATCACTGTGTTTCAACTGTCCAGGTTCACAATCTCCATCACTTTCTACATCAATACTGGTTTCCTGCCATTCTGAGGATCCTGACCTATTTTGCTGATGCTGTAAGTGCTCTTGCTCATTAAGGTAGCGTTCTGAGTTTTGAACTAGTTGCTGCATCTCTTGGACACGCCTCAAAACCTAGAAAAATGGAAAGCCTTAAAAGTTGACTGGACATACACCCCTGATCCTACAAGATATTTTCTCTGTCAAACTATCAGGTAACCAAATAAGTTCGTGCGGTTGCTGTACATCGCACATTGCCATGGATGTTGTTGATCGATAGCGATTGTTTGTTACCTGTTGTCACTTTAGTATGAATCCTTCTTTTCTCACACACATAAAAAGTTGCTGAAAATTGTTACATACCTAGTTTTAATAATTCAAAATGGCGGCGAATAAAATAGTAATTCGAAGTTGTTTACTGTATGAGTACAAACTTGGTACAAAAGCTGCAGCGGCGGCGCGAAAAATATGTAACGCATTCGGAGATAATGCCGTTAGTGATCGAACAGCACAGAAGTGGTTATCTTCGACAGGTTGTGGACGCAAATTCCAGGACAACGTGCCAAGAACTTGCAGATATGTTCATAGTGAGTCCTGAAACTATTCGTTTGCATCTTCACCAGCTAGGAAAGATGTGGAAGTTAAGCAAATGGGCTCCATATGAACTGACAAATGATAACAAGTTAAGTCGTTTTACCATTTGTTCAGCAAACATTTCACGCGACGCTAATGAACCATTTCTTAATCGGTTATTAACCAGCGACGAAAAATGGATCCTGTATTCGAATTCTAAGCGTTCATATCATTGGTTGTCGCCTACTAATTCGGAACCACACACGCCTAACGTTTTCTTGCACCCAAACAACGTTTTTTTGTGTGTTTGGTGGACAGCAACTGGAATTGTCCATTATGAGTTTTTGGAAATGGGTCAAACCATCACTGCTAACTTATATTGTGAGCAGCTTCAACTAGTACAAGCAGCGCTCATCCAGAAACAGCCTTCTTTGATCAATCGGAAGAAAGTGATATTCTTACAGGATAACACTAAGCCTCATACCGCAAAAGTGACCCGAGAAAAAATGTCTGAACTCGGCTGGGAAACGTCACCGCACCCGCCATATCCTCCCGACATTTCGTCCAGTGATTATCACCTTTTTTTATCTCTTGACAACTGTACTCGTATGAGGCACCGACAGTTCACAACTCGAGATGGTGTAATAAATGCAGTCCGCCAATTTTTTACTCCAAATCCGGGGAGTTCTACAATACCGGGATGCATTTTAACACTATGGTATAGGATTCGGCACCAGCCTTAATTTTATTGGTCAATTTCAATTTATTTAACCAATAACAAGCTGAATGTTATCAATAAACTGCTTCTACTAATATATATATATATATATATATATATATATATATATATATATATATAAATATAACTTGAGACGTGGTCATTGTCGTCTAGACCAGTTAGGTGAAAAATTAAAGCTTCCGCCTTTTGTTGGGTACTTCGACAAAATTTAAGCAAGGAGGACTCTTTATACTTTTTTTATTTTCTCTAGCTTTCAATGGTCTTTGCCATCATCATCAGGAGAATAGTATGTGAGGATGCTGTTAATTGTTGTCTACGTTAAGGATGAGGGAAACACCCAGTAACATGGTGAAAGCTGGATAAATGGTACAATGATCAAAATTATATAAAATACACACAGCTGTATGACAAGAACAAGTTAAAAACAGATTAAAAAATTTTTAAAAAAAAGTTAAAAAAGTTAAACATTACATCGTGAAGCCACTTGATGATTGCACATGCCCACCATTTTGTGTACCCAAGTACCCAACAAAAGGCGGAAGCTTTAATTTTTCACCTATATAAATATATATAAATTTTTCATGTAATTTTTCTTATTGCTAAACCAAATTAATAATTTTAAAATCATTAAATATCGTAATAGGAAACAACGTGCGTTGATTATTATCTTACGTATTTTTAGCGGAAGGTAAGTAAATTTAAATTTAAATTGATAACATTCTGACCCCATGCTCAGCACTGTTTAACATTCCGGTAGTGATTTCGGCACCCGGCTTGTTATTGGTTGAATAAATTGAAATTGACCAATAAAATTAAGGCTGGTGCCGAATCCTATACCATAGTGTTAAAATGCTACCGGGATACAAAAATTCATACCACGTTGACAAAAGGTCATTGAATGTGATGGTAATTACTTCGAAGAATAAATAGGGTCTAATTGTTTCTCAATAAAAATTGATATTTTTCTATAATAGAATATTTCAGACCAAAAGGCCTTGATATACGACACACCTGCCTGATGCCTAGGAAGTGGAATACTGGCTTTATTCGAATTTTTACATGAACCCGTATAAGAAAGCTGATCTTGACATTGGAGGAGCTACCGCCTTCAAAGCCACATGGTTGAAGAAGCGGTGTGTCCCAAAAGACATGAATCAAATGAAACATCTTTTTCTGAAATTTACTTTTGTTATTTCGCGATCAGAGTTACAGCATATGCTCCCAAGTAACAAACCGTTGAAAAAGCTACCTCTGAAAATTAGTCCAGTAAATGTAGATATAGCAATTTACTAAGCCGTAATTTTGTTTTGTTAGATGTTACAGCACATTCAAGACTGGGCATATACTGTCCATGAACAGAAAAAACTTCCAGATATTATGGAATTGGAAAATATATAATTCATCGTAAGTAGTTTCTGCACAAGATAAGCAAAATGCTGCGTGTACCCTAAATCTCGAAATACACATTGTGTAAATGGTCATTGTCAATCTTCTAGATTCCGAACACCATGAGATAACAAGGGACAATATGTCCTTAAGCTAGAATGAATCGTAGGTCTAAGGACCGTATTGTCGGTCACGTCTACAATTTTATTAAGTCTATATGGCCTCCTTGATTTTCATTACTTATGCTTTGCTTCCGAAAGGCAAGTGTGTGGGCTTCATATTATTTCTAGATTTCAACCGTGTCAGCTATCTTTAGGTTAGGTTATGATTTTTGACGTTTCAAAAATTTTAGACTGATGAATCAAAAATGCAGAACCATATTTTCTTGCAAATAATGTCGATCAGTCAATAATATTTCCCTACACAAGAAATTGTTGGGTTAGAATACATATCCATTTGCATTAAATTGTTCATTTTCAGATCATTAATACCAATATGCGATTTTCCTAACCCAACAATTTCTTGAAGATACCACAGCTTGTGGAATTTTTTTAATGTTGGGAAATATTAAAGCATGCTTCTGCATTTGATTCATCTGTCTAAAATTTCCTAAAAGTCAGGAAAACATAACCTAACATCAAAATCGTTAGCACGGTTAGAAATCTACCAAGCAACCACATACTTGCCTTAGTGAAGGATACAAGATTTATGGAAATCGAGGAGGCCATAAAGGCGTCCTACAATTATTGCAGGAACGACTGGCGATACGGCACTTAACAATCCAAATTCTTCAAAATAGCGGTAACTCTAAAACCACGCACAATCGGATAAGGATATACTTATATGGTTTTTGTGTTTGGAAATTACCGCCGCCAAGGTAGGAAATCGTAAACCGCCGTAAAATTATCATGGCAAGCAAGTATATAGATCCTTATAGGTTTTGGTAGTTCGCTCCCGGCATTTCATCATGGTATTTTGCTCAAGAAATTAGTATCTGTAGCATCATCCTTCTTCAAAAGTCGTGATCACGTCCCGCTTTTAAATGACCGAAATTAAAAAGTAACAATATCAGATATCCCATATACAAAAAAATAATAGCCGTTTTACATTCAGCAAAGAGCAAAAGAAACATTGATCAATAACTCCCCATATCTGTCTGGCCAATAGAAACCACATGTCTTGAAAAAAACTTCTTTATTGTAAACATTTCTGCCACAACGCTGATCTTCTTCAGTACTATGACTCTGACAACGTGTTTTATTTATTTGTCTTCCAAATGACATAGCGTTTGTTTCTTCCTTTCTTTATTTGTCTCGTTATATCTGGTGCTCCTCAAGGCTCAGTACTTGGTCCAATATTGTTTTTACTGTACACATGGTTATACCTGACTCTTCTTCAGTAACTTACCCCCAATGATACGCAACTGTATAAGTATTTTAGCCCCGAATCTACACATCAGGCAGTTTGTGAAATTAATATGGATCTTGAAGGAATTGTGAGATATTCTTAAATTGAATCCGGATAAACGTAATCTCATGTTGTTCGTCAGCGATTGCAACCATGTCTTGAACGGTAAAAAACCAAAACTAACATTACAGGTTGAGAATGGGGATGTTTTATTGGTTTAGATTGGCTAACCTTGCACGTTTGAAACGAGGAAACAAGGTCGTCTTGCAATTGTAAGTGATCGCATGCAATTGTCTTGCAGACTGTACATTGTCATCTTGAATCTTGCAACTGCCAAAGTACCTGCATGCAATTGTTTTGCGGGCTGTGAAACTGTTATTAAGTTATCTCATCCCGAACCTACCTCATCATTCTTAGTATCGGTCTCATTTTCCAATATCTCCATAGATACAACAGACTGGAAATCATACGATCCCCTTTGCTGACGACTCGATGCTTGTGCTGCCATCTGGTGGTTGCGATTCGAAACGAAATTGTTGTTCATGTTGTTGTCGGTGCTGAAGTGGTGCAATGTTGGTCTGGCGTGGGTGGGTTGTCGACCAACTGTGTTGTAGAGACCGTTGGTTTTTTTGTTGATGGGACGGTAGGGGGGTTGAATGGCGAAACAGGCAGTCTTTACGGTGTTCTGTGTGAAAATTATTATAAAATTAGAGGAAGATATATCCAGCTATGTGAAATTCTTAAAGAATCAAGTGTCCTGATTGAGGTTAGCTGCTCTGCTTTCGTGGTGATCCTCAGTATTGATAAATCGGCACCGTCCATTATTGGCTAGATGGAGTATAGGTACTTCCGTTTGCACTGAAAGTTTGGAGGAATTGCTACGTCTCTTCGTGAAAGAAGTAAAGACACTCAGAACATACTTTTTTGAGCAAAAAAATATATTCCGTCGGAATGAAAATCTTGGTAAATCTTTTTTGGGATTACAATGAAGATTGTTTACTTACCAGAGCAATATAACTCCATTTCTCTGGTACAACCCTGTGTTGCGCTAAGTACGGTGGTGCCAAATCTTCCATTCTATGTTGTAGCTGCATCAAGCTGCTGTCGTATTCAATGGGTAGCTCTCTTTCGCCCTTGAGTGCAACCCTGGAATTTCATGTATTTTTATTAAGCTCACGTATGCCACCACGAGTATTACAAAGATTTTAATAAATGACAACACTGGCACATAGAAGCACGTTCTATTTGAAGCACCCGGCAACAAACGACAAAAGGGAACTTTTCGTGAAAGTGTACCAGCCACCAAAACCTTTTGAAGACCGGAAGTAGTCAATTTGTTTAGGGGGGAGCTAAGTTCATAGAATCTTCAATATTGTACATAAAGTACTTTTAATCTGTAGAGTTAACTGGCTCCCACATTACTTAAATGCAAAATGAAAGCCATGGTGATTGTTAAACAATATTTGACACCTGTGATCGGCCTCATTTCTACTATGCTATCATTCACTTGTATTAGCTATGTGCGTTGCCTAAAAGTCAAGTATGTGCTGTCGGTGTGATAGGTTTGACTTAATGTAACGTCTGCTTCAGAGATGGCAACTAACGGAGGTCATTCACAGCTTCTATAGCCTAAGCCAGGGTTTCTCGAGCGGTGGTTCACGAACCCCTAGGGGTTCACGAGCTATATGAAGGGAATTCGCGAAAAAGTTATGGTAATGTCGGAATTTGTCCGCAATCTTGCAACACCGCCGCTACAACAATCCGGCAAGAGTTCTACTTCGGCGAATCGAGTGCACCGATAAATTTCTGAGAATGCACTAAAAAGAACGAGAATAACGTCTGCAGATATAAAAAGGTCACAGTCATGGAAGTACGAGTACAGTCGAACGCGCTTCGTGAGCCGTATGGATGTCGAACGTGAAAAAAATATAATAATATTCTGTAAATTTAAGATGTATAGTTGGTTTTGTGTTGAGTTTTGTGAACTCTGACAAAAAGCCAGATGAGCAATCAACTACTACTGCTTCTTCTTCGGTTCCCGATTTGGGTCCAACACAGGGTGGCGCGATATTGAAAGTTATAGTGCCGGAATAAAAGTAATGAGAAAATAGACAAGCATGGTGAAAAAAAAGGAAAGAAACGAAAATACGACACTGACTATTTGCAAATGGGTTTTTATTTCTCCGGGGAAGAGTGAGGACCGCTTTGTGTAATTTGTAATAAAGTCCTGGCCAACAGTAGTTTAAAACCATCGCTTCTACGTCGGTACCTTGAGACAAGGCATCCGGATTACAAGGATAAACCTATTGAGTATTTTAAAAGGAAATTGGAAGGTAATAAGAATTGTAGTGTTTCTTCTTTCCTTCCGGCTTTCAACACAGATAGTAAAATGACTCTTGAAGTATCATTTCGAGTTATTTACAGAATCGCAAGATCTGGAAAAACTCATACAGTGGCAGAAAATTTGATCGGATTTTCTGCTAAAGACATCGCAATGTGTATGCTTGGAGAAAAAGGGGCAAAAAAATGACCTTGTGCCCTTATCAAACAGCATAGTGTAACGAAGAATTAACGATTTGAAAAACAGTGTTGAAAGTGAACTTTTGAAAAGAACAAAATTGAATTATTTTGCTATTCGGCTTGACGAGTAGACCGATGTAACAAACTGTGTAATATTGCTCGTGTTTGTTAGATGCATTTTTAAGAATTCCATTCAAGAAGATGTGTTATTTGCAAAACCACATCCGACATCCTGTGGCTCCAGAAGCTTGCATACTTAGCCGATATTTTTTCTAAATTAAATGAACTGAATATGTCTTTACAAGGTCCAGGCATCACCATTTTCAATGTTTATGATAGAATAGGAGCCATGCTAAAAAAGTTCAACTTTTGGAATCAATGTCTGCAGATGAATTAGTACGAGTGTTTTGGTTCTCTCAGCAGCTTTTTGTCAGAGAATAAAATTCAACTTGACGAATAAATTGAAAGACATATTACTGAACATCTCAAACAGCTTCAATTAACGTTCAAATAGTATTTTCCTAATAAACCTGGATCAAACAACTGGATACGCAATCATTTTGATGGAGATATAATTTCTAACACTTCTTTATCTTTACTGGAAGAATAAAAGCTCATTGATTTATCCTCTGACAATTCTCTAAGAGCTGTTTTTGCAGATCATTCCTTAATAGACTTCTGACTCAATGTAAAAAATGAATACCGTATTTTAGCAGAAAAAGCAATGAAAATTTTGTTACCGTACTGCACAACGCATCGGTGTGAGAAAGGAATATTACCTCAAAGAAATAGATTAAATTCAGAGCCCGATCTAAAACTTAAGCTTTCAGAAATTGAACCAAATCTTGAATTTCTTTGTTCTAACAAACAGGCACAAATACCCTATTGAGAATTTTTGGAAGTATCGAATTATGTACTTGTATTGATATTACATTAGTCTTTGTTTTGTAAGGCTCAGTTAGTTTTAATAACGTTTCTCTAAATGTTTTACGTTACAGTTATGTTTTAATTTACTTTGCTCATTATAACTATTATTCATATGATTAATAGATTTTGATAACAGCCAAATAGTACTGTTTCATTTACTCTCACTAACGACTGCTCAGGGGGTTCGCCGATTTATTACAATTTTTCTAAGGGGTTCGCAGAAAGAAAAAGGTTGGGAACAGCTGGCGTAAGTTATACTAGAGACGATCGCTGTGACATTATTCACAGACAGAGAGGCAGGTATACAGACGAATGGACAGAAATGAGTGACAATGTTTTTCGTGATGTATATCTCATATAAAATATATCTCGTTTTCGAAATTTTTCGAGATTACAATACTTCCTTGCCTGTGGCGTAAGAGGTAAAATTTGACAAATTTAACTCCGGCGATCTAGACGATTATCACCACATATAGTACCTACATGACGTACCCATTCTCCATACACCAAGTAAACCGATTTCTGGCATTTACCATGACTGTTGCCAGCGTAGCAGGCGTTATGTTGGAAATTTCTTCCGGGAAGTTTTGAACTTTGAATCTTGTGGGGTCCTTGTGGTTCACATAAACACGCGCTTGCAAAAAACCCATTAAAAAATCACAAGGGGTCAAATCTGGACAGCGGGCTGGATACTCCAAACCACCCCTAATTCAGATGAGGTGCTCTGGAAAGGGTTCGCTCAAAATAGCCATCGACGCTGTTGAAGTGTGTGCCGTCTTGTTGGAACCAAGTATCCCCTAAGTCCAACTGATACAACCGTGTTTACATACCTCTCCGAATTCACTATCAACCATACTGTGACTTTAGGTGAATTCAAATGGCTTTGATGGTTAGTGCGAATTATAGCGATGAGATCGCTATCATATCGATGAGATCACTATAATAGCGATTATTCTATATACTACGGGTTCTTGGAGCGGTAACCCCCCGAGTAGGCCTCCGGTAATTAGACTTTCTGTCCTCTGCTTTACCAATTCACACAAATGAAATACCGTTTCGTAAAGTAACACAGAGCTAGTGATATCGTCCATGCAGCTCCATGTACTAATTTTACTTTATACAGCATGCGCAAAGCTATTTTACTCAAGAATAATGAGATATTTCTTAATCATTCGATGTACTTTTACTTACTTGTAATATCCTCCAAGAACTAATACCAGCTCACCAGCGTCCCTTTCTTCCAAAGTGACAGCCAGATGTCTATCGTCTCGAAATAGCACTCTAACCATACGACTGACTTCGTCCAGTTGTTTCACTTCTATTCGAACCATGTCTTCTATCGAGGCAATCGGAATAGGCTGAAACTGAATCACAAAATAATGTGAAAGAATGCAGTGAAAAGACATTTTTTCGAATTTCTTTTATGATATCTAGAAGAGATTAACGGATAAGATGCGCCACGGGCGCTCTTGATGGTGTACAAAATGAGAAAATGCAATTACAATATTCTTCTCCTGAATGTTCGTCTTTCCGCTGCGACAAAAATTAGGCAAGGAAACACTTATGGCGGTACTACGGTTTCTGCGACAGTAAATTTATTTGGAGGTATCGTTAGGCTATTGCTTCCTAATGTTAAGCTCAAATTGCCGCCATTTTCATAAATTCGTTTTATCGTAAATCTCTAAAACCATCGATCCTATGTCAGAAAGTAATGGGAACAACTTTATAGGAAATTAAATTCTGTACCATTGTGCTTCTTTAAAAATTTGTCGTAAGTCAACAGAAATTTTAGGGTAAAGTTCTTTATCCCGAAGGCTGGAAGAACCGACTACTCTCTAGCAAAACCATTCAGACCTATCACTGTATGCTATCCTTCCTGATAAAGGGTATGCAGAAGATTGAAGACAGATACCTGGTGAAAGGAATCTTTGTTGAAAATCCTATCCCCCTAATCAGCATCAGCCCTACATGCGGCAATACCTAGCCCTCTATCGACACAACTTCCACATGTTCGCTATGGACTTCTTGTAGATGTAGTCGACATGCTGCTTCCACAATCCAGCACCACGCCTCATGGCTGAGGGTCAGTGGTACACCATGGAGAGTTGGTGTGAAATCCTCTTTGTTCCGTCTCTTGGTGAAGAGGACTGGCTCAGTCTTAGATGGATTGACTGAGAGTCTGACAGGTACCAAAATCACGTAACATTTTTTTTTACAATTTCGATCACTTACTAGTAATTTGAATTTCTCTTTATTAATGGTAGAGTACCCATTCCTAGACCAAATCCTTTTCAATGATTTTCTTTTGATAAATTTCATAGTTTATTAATTGTATAATTTCACACGTATTATATCGTTTTTTCTCGTGTGATTCAGTATTGTGATGAAATCTTTTGGACATTAATGTTATAGAATTAATAACGAATATCTCAAAAATTTCCTCATAAAATATCGTTGGTCCCTCGTGGTTGGTTTTCTAGGGTCCGCGCATTTTCAATCATCAGAAAAACTATGTGGCTTTTCTCCGTTATTTGGTTTCCTATCGAACATATATAGTCGAAATTAAGAAAGATGACGATTACGTCATGACTTTAGTCTGTAGTAAAGACTAACGACAGCTATTTGCGAATATTTTTAATGAAGTTTCAGATATGTTAGACAGAGACAAACTGAATTTTATTGTCTAAACACACTGTATTGCTAACTTGGATGTATCCGACAAAGATAGACGATGTTTTAATGTTGCATGATCGATCATATTGGAAAGATGAATAGTTGGGTTATGTTAAAGCAGGTTAGGTTGTTTTGGAATAATATTTTGGTCTTTGGTGATCCTGTCTTAAGGTATTCTACTCATGACTGTGTTTTTTCAAAACAAAAACTCCCCACTAAAATTATTATTAGGGTATCACTCAAAACCATGAAATAAAATGAAAATAAAAATAATCAGTGTGTGTGTGAGTTGTTGTCAACATGTTCCTGACATCGTGATTTTATCATCGACCTACGTCGATTGATTACTTCAGTGCAATTTATGCTATGACGTAATAGTCATCTTTCGTGATTTTGACTATATTCTTCAAGGCCACTCATTGAACCTTCCTTTATAAAGTTATATGTTTCTCACTTTCTTCCTGAGATTGTAGTATGGATGCCATTTGTTTAACCTCCAATGATTAAAAGTACCACTTTAAAGTAAATACTTTATTTACCACCACGTGTAAGTATGGAAAATATAATATTTTTGACGATTTGTAATCTCTCTATTATAAAGATAAAGCCACTCACTTCCATCAAACTTTGTCACTGGCTAATTTCAGTAACCGTTGCACCGTGGACAACACGGACAACGTACGGAGCGTGCTGAGTATGTCAAGAAACATTAGATTGTCGAAAAAACGTGAGAGTTTTTTGTTGTAGAAAAAAATATCTACCAAGAAAATAGTAGTCCCTATACCATTAGGTTGTTAGCTTGTTAAAGTTTCTTTTTATGGTAGACTAAAAATTAAATATATCTTGATATAGTAAATTACTACAACGTTTTTCTTATTTTGAATAGTAATTTTATAACAGTTCTTAAAAATATTGAAATTTATTTTTATAACAAAACACTTTTCTTGTTCTACGAGCCCCTTCCCACTTCAGTTGGCCCTCTTCAACATTTGTACCAAAACATGCCTTTATAAACTAAACATGACGAAACTATTTACTTCTAAAACAATTTATTTTCTCAAAAACATTTTAGATACACTCTAGTCGTAAAAAATACATATTTGAAATCACTTACACCTATAACTAATAGAACATCTGAACAAATAAACAATGTGCGAATAAATGCGCGAAGGTAACCAAGCAACAATAATTGAAAAATTATCATTGGGTAACATCACCTTTATTTTTTATTACGGCTAAAATTCTTTGGGGCATAGTGTTAACCAAGTTTTGGCAAAAATTTGGTGTAAATCAATCCCATATTTCTTGAAGCTTTTGTCTCAGTTCGGTGATTGTACGAGCAGGATGTTGTCGTAGAACCTTTTTCATCTCGTGCCACAAAGTTTCAATAGGTGACAGATCTGGACTGCTAGAAACCCATTTCAAAAGTGGTACATTATTTTCTTCCATCCATTTTATAGCCTTTTTTGAGGTATGGTACGCTGCACCATCTTACTGAAACACAAAATCTTGGCCGGATGTCAAACATTCTTCCATCACTGGTAAAAGCGATTCTTCTAAAATTGCCAAATATTTGTTTGTATCCACATTTCCATCAATAAAATGAAGTTTTCCTACTCCTTTTGATGACATACAGCCCCAGACCATAATGGATGCTGGAAATTTCACTTTTCTCTTCAGACAGTCAACATGGACTGCTCCATTTTTTTGCGAATAACTCTACTGCGACTGTCACCAACACAAACTTCGAATCGGGCCTCATCACTCCATTGTATTGCACACCATTGTTGAGGTGTCCATTGTCTATGTTCTTTAGCCCATCTAAGCCGATTTTTCTTTTGCAGTGGAGTTAATAGTGGCTTTTCCTTGGCCTATAAACAAGTTGTGCAACTTTAGTGTTTTTACTTCACTTTTTTTATAAGAAAACTTACCTTTTTTTTTTAAGAAAACTTACCTTGCAAGTGCTAAATCCCAGTTTGTGGGCCTCTCTATGAGTTGTGGACCTCGAAATTCTCCTTTCAACAGCGTTACTCCACAGAGCACTTAATTGTAAATAATTGGCACGCCTGTTTTTTACGATTATTCTTCTTAAGGCTCTTCGGTCGGCATTTGTGATATTACTTTTTTTCACATATCGTGGCTTAATATTAACTGAGCCAGTTACGTTATATCTTCAGTAACCGACTTTCTCACTAATAACCTTTCCTCTACCCATTTTGAAAACCTTAACTACCCAAAACTATTTTAAACGTATTCTGACAGATGTGATTAATAAAAACACGTCATGGCTTTTATTTTTCACAGCCACCTATGCGTTATAGACTTATTTTGCATTGAAATGAAAACAGGTTGATATGCTGTAATTGCAACATGTTTTTTTTTATGCTGCAAATTTGATTAGCGAGTGATAAAGTTGGTGTTTTCTACTATATGTTATCAAAATATTCATTGTAATATTTTAAACCTATAACACCCTGCTACATTTTTATTATTTGTGTTTGATAAGAAAAAAACTAAGATTTCAATAGTTGGGCCAACTGAAGTGGGAAGGGGCTCGTAATATACTATGGTAGAAATTCGTACGTACGTATATTTCTGGCGACCATCAATACGAGAGCTGAAGGTAACTTAGGGCTATTTCCGGTGCTTTCGTGTAGGAATTCAGCGGCCCACAACCCGCGGTAGTGAGTAATTTCACACCCAGTGATTGGTTTATCGGGTTGTGGAGATTTTGATAAAAATCGGCCTTCCTTGGTGAATTTTGTTGTCGGAGCCATTTTCTCACCCTTTTGGAGATTTAGCGTTGTCACAACCATACTAAACCATCGAGCTGAGGGCAACTGTCTGCATTGATACTCCGATACTCATCACCCTCAGGTATTGAGTTATATCTGGGACTTCCTGCCCTCTGTTGCCTTCCTGCGATAGCCAAGTACATGCCAAGGTGTTTTTTTATTTTATTTTTGCTGGAAACCATTTAGCTGGGGCGCTAGTACCAAATAATTTTATCTTGCTTGTCATCCAGGACTTCTTTTAATTTTTTTTTTTTGTTAAATAAATGTTTGTGTACCTTGTGAGTTTGTATCTCCTTTAGCGCCAGAGACCCAACATTTTTCTAGTTCTTGGAACTGGGTGGCGCCCAAACCACAAACATTTATATCCAAAATTCAAAGTACAAAGAACCACACGCTGAGGTCCCATTAACTACCGACCGAGCACAGTTACGTTCTTTTACCAAATTATAACTTCACGTACCCGGGATAACAAGATTAGCCACTAATAGCGATAGCGGAAATATCATTAAATGTGACTTTCTATTTTTATAGAAGCCAAATGATAATTTAATTCTCTACAAAAGTGTTTCTTTTACTTTTTGATATAGAATCGATGCTTCTCGAGATATTCGATCAAGCGCGTTTATCAAAATGGCGGCAAATGATCCAGCTCGTCCATCGCGCCCATTAGGAAGCAATAAAATCTAACGATCCCACCAAATAAAAATTGTCGCAAATATTGTTGGAAAAAATTACCCATTTCCTGGCCTAAAATAAACGGTACTGGATTAATGCGGATTTTCTCGCCATTTTTTAAAGTCAAGTTGGCAAGATACATCATAAATCTCTTGAATAAATGATAACTTATCATAAAATATTAATTGTAAAAGGATCTTGATCAGACACAAATAAATACGCGCTGAAGTGATAAAACTGACCATCACGTCAAGATCATTTTTTTTACAAAACGTGAAACTCACACGAATGCTTGGAAGAAGCGATTGTCAAAAATGTTTTCTAATGTGTGACTACACCTTTAGTTTCCATTCCGTCTCGTGAGAGGAGAGAATGCCAGGATTAAAAGGCAGTAATGAGAACCTAACGTATTTACTCACTGCCGAATTCCTGGTCCCCGTAATCTGACTAATCCCAAACTTGGGACTGACGAGTATCACAGTATCTCCCATAATCTCTCCTCCTGATCCAGCAGTAGCTGTAGCTGAGAAGCATTTGGCGCCGTAGCTGGGCAGCTGCGCTACGATGTCCAGATAGTGCAGCTTCGCTTGAAGCTGCGTCAGCTGCTTGCCACCGCTTGACGCCATCGTGGCGTGAAGTTTGAGGAAATGGCCCAGAACTTTGCGTACCTCTTTGCGCTTCATGCCTTCCAACAGGGATCCAGGGACGAAGCGTTCCAGGCCGAACTCACGTCTGGAAGGAAAAGTATTTCATTCAGATAGTTACCATAGTTGATACTTTCCTTCTCTTGTAAAAACAGGCAAATTTTTTTTTGTAAAATATGCACTGAAGTCTTAAGATAACCAAGTTATTAGTCTCCGATAACAAATCAGGTGAAAAAATAGGACATGCGTTAGTATCCAGCCCAGGCGCCACGCGCCGTTTAACAGTAACGAATCTTCCGATTTGATTGTTTATTATACAGGGTGTTCCAGAAGTCGGCGTCAAGCCGGAAACGGTGGATAGACAAAGTCATAATAGTCATTAGGAAAATGTAAAAAAAAATTGTAGAGAAAAATGAAAAATCTACATCCTGTGGTGATCTCTTAGTTCCCTTTACTACAAATTTTAATTTTTCCTTAGACAGTGTGTCGGACAGTGTCATTCTACACAGTGACAGCAAGAGAGATAGTAACGCCACATTGATTCGGAAGGCAGAGAATGACACTGTCCATCACTCTGTCTGAGAAAAAAATTGAAATTTGTAGTAGTGGGAACTAAAAGGTCATCCCAGGGTGTAGATTTTCCGGATTTTTAAGTATATAATTTGAAAAGTACATGTCTTATATTTTTTATATTTTTCTGATAGGTTTTATGAACTCGCCTATCGGCCCGTTTCGGGCTTAACGTCGAATTCTGGGACACTCTGTATATACGTCAGATATATTTAAAACTATCAATAATTGTATTAATCAAGGATACGTTGATGATACCCAACTATATTTATCTTTTGATCCAAAATTTGCTGATACAGCATCAACCGGGACTTACATGAAATACGCTAGTAGTCCTTGAGGCAATTTAAGACTAAATTCCGATAAATGAGTAAAGTTATTGTATTCAACCACGTAATCAGGAAACTTTTATAGAATCGTCTGACAAAGGAAAAGGCGGGAGGAGTATTGGTCTCCAAAAGTGTCTGAGTCAAAAAGACGTATCTAGTACTAAGGCTTCCCTATAATGCTTTAGGGTATTATCTGGTGTTTCCTATTTTAAATCATGCTGTCACGCTGTATTATGCTTTTCTAACGTAAGTTCTACGATACAGTTTTTTTTATATTAGAATTAGATAGACATAGACTGTTATGATGGTTTTGTTGTTTTATAATTCTTATGGTACAATTTTCTTCTTAATACTATATCACTCTTTATGTTCTGTGCATGTGGTTATATTTGCATACTTGTATATCTATGTTCCTCTTATTTTGTTTCAATGTATAATCGCTTCACACTAGACTTTGCCCTATATTCGTATAACTATGTATTGTATCTGACAATACTTTAATAAAGGCATAATATTCGTTTGGTGACGGTATCCAGATCGTTTACCAGGATGTTTCCACCCCGCACCGCATAGGCCGTTTGCAGGAACGTCGTATAGATACAGTAGAAGGCCTGGACAGCCCTGAACGTTGCAAATTAAGGAATAAGTTAACAAAACTGCAATTAAGATCGATAGACTGCCTCAGAAAAAGGGTTATGTTTTTGCGCCCAAACTGCTTGATGAATTTTCACATTTGACGTGTCGCTCGATTTGTCTTGATATATTTCATGGGCTACAGCTCAAACGGCTTGATAGATTTTAATATTTGTGGTGAGCTTAGATTCGTCTTGATAGCATTCTATTCTTTTCTTCAAGTTACTGCACTCGGCCTTATTGTATTTCTTAAAAATATACTTGTTTTATTTAACTTGATTGAAAATGAGATAATAACAGGTGGAAGGCTGTATGAAATGCCACACACAAGTTCCGTTTTTATGGGGAAAGGACCAATTCAACGTTTTCAGATAGTTGGGATATTTGATAATAAAAATTATGGTTCTGTTTATCAATGGAGAGCTGTCACCGTTTCTCTCAGGCGAGAAAGTTTGACAGATCTACATATCTTTACCGCCCGAAGTGTGGGAGCCTTCTAAAACCCGGTACAATCGCAAAAACCATTTGGTCATGTGATTCTCGTATTAAATTACTATGAATGTACCTAGAAGAACTCAGTATACATAAGAAAAAAGTATACTTACTCAACTGCCTTGACGGTAATCTTAGCAGCCTGCTGTACTCCATTGGCCATCGCGTGTTGGTATACGTGCAATGCAGCCAATCGTAGGGCCGTATCAGGCTGAAGTTCTGGCGCAAACCGTTCTTGAACGACGTCATTGCAGCACTGAGTATAGAGATAGTCGAGGGCATGGAGGTCCTTTTGAGCTAAAGCCGCTGCAGACGAAGGTACGAAGGACACTCTAAAGAGGCAGCGCAGTTTGTGGGCTCCTGGACGTGACGCTATCTGAATGGAAAAAAATAAAGCTTCATTCAGGATTATTTCATGCATGCATGCATTATTTTAAAAAATGGCGTCAAGTAAGTTGAAACTGTACTTCCCGCGGTACGTTGTCATCAGTTAGTAAAGGATTATGTGTAGCACAAGTTGGAGAAAAAAATTTATTACAACTAATTAAATGACCCCCTGAGAGAAATTGCAGCGGGCGCATAATGATCGTTGCGATGACCAATCTCGTGTGAATGACGATATTGGCCTTCCCCATGCACAGTGCATACATCCCACAGCGGAAGCAATTGCCGACTGTGACGTACGGCCACCGACAACAACGCTTGTCCAAAGGAGGACCACGTCGCACATATCGACACCCGACTGTAGGATATATACTAAGTGACATATAAATCCGAACACCCAGTTTAAATGGTTTTATTTTAATAAAATTTTGTATAAGTACTTAATGAAGCATAATAAGTAAATGATAAAAATTTCAAAATGATTGCACTGCTTTAAAGCCCTTTGACCTTTGATAATGTGTGGATGCACCCTGATGTGCTACGCATTCTCCAACGCGCCTAGGCATGCTTCTGATCAGGTGGTCAATGTCCTCCTGTGGTATCTCATTCCAGGCAACCACCAACTCCTCTCGAAGTGCTTCTAGAGTCTGAGGAGGACGTTGCAAATTGAGCAATCTCCTACTCATCATATCTCACTCGTGCTCAATTGGGGATCTTGGTGGCCATGGTAACAATGTGACATCATTATGTTGAAAGAAGTCTATTGTGACTCTTGCAACACCCCAAGCCAACAGTGTGATGAACATGTCTTTCAACAAAAAACTGTGGATTCCTCCTTTCACCACGTCGCCTTCTAACCCTGGCACGACCATCGTGCATGCCTAAACAAAATCGAGACTACTCACTAAAGACAATACTGTTCCATTCCTGATCCCACAGTGACCGTTGTCTGCACCACTCAAGGCGATTACGTCGGTGTTCTCGAGTTAAAGGGAGGACCCAGTGTGGCCGGTATGAAAACAAGCCAAAACTTCTCATTCGTCGGTAAACACTTCGCATGCCAATAGGTCTTCCGTGTTCTGCAAACCATTCATTTGCAATGGACCTGGTAGTGGAGAAACGGTCCCTTAAGGCCAATAATCTTAGGCGGCGATCTTCACGGTCTGTTGTTCTACGGCGGCGTCCAGTGCCCCTTGCTTTTTGCGTACGGCCTTCTCGAAGCCATGCCTGACAACACCTAACCACAGTGTCTACACTTCTTTGCACTCTAACTGCAATTGCCCGAAAAGAAAGTCCAGCTTACCGAAGTCCCACTATACGGCCCCTATCAAACTCACTAAGTTGACGAAATCGTACAGGTCTCCGTACTCTAGGCATCGTAACCGATCGTAAAGGATGTCAAGAACCAAAATCCGCCAACGTTGATTCTTTACTGCGGCTGAAATATTCATTTTTAGAGCGTTAGTGAATTAAAAAAAAGCAGTATAAAAACCGGAATGTCCAACTGATAAGGCTGAAAATTTTTTCACTTGTTATTTACAGTAAGGATAAATACATTCACCAACTTTTATTAAAATAAAACCATTTAAACTGGGTGTTCGGATTTATATGTCACTTAGTATATTTATGTAAAAGAGATGCGTGAAATATTCCAAATTTTCAAAAACTACAAACCTTTTGCGTCTTCTGCATAGTACTAACATTGGTGAAAGCTTTGTACATATCATATAAAATATCCAAAAAAATAGAATATCTCATTCTCGAAAATTTTCGCGAATACAATACTTCCCGCAGGTGTGGGAATCAATAACACTGGAATACAAAAATTGTAGTCAGTTCTACGCTTCTTGGAAAATATGCCGCTCTCTCTGAAGTGATTAGTAACTACGTAGCAACAGAAACATACATGTCTTTAATGGAATGCCCTATATATTTTAGTGCTCTGAATAGCACTTTCAAAAGCAAAAGTTTAACGTTGCATACTATAAGATTTGAACTTTTAGTCGAATTGTTCTTTATATGCCAGTATGTATCGTAATTAAATGTTTTTCAAATCTTCTGGATCATCTTTACGAGTCACAAAATGTACTTTTTCCAAAAAATGCAATAGGAACACATGTTTATTTTTACTGTATTAGGTTAAAATAAAGATAAGCTTATCTTTGAGCTATTTACAGCTTTCCAGAAATAACAATTTAAAATGAATATCATATTATATGTGGAAGAGGGGATTTTTACTGAATCCTAGAATTTTCTTCATCAATCATACGAGGCACAAAATCTACCATTTCTCAAAAAAGTCAAAAGGAACATCATGTTTATTTTTACTGTTTTCGGTTAACATTAGCATAGCCTTTATTTTGGTATATTTTTCTGACGTAGTCAACAAATCTTTGAATTATTTGTAGCCCTTTTTTCCAAAAAATACAATAGAAGCACATGTTTATTTTTACTTTATTCGGTTAACATAAGCATAAGCTTATTTTTGAGTTATTTGCGATTTCCAGGAGATTACAATTTAAAATGAATATCACATTATTTGTGGAAAAGGGGGATTTTTTACTAAAGAAAAGGTAATTTCAATGTGCCCATTGTACACGGAAAAAGAAATATCGCTTTACTTACCCTGGCTAAAGTGTCTTGCGGATCTAACAATGTCAACTTATTCCTCTTCAAAGACTTTATGTGCTCTACCACAAGACTGAAGTGTTCAGAAGCTTTCAGGTACAATTTGCTTTCTAGAGATGAGACAACGTCTTGGACGGTTGTCCACGCATCGTATTTGAATGATTTCGTTTGGCCGTTTTCCAGAAAAACTTTGAGGACGTTAGCCATCGGTGGAACGCAAACGTCTCCAAGAGAAAATGCAGATGGCTGAAAAAAAATGAAGTCAAGTAGGTTAGTACTTCCAACTCTTGATATAAATCTATTTAACAATTTATCCACAAGGACTTTCAATGTACTACCCACTTGTTTAATTCCCGTTCGCCTGTCTCCAAGACTAGACCTATACCGCACTGATGAGCAGCTAATTAGCACGAAACAGCGCTGTCTGCGGTTGATCAAAGACAGAAAGCAAACATGTTAATTTCAGTTTACGGAATGCCTTTAAGCCTATTGAGGTGCAAAATGAATCTTCAATTCTGCGCTTTTGTTGATATTTTTTATTCTTTCATTAAAGATAAATCCCATGATTTTTTAGCACACTTACCGGAAACAGAGGTGCCCCATTGACACAAACGCTCTCCGCAAATCTGACCCTAGGTGGTTTCGTCCTCAACCTGGCCCTTTTGCCTGCCGACAACAACGTGGATTTCCTTAGCCCGCCACCCTGAGATTCGGCAGGTTGACAGACTGTCAGCCTGACGCATCGCTGGCAACCGCGGACCAATGAGATCACGTGTTCACGTGGGGCTTGGCAGACATCTTCTCCATTTACTTCGAGGATTTGGTCGCCAGGGAGAAGCTAAAATCAGAATACAAAAGTAATAGCTTGTTTCAAATTTATTGAACATTAATTTGAGTCAGCACAAACATCTTCACACTTTTCGTTCTTCAAAACAACCTCATTATGTAAGAAGAGTATTGCGTTCTTTTTACGCACACTTACGAAAATTTATCTGTAGATTACGTTTTTTTCCTTTCCGACTTCTGTTTCGGAAATCCATAGGTAACCTGACGATGCGGGATCAGCAATGGAACAGCGCAGTATAAGGGTGGTTACAAGAAACGCCTTGTATAAGACGAAACTTGATGATGTTTATTATTATTGTTTATGCGCAATATTGTTATAGTAAAACGTTAAAAAAATACGGAAGCGGTGCCACTGAAATGGTTTAAGTATGTGTAATATTTTACATTCCTAGGCAGCACGGTAGGCAAAAGCCCAAGTAAAAGGAAACTATGAGGAGCTTAAAGGAACTTTTTAACTGCTTAAGGTTAGTAGAACTAGAAAGTCTATTTATTTTGTTCCACAATCTCAAAACCGTAGGGACAAAGGGCCGGTCATATTGGCCAGTTTTGGATGTACGAAGTTCAATACGGTTAGGATGGGAGGCAGAAGTCCAGTGGGTCTGTCTGACAGCCACATTGCACGACGGAATAACCAAAGAGATCTGAAGAGCAAGGCCCGTTGATATAGCGGTAAAAGAGAGCTAGATCGCAAATGACCCGTCGGTGCGAAAGGTTCCCGATACTATCCGTTAGAGAAAAGTCATATATCAGTCGGACAGCCCTTAACTGAACAGCATCGAGCATAGATAATGTGGTCGGGGCCGTAGCAACCCCAACATGTAAGCAGTACTCGAGACCAGGTATTATTTGCGTCGTGCGTAAAAGAATGGTACGATAACAACCGTATAACATCTGTTAAGTTAAGTAACTCTGACATACTATCTCCCAAGAAACGACAAGTTGATATCAAGGCCTCCTATTTTATTTTGAAACTAATTGTAACTCAGCTCTTCATGTATGATCTAATTTGATTTATTTTTATTTTTATGAAAACAATGCACTCTAGGAAAAAACACAAGAGTAATTATTTGTAGCAAATTGAAAATAAAAAAAAACAGTGACGTACTATTTTTCATTTGGAAAAATAATGCCACTAATCCCCTGTATCTCCGCCACTGGTGCACCTTAATTTTGAGTAAAGGCTTTTGAATGTGGACAATACTTAGGTAAATCCACACAATTTTAGTTGACGGTTTTGAACATATTAAAAAAATGCTTTTCATTTTTAAACTTCAACACCCCGTAACTTTTTAATGAAGCTCTGGAGGAAAAAAACGTTAAATAGAACACCCCCCTTAAAATGAGGTCCTGTGTATGATATTTGATTTTTGGTCAAGACTTGTGGGTCACCCTGTATAGTCGGACCATATGCTGCAATATATTCTTGATAGCCAGGCTATAGTTTGCAAATTTATTGCCCAAAATTGCATACAACAGATTGCCCTTTTAGAGGCTCCATAAGAAAAACGCAGGTTTCTGAATCAGATTACAGCGATATTATACTTTCTGACACTCTTACGACAACAAAACATAACAAAGGTAGACATAATGGAAAAATTCGATGCTTGGCAACCATGCTGAAGATAGAGGAGCAAGGAAAGGCCGACTAGAAATCGTGATCACCATACACTATAATCTATGTACATGATGCCGACGCAAGATGGCGCATCGTGCATTTAAAACGATTCCAATAATGTGTGTTTTGGCGCCTCGAAGGCTTTATCCGGGCGTCGACGAACCATTTAAATTGAAAATTAACATCGTAATTAACAATTTAATTACAGGACACGTTAACAACGATGATACAATTATCTCTTGGCCAATGCTGCATTACTGTAACATCCGAAACTTATACTGTGGTTTTCAGACTAATAAATCTGTAAAAGTCGTTAGCTGGATTCATGATTTACTAACGTTTTGGCCACCTCTGCGAATTTTTGATTTGTACTTCAAAAGAGATACCACCAAGGTGGCCGAAACGTTAGTATAAACAGTTAACTCAAAGTACGCAATTTCATTTCGCGGACGGAAGAAAACAGGATTTATCAGTTCTGCTTTGCATTCTTAACCTTTTGTGTCTAAGATTAACAACCAAAATGGAGTAAATTGTGTAACACCTGAAAACGTACCCTAAAAAAATAATTCAAGCATACCTGTGGTTTCATTTAAGCGGGAGATAATCATGCAGTTCTATATGAATTGTGTTTAAGATGTAGGGTTCGTACTAAAAATTTATGTTGGAAATTCCAACAACCCCTTCCTGGTTGATTAGATAAATTTTTTTATTTTATAGAATGTTTATTTTACCTTATCAACACTGGGTCCTCCTTCAGTAACAAATCGAACGATAACAGGTTTTTCTGATCCAGCTACAAAACCAAAGCCTAAACTTGGTGACCGTTCTAAAACGACTGTCCTAGGTTCAGGTTTAGGTGGGGGTTCTAGGTTCTTCACTACCGGGCTCTCGTATGTTGTTGTTTTGTTGATGTGACTGGAAAAAAGTATTTTCTAGAAACGCTGAGGATTCTAAAGAAAATGTCTATACAATTTCTGTACCTCCTTACGCCAAATATGCAATATTAAACCAGAGAAGTATAAATTCAAATGACCCACGGAGCGATTTGGGGTAAGAATAAACGAATCGAAAAAAAGGCAATGAGAGAATTTTAAGAGATCGAGTTCATCTAGGTCTAAACGAAAAGTTCTCCCCTATCCCTGTGTTCAAATAGTATGAATCCAACATCATTCTGGTGCGAGTTATGACAAAGCTTTGAAGATTTTTGACTCAAGATACTTACTTAATGTAATAGGTTCGTCCAGAATCATCGAGAGCCCTCTCCCATCCATAAGGCAGGTCATCTTCTCCGGTTTTCCATGCTTCAGCGGGTGGTAGCCACCCTGCAGTCCGTGTCACGTGACTGAAACAAAAGAAAATACAGTCTTCAAGTAGTCCAGGAATCAATAAAGCTTTAGGCCAACCAACACCTCTGTATCACCGCATATATTTGTCAGTCACTCTATAGGTAAGAATAGAAAACCAACATTATACAGGGTGATTCACAAGTTGTGACCAAAAATGGAACATCATACACAGGACCGCATTTTCAGGGAGGTCCTCTATGTAAAATTTTCTCCTCGAGGGCGACATTAAAAAGATACGGGGTGTTGAAAGTTTAAAAATAAAAAACATTTTTTTTTTAATATCTTCAGAAGCGTCATCTGGAATGAACTAAAATTTGGTAAGTGGCTTTACCTTAAGTATTGTACACATTCAAAAGTCTTTACTTAAAATTAACGTGCAGTGGCGGAGATGCAGCGGATTAGTGGCATTATTTTTGCAAATAAAAATAGTATGGTTGTTACCTTCAATTGCTACAAATAATCAGCCTTGTGTTTTTTCCTAGAGGGCGTTGTTTTCGTAAAAATAAAAAAAACAAATTATCTAATCAGAGCTTTATTTCAAAATGTTCAAAAAGACCACCATTTTGACAGATACAACTGCGGTATCTTTTTAATGAAGAAAATCGTATTTCCGCAAAATTTGTTGTGGCTTGAATTTGATGTAATGCATTGTCTATTCTTTTTTGTAACTGTAACAGTATTAATTTGTTCAGCATACACTAGTTGTTTAAAAGCGCCCCACAAAAAGAAATCTAGGGGGTTCAAATCAGGAGACCTCGCAGGCCAATGTTTCCGCTAATCAATCGCTGTCTAATATGATTTTTTCAACCATACAGTTATGCCACGACGAACATGCGGAGGGGCACCGCCGTGCAGATACCACATTCGTACTCTCGTTGCTAACGGAACATCATCTAACATGTATGTAATTCTCTAGAAAGGTAGTATGAGTTTAATTTAAACGTTGTGGCAACACGTGCATAAACAGTTGGCCATTGAAAATGCCGCACCAGACATTTCTAGAAAATCTGTGTTGAAACGAGTGGATTCTTACAAAACGGGGATTTTCTATCCACCAAATATCTTCACTATGAGAATTAAAGGTTCCACTCCTCGTAAAATGCGGTTCATCGGACCACAAAATCAATTCAATAAAATCTGCATTTTGATTATGCAAATATACTAACCACTCAAAAAAATTTCGCCGTTGCACTTCGTCGCTGGGTTGCAGACATTGCACATTTTGTCGCTGGTAAGGATGTAAAACTTACCGATTTAAAATTCTCTACGCACGACTTTGGGAACATGGTAACTGGGCTGCAATCCGCCTAGTACTTGTACTAGGATCATCCAGCCTCAAATTAAGCACTTCCAGTTCCTCTTGAACAAACAGTATGCCAGACAACATGGCCTATAACTCCGGGAAGTTCGGCAATTCCATATTGCCCAAGTCTTAGGAAATCTACGTTGATACACCCAAGAAGCCGCTAAGGCATTTCCATAACAGAACCCGTACACAAAAATAATATCGGCATACTCATCATTGCTAAATTCCATTTCACATCACTCAAAAATGGAAAAAAGAAACTTTTGACTTGACTTTTACAAAAAAAAAAAATTGAAGTAGTAACGATAACAACCGTATAACACATAACTTTGACAAACTATCTCCCAAGAAACGTCAAGTTCTCCTATTTTATTTTGAAACTAATTGTATCTCAGCTCTCCATGAATGATCTAATTTGTTTTATTTTTATTTTTACGAACACAGTAAACTCTACGAAAAAAACACAAGAGTAATTATTTGTAGCAAATTGAAGGCAAAATTCGAAAAATTGCGTGTTTCGAAAAAAACCAATGGCGTACTATTTTTACTTGGAAAAATAATGCCACTAATCCCCTGTATCTCCGCCACTGGTGCACGTTAATTTTAAGTAAGGACTTTTAGATGTGGACAATACTTAGGTAAATATACATACCAAATTTAAGTTTATTCCAGTTGACGGTTTTGAAGATACTAAAAAAAATTGTTTTTTATTTTTAAACACCGCGTACCTTTTTAATGAAGCAGTCGAGGAAAAAAATGTTACATAGAAGACCCCCCTTTAAAACGCGGTCCTGTGTATGATATTTCATTTTTGGTCACGACTTGTGAATCACCCTGTAGATCTGCTAGACTCGAAAACTGCACTGTCTGCTTTCAGTCATTATCCAGTCACCTATTGGTGATTACCAACTAGGACGAAGCAGCGTTGTATTCGATCGGTTACATGAACAGAAAAGAGTTTAATTCCAGACTAGCAAAATCTAATATATTTGTCTTTGGTCTATTCTCAGATCATATCCGCTAGAAAATGACGTTACCCATATTTTTCAAACTTTTACCATTGCCTGCGCTATAAAAGATCATAAGATAACATTATAACAACTGATTAAAATAAAATACAATTGTGACTGAAACAAAAATTCCCATAGACCTTTGAAGAAATGGAATTCTAATTCGGTGCAATAAACTTGAACCAACTTTCTTTGATAAAAGTTCAGATGACATAGAAATTATACTTTATCGTGTATCCTTGAATACATCTAGTGAAGCTTATAGATGAGTGAGTTAAGCACATGCGTTCTGAATGACCATCTGACCTGACAATACAAAAATCCATTGTCGGAGAACGTAGGCCTGCTATCGCTATTGTAAGAAAAACTCTAATGGCTCGTATTATCACCTGCAATAGGTTGGGATGCCAAATAATCCAGTCCTGAGTACAAAGTCCGGAGTATTGTGCCCTTTCGTCAAATAAAATCGAAACCATGAAACAACTGCTTTTATAGCTTACGAGAGTAAACTATATATGTACACTTTAAACATTCCTGTATAATCAATATCGTAATTGTAGAAATAGTATAGGCGTGTAACTGCGTATGGTATTTTAACTGATTTCCTATTTTTAATTATTTTAATGAATCTATAAAATCAATGTTTCATAATCTATTGTGAATGTTATTTCATGGTCCACTACGAATCTACTTTTCTATTTCATTGGAATTAACAAGTCAAAATTCCAACCATATGACCGAACTTATTCGTAAATACAAAACTGCCGTAAGAATACGTAAATAAATTAGGGATGAACGGAGTACTCGGCGGAGTACTCGACCGAGTACTCGGTACAGTAATTTGCGATGGGTTATTTCAGCTACTGTTATTGTTGTATTTGAAAGGCCTCTTTATTCCTAAAATTGATTTACTTTGACCCACACACTGTATGCATTCCTGAAAATAGCTACCCAGTGTTATCATATGCATGGATGTGCGTATATTTAAGCATACCTGTGGTATTTATTTTCTACGGCCGAAGTCCCACGCAAATTCCAAAATTAACGACATTTAAGCTAGTATGTGAGTGTAAGGTGTCATAGGACAAGTCCAAGGTTTTACTTTGTCGAGATGATGTTTTGCGATCACACAAAACTTATCTAGGAAGCTTTGAATTGTAGTTCATCAGAGCATTGAAAAATAAATAGGTATTGGTACTTTAGCGTACACTTTGGCTTTTACCCCCTCCTCATTGATGATTTTTTCCCACCCTGACCTATTTTATGGTTCCACCATTCTAACAACTCTTTGTTAGTCCATTCTTTTATAACTTGCTTCATGCGTGTTCTTGTAACCACCACAGATGTGACTTACACTGATACATATCTAAAGTGTATCTAACGAAGCTACAAAGTAATCGTAAACAGTGGTTGATTCGTGATCAACGCGTGATCGGTAGCCATGGCGCTCTGTCGGCCTCTTCCTGATTGGCTTGTAGCGACGAGCCTCCAGACAAAGTCGCACGGTTGCCACGCTCGGCGAGTTTTCGCCAGAGTGGTTGATCACATTCGCATGGATCACAAATCAATCTGTTGGTGCAATACGTGCAATAACTGTTGTAAAAAACATTATATAACAATAAATGGCATCACAAAGGTATATTCCAATTTGATCTGCAGCAAATTATGAACGGCATATACGGAGATGCGAAAACAAGCTCAAAAAGGTGAAGAAAATTTTTGTGCAATCTTTATAGTTAAATTTTTCCTAAGAGATAGCATCAGTGAGGGATTTTTTTTCTATTGTCTTATTTTTCACATTAATGCGATGTCGAGGTATGTGGCCCTATCGCAATTGAAAATAAGGTTTCGATAATCCTTCCATAAAGTTTCGATGAGTACATCTGAAATAACCTTGAGATATTCTTCAGGGAAATACAAAAATCTCCTTTTGTGTTTTTTTGTGCAGATTTATCTATTAAAATCCTATCCGCAATCTATTTTCCGTGCACACACCTTCAACCGAATGTATGCCATATATATTACCGTTTCCAACTTTCACCAAGGTTAATAGGAACCATAACAGCTCCCTACCCTTCCCCCCTATAAGAATATCGATTTGTGACCTCACATTTCAAGGTAAGACTTCTTGTAATGTTTCTGTTCAACATTCGGCGATTTCTGACAATTTTCCCAATAAAACATGATCATTGTGACATTAAGCCTGGCAACGCTGCATAGTAGAGGGAACTCTCAGCGTCACGTTGATGGTTCGTCACCACGCACAGGATTGTAATCAGTTACGGATACCCGTTTATGAGCGCGAACGTTTTATGCACGTCTTGACTTGATTTTTCTTGCGGAAATTTAATATTAGTCTAAAATGTCTGACACAGATACAGCTGATGAAGTGGTTGAAATCAGCTTAACGTCACCCAGAAAAAGGGCTAAAAAGCTTCATCTTAGCGCAGGTGAAAAACAAATTATTCTAAATATCTACAAGAACCAGATGCAAGAGAATAGTGGATTGGCTATAGAAAATATCGTATGTAAGGTTGCTGAAATTTCTGGAATAGGTCGATCAAGTGTTTACAAAATCTTGAAGGAATATAGACAAAATCACTCACTATCTGAGCCAAAAACATATCCAGCGAGAAAAAAAATCATCGAAAAAATAGATGACTTTGACAAAAGTGCCATT